CGGTGGGTGCTGGAGCTACTGGGTCTGAGGGTTCTCCTGGAGCTGGTGCTGCTGAGGGTGTTGGCGCTGAGACTGCCGCTGGCGGTCCGACTGGCAGTGCTCCTGGTGGTGCTGCTGGAGGTGCTGCTGGAGCGGGTACTCCTGCTGGGGGTACTGGTGCTGTCCCTGCTGTTTCTGGCGTTGCCGCGCTGCCCCGACCGTACTTCGTTCCGCTCCTCAAGCAGGTTCTTGGTCTTCCACCTTCTCCTGGTCCTCCTGCTCCTCCCTTAGAGGGTCCACAGCCTGTCCGGTCCCAGTCACAGCTACAGCCTGCCTCCTCTTTGCCTGCTCCTTCTCCCTACGCTGGTCCGACTGGAGGTCTTACTGAGCGTCGTGCGCCTGCGTCTCGTCCTGCGTCGCGTGTTCGTACTGCGCGCACTAGTGGTCGCGGGTCGCGTCAGCGTCCTCCTCCTGTCCCTGGCACGCACCGGATGTCTCTGCGTCTGTCCACGGCTCGTGTGCGTGCCCCTTTGCCTTCTCCTCCTTCTTCCTCTCTTCCTGCTCTTGCTGACCCGGAGTTGGACTCTCTTCGTGCTGCCAGTCCTACTATCACGCGTCTCCTTGCTACTGCTGTCACTGACCCTTCTTTCGAGTCTTCTGCTGCGTCTACCCTTGTCACTGAGCTCGTCGACTTTGCTGCGCGCTGTCGTCTAGACTACGCTGCGAGTCTTGTCGCTGAGTCTGAGTCTGCCTGTCCTCCGTCCGCCGGGGGTGAGTGTGCCCTTGGCACGGACGTCCGTGAGGACAGGCAAGAGGAGTTCCAGTGTCTGGCCGCCGCTTCACCTCATCTCGCATCTGTACTGCTAGCCCCTGAGGGAGACCCGGATGCACTTGACATCCCGACTCCGCGCTCTTACGCGGAGGCGATAGAGGGTCCCTACTCCTCTCAGTGGCAGGCAGCTATGGATGCAGAGATGGCTTCCTGGAAGTCCACAGGCACCTACGTTGACGCTGTTCCCCCTCCTGGGGCGAACATCGTCAGTGGCATGTGGATCTTCAGGGTGAAGCGACCACCGGGTTCTCCGCCTGTCTTCAAGGCGCGTTACGTGGCTCGTGGCTTCAGTCAGCGGCAGGGGGTTGACTACTTTCAGACCTTCTCCCCCACCCCGAAGATGACCACTCTTCGGGTACTACTGCACGTTGCTGCTCACCGTGACTACGAGCTGCACTCTCTCGACTTCAGCACCGCTTTCTTGCAGGGGAGCCTGCACGAGGAGATCTGGCTGCGTCGCCCACCTGGCTTCACTGGGTCTTTCCCTCCTGGTACCCAGTGGAGTCTCCGGCGTCCAGTGTACGGTCTCCGCCAGGCGCCACGCGAGTGGCACGACACACTGAGGACTACGCTGGCGGCACTTGGGTTTGCTCCTTCTACTTCCGACCCGTCGCTGTTTCTGCGCACCGTCACCTCTCTGCCGCCGTTCTACATCCTCGTGTACGTCGACGACTTAGTCTATGCCACAGCTGACACCGCTGGACTCGCCTACGTGAAGTCCGAGCTGCAGAAGAGACACACGTGCACTGACCTGGGTGAACTGCGCAGCTACCTTGGCTTGAAGATCACCCGGGACGGAGCACGCTGCACCATTACCTTGACTCAGTCACACATGGTGCAGCAGGTCCTTCAGCGCTTCGGCTTCACGTACTCCTCGCCTCAGGCCACTCCTCTGCCTACTCGCCACTCGCTCTCAGCTCTGCCTTCGGATGAGTCCGTAGAGTCGAGTGGCCCGTATGCAGAGCTTGTTGGCTGCCTCATGTACCTGATGACCTGCACACGACCTGACCTTGCATACCCTCTTAGCATTCTCGCACGCTATGTTGCTCCTGGGAGACACTGACCAGAGCACATGGCTGCAGCGAAGAGGGTGTTGCGCTACTTGTGCAGTACGTCGGGCATGGGGCTAGTGCTTGGAGGGCGCAGTCCAGTGGTCCTCACTGGGCACGCAGACGCTTCTTGGGCTGACGACCAGGCTACGCAGCGGTCGTCACAGGGTTACCCCTTCAGCCTTGGTTCCGGCTCTGTTTCTTGGCGGGCTACCCGCTCGTTTTCTGTTCTCGGCTCCAGTTGTGAGGCTGAGATCTACGCCGGGGCTATGGCTGCACAGGAGTTACGCTGGCTCACCTACTTGCTGACCGACCTTGGAGAGCCGCCTCGTTCTCCTCCAGTGCTGTACGTAGACAACAAGGCCATGCTGGCCTTGTGTCGAGAGCAGCGACTGGAGCACAGGACAAAGCACATTGCTCTCCGCTACTTTCTTGCTCGTGAGCTACAGCAGCGTGGACAGTTGCGACTTGCGTACGTGGCCTCTGAGGCCAACACTGCTGATGTCTTCACCAAGGCACTTGCGCCTTGTGATCATCAGCGTTGTTGCACGCAGCTGGGTCTTGTGCCTGTCTTGCCTCACTTGCTCACTTCTTGACTTTGCTTGTACCTTCACTTTATATACTCTTGCTCTTGCTTTCTTGACTCTTGTATATCTTTATATATGATCTTGCATGTGAACTGGCCTTGTGGCCTTTGAACTTGTGCTCGGAATGTGTGGTGACTTTGTGATCCACCCTGAGCTTTGCTTTGCTTTGCTTGACTGGTCTTGTGACCCCTTGTTCTCCCCCACTTTGCCTATGGGGGTGTGTCAGAACATTATAGCTTACTCATTTCTGTAGGCTATAGTGGGGTATCCCATAGGGGGTACAACACAATTAGGGTTTTATATTTGTACTCACTTCATTCCATAGTCATTCATTCTCGTTCGTTCTTTTCACAGTTCCGCCTTTCGTGATCGAATCGCCCGTGCTCAAGAGAGTCAACCGAAGTACGGTAGAAATGGATGTGGGTGGACACGCTGCAAAATAGGGAATCGTTACTGTTTTAATCATGATTTAAAATAAAACTTGTGCATGTGCTTATAATAAATCAAGGTTTTATAGGGGGTGCGCTTATAATTGAGGATCGGCCATAAGCGCATTGCTTCAGATACAAGCGCATGCGCCTTTAATTGGCCTGCGCTTATATCCGGGGCCATACGGTACATCTTGATAACTGTTCAGCTGCTGTATTATAATACCAGGGATTGGATCGTGTATGGCATACGCAGAACTATAGCAGCTACGGAATCAGATAATAATGGTTCATGTGTTTTCGAAGGTGCTATTGGCCGCAAAGCTCCGCGCGTTCCGTGTCCTCCCCGCTCCCCGCCATTCGCTTTTCCCCCCTACGATCCACGTCCGCGTAAATCCGCCATGCTCCGCACTTTTCCCTCAAAGCTTTCCGACGTGAAACGCGCAAGAGTACTCACGAAAGTACTCAGCCGTGAAAAAGCTAATTCTCTCAATTCGAGATATCGATTTCGCACCCGAGGAAGCAGAATCGGCAGGGATCTAAAACGCGAACGTGTACTAGTTGCGGCTTTCTCGATGACGACGAGGGAGAAAAAGGCTCCGCCAGGCCCGGCGTAACTCCTCGACTGATACGCATTGATTAAAAAGCTGAACAGAGCCGCAGCACAACGTAACACCTTCTGTGCACAGATCGAGAAAGAATTGCAGCTGCAGATGAGTCTTTCAAGCATAATAGGAGCCACGCACTCATTTCTGAGGCTACCGCAATAGGGCTCAGCAAGAGTATCTGCGGAACTAAGTGTTGGATGGAAGCGTTGTAGCGGATGCCCCAAGCCACATTCGCATATCGAGTTTGCATTGTGATTTACACTACCATGGTGAAAGCTAACGACGTATGCAGCGCTACCTAGGCAGCAGCTACCTAGGCAGCAACGCGATCCCAGCTACCTAGGCAGCAGCGCAATCCCAGCTAGGCAGCAGCGCGACTCCCGCTAGGCAGCAGCTCTTTCCTCGCTAGTAGCAGCGCGATTACGCCACGTAGCCCGCGACCCAGCCTTAGCCCGCGATTAAGCCGCCCAGGTCGCGATCTAGCCGCCTAGCCCGCGATTTAGCCGCCCAGCCCGCGATCTAGCTGCCCAGCCCGTGATCTAGCCGCCTACGCCTCGATCTAGCCGCCTAGCCCGCATTTTAGCCGCTCAGCCAGCGATTCAGCCGCCCCGCCCGTGACCTAGCTGCAAAGCAGCGATCTTGCTGACCAACCGGTGATTTAGCCGCTTAGCCCGCGAACTGCAGGTAGCAGCGCGCAGCTGGGCAGTGGAACCCGTGCCGTAACAGCGATATCCGCACCGCAGCAGTGAACATCGCGCCGTAGCAGCGAGATCAACGCCGTAGCAGCGAGATCAACGCCGTAGCAGCGACATTCGCGCCGGGGCAGCGAAATCCCCGTCGTAGCAGCGACATCCACGCCTAGGCAACAAAACCCACGATGAAGCAGCGACATCTGCGCCGAAGCAGCGACATCTGCGCCGTAGCAGCGAAATCCGCGCCGTAGCAGCAAAATCCGCGTCGTAGCAGTGAAGCCCGCGCCGTAGTGTTGAAGTGCGCGCCGTTGCAGCGAAGTGCGCGCCGTAGCAACGAATTGCGCGCCGTAGCAGTGAAATCCGCGCCTTAGCAGCGAAACCCGCGCCGTAGCAGCGAAGTCCGCGCCGTAGCAGCGAAATCCGCCACGTTACAGTGAAACCCGCGCCGTAGCAACGAAATCCGCGCCGCGGCGGAGGGATCAGCGCCAAGGCAGCTATACTCGCGCGTAGGAGCGCCATCGCAGTGAAGCTCGCGCCTAGGCAGCAACTACCGCGTGTAGGGAGGACCACAAAGCGAGACCCGCGCCTAGGTACCAACACCTGCAGGTAGGAGCGTCCAGTGTATAGGGGAGTCTCCGTGCGCCAGCGACGCCCAACACCTTCGACTCACCCGGACTGCGAGCCTTATATCGAAGGCGGGAGGCGCCCCTCCAGCGCCCCCCGCAAACAGCTTACGCCATGACCAACGATCCAGACCCCCCAGACCGGGGGAGGAAGATCATCGCGAGGATTGGCCACAAGAGACCCAGGGAGGCAGCGCCGAGTATGCAATACCCACAAGTCTGTCGCCTCCACCACGAGGATGCATTCTGCCTTTTTGGCAAGCCCAGCAAGCGACAAAGGTATAGACCCCTCTCGACATAGTGGGGGACAGAGGAACCACCCAAAGACACTCTCGGCGGCTTCGTAGGCGGCAGCGGCACCATCTCCAACCGGGACCTGGACGTGGCGGACGAGGGCGAGTGCGGTCATGGGGCGCACAGGCAAGGTACCGGTGATGACGCGGCGATGGCTGCATGGGAGGCACACCGCCGGCGTCTGCAGGAGTCTCATGATAGGCGGCGGAGGGCCCTAGGAAATCCTTCGGCACGCCCAGCCCTCACAGCTCCGCGCGGGCCTCGCCTGGCCCAAAGGCAGGAACAGAGACGGAGATCCCGGGCGGAAGGGCAGCAGTGGAGTCCAGCGGGGACACACCCCTCGAGGCAGGAGGGGGGGCAGCAGAACTGGCTGTTGGGGGAGGCCCGGAAGCCACAGGCAAGGGAACAGCAGATGCGGCCGATGGGAGTGGAGCAGGAGCTGCCGGCGAGAGGGGAGCAGGAGCTGCCGGCGAGAGGGGAGCTGGAGCTGCCGGCGAGAGGGCAGCAAGAGCCGCAGGCAAGAGGGCGGCAGGTGTGGTCGGCAGGCGAGCAGCAGGTACTGCCGAAGGGAGAGCAGCAGGAGCGGCTGGCGGGAGGGCAGCTGGAGCTGCCGGCGGGGGGGCAGCAGGAGCTGCAGGCAGGAGGGCAGCGGGAGGTGCCAGCAGGAGGTGCCAACGGGAGGGCAGCAGGATGTGCCAGCGGGAGGGCAGCAGGAGGCACCAATGAGAGGGCAGCAGGAGGTGCCGGCGAGAGGGCAGCAGGAGGTGCCGGTGAGAGGGCAGTTGGAGGTGCCGGCGAGAGGGCAGCAGGACCTGCCGGCTGGGGGGCAGCAAGTGGTAGAAGTGGAGATGGCCGAGCTACAGCCAGAGGTGCAGCAGGACCAATCGGGGAACCGTGCCTGGCCACACGCAGGAGGGCAGCAGGAGCCGCCCGGGGTAGAGCAGCGTGAGCTGCCAAGGGAAGAGCAGCAGGAGCTGCCGGCAAGGGAGCAGCAAGCAAGGGAGCAGCAAGCGGTAGAAGTGGAGATGGCCGAGCTACAGCCAGAGGCACAGCAGGACCAATCGGGAAACCAGGCCTGGCCACAGGCAGGAGGGCAGCAGGGGCCGTCCGGGGGAGAGCAGCTGGAGCTGCCAAGGGAAGAGCGGCAGATTCCGCCGGGGGTGGGGCAGCTGCCGGCAAGGGAGCAGCAAGCGGTGGATGTGGAGATGGCCGAGCTAATGCCAGAGGTGCAGCAGGACCAATCAGGGAGCCAAGTCCGGCTGCAGGCAGGAGAGCAGCAGGAGCTGCCGGGGGAGGAGCGGCAGGAGCTGCCAACGGGAGGGCAGCTCGAGCTGTCGGGGGGAGGGCAGTAGGAGCTGTCGGAGGGGGAGCGGCGGGAGCTGCCGGCGCGGGGGCAGCTGGAGGTTGCTAGTGCAGACTCTACAAGCCAAGCGAAGAGAACCCGGGCACGGGGCCGAGGCGGGAGACGACACGCCCGTAAGACACAAGGGCGAACTGGAAGCGGAGCTGCCGCACAGCAGGCGGAGGGGCAGCCAGGGGCGACCGAGACACCCCCGAGAGCTCCGCGGGTGGGGGGGGCAGCCCTGGGTGCCCGGGGCGCCCCAAGGAGAGCAGCAGCCAGGGGAGTTGCCGGGGGTGACCGGAGCACCCCAGGGAGAGCAACAGGCAGGGGGGCAGCCGAGGGTGCCCGGAGCACCCCAGGGAGTGCAGCAGGCAGGGGGGCAGCCGGGGGTGCCCGGGGCACCCCAGGGAGTGCAGCAGGCAGGAGGGCAGCCGAGGGTGCCCGGGGCACCCCAGGGAGTGCAACAGGCAGGGGGGCAACCGGTGATGCCCGGGGCACCCCAGGGGGTGCAGCAGGCAGAAGGGCAGCCGAGGGTGTCCGGGGCACCCCAGGGAGGGCAGCAGGCAGGAGGGCAGCCGGGGGTGCCCGGGGCGCCCCAGGGAGTGCAGCAGGCAGGGGGGCAGCCAGGGGTGCCCGGGGCACCCAAGGGAGTGCAGCAGACAGGGGGGCAGCCGGGGGTGCCCGGGGCACCCCAGAGAGTGCAGCAGGCAGGAGGGCAGCCGAGGGTGCCCGGGGCACCCCAGGGAGTGCAGCAGGCAGGGGGGCAACCGGGGGTGCCCGGGGCACCCCAGGGGGTGCAGCAGGCAGGAGGGCAGCCGAGGGTGCCCGGGGCACCCAAGGGAGTGCAGCAGGCAGGGGGTCAGCCGGGGGTGCCCGGGGCACCCCAGGGGGTGCAGCAGGCAGGGGGGCAGCCGGGGGTGCCCGGGGCACCCCAGGGAGTGCAGCAGGCAGGGGGGCAACCGGGGGTGCCCGGGGCACCCCGGGGGGTGCAGCAGGCAGGAGGGCAGCCGAGGGTGCCCGGGGCACCCCAGGGAGTGCAGCAGGCAGGGGGTCAGTCGGGGATACCCGGAGCACCCCAGGGAGTGCAGCAGGCAGGAGGGCAGCCGGGGGTGCCCGGGGCACCCCAGAGAGTGCAGCAGGCAGGGGGGCAGCCGGGGGTGCCCGGGGCACCCCGGGGGGTGCAGCAGGCAGGGGGGCAACCGGGGGTGCCCGGGGCACCCCGGGGGGTGCAGCAGGCAGGAGGGCAGCCGAGGGTGCCCGGGGCACCCCGGGGGGTGCAGCAGGCAGGAGGGCAGCCGAGGGTGCCCGGGGCACCCCAGGGAGTGCAGCAGGCAGGGGGTCAGTCGGGGATGCCCGGAGCACCCCAGGGAGTGCAGCAGGCAGGAGGGCAGCCGGGGGTGCCCGGTGCACCCCAGAGAGTGCAGCAGGCAGGAGGGCAGCTGAGGGTGCCCGGGGCACCCCAGGGAGTGCAGCAGGCAGGGGGGCAACCGGGGGTGCCCGGGGCACCCCAGGGAGTGCAGCAGGCAGGGGGTCAGCCGGGGGTGCCTGGAGCACCCCAGGGAGTGCAGCAGGCAGGAGGGCAGCAGGGGATGCCCGGGGCACCCCAGGGAGTGCAGCAGGCATGAGGGAAACCGGGGGTGCCCGGGGAGCCCCAGGGAGTGCAGCAGGCAGGGGGTCAGCCCGGGGTGCCCGGGGCGCCCCAGGGAGTGCAGCAGGCAGGTGGGGAGCCGGGGGTGCCCAGGGCACCCCAGGGAGTGCAGCAGGCAGGAGGGCAGCAGGGGGTGCCCGGAGCACCCCGGGGAGCGCAGCAGGCAGGAGGGCAGCCGAGGGTGCCCGGGGCGCCCCGGGGAGTGCAGCAGGCAGGTGGGCGACCGGGGGTGCCCGGGGCACCCCAGGGAGTGCAGCAGGCAGGAGGGCAGCCGGGGGTGCCCGGGGCACCCCAGGGAGTGCAGCAGGCAGGGGGGCAACCGGGGGTGCCCGGGGCACCCCAGGGAGTGCAGCAGGCAGGGGGTCAGCCGGGGGTGCCCGGAGCACCCCAGGGAGTGCAGCAGGCAGGAGGGCAGCCGGGGGTGCCCGGGGCATCCCAGGTAGTGCAGCAGGCAGGAGGGCAGCCGAGGGTGCCCGGGGCACCCCAGGGAGTGCTGCAGGCAGGAGGGCAGCCGAGGGTGCCCCGGGCACCCCAGGGAGTGCAGCAGGCAGGAGGGCAGCCGAGGGTGCCCGGGGCACCCCAGGGAGTGCAGCAGGTAGGAGGGCAGCCGAGGATGCCTGGAGCACCCCAGGGAGAGCAGCAGGCTGGGGGGCAGCCGGGGGCGACCGGAGCACCCCAGGGAGAGCAGCAGCTAGGGGGGCAGCCGGGGGTGACCCGAGCACCCCACGGCGAGCAGCAGGTAGGGGAGCAGCCGGGGGTGACTGGAGCACCCCAGGGAGTGCAGCAGGCAGGAGGGCAGTCGATGGTGCCTGGAGAACCCCAGGGAGTGCAGCAAGGAGGAGGGCAGGGAGTGCAGCAGGCAGGAGGACAGCCGAGGGTGCTCGGAGCACCCCAGGGGGAGCAGCAGGTAGGGGGGCAGCCGAGGGTGACTGGGGCACCCCAGGGAGTGCAGCAGCCAGGGGGGCAGCCGAGGGTGCCCTGGGCACCCCAAGGAGCACAGCAATCAGGGGGGCGATCGATGGACGACCAGGAGCAACATTTGGAGGAGTGGTGTCGACCTTTGGATTTGATACCCCCATGGCGACTGTGGAGGAGTCAGAGGCGGACGAAGCACCTCCCATGCCGCCTTCCCCATGCCCCCGCTTTCCGTGCGACACGTGTTTCCACACTTTCGCTACGCGGGGGGCCGCTGCGAACCACATGAGGGTGTGACGAGCGGCGGAGGCGGAGAGGCGTGCACAGGCTCTCGGCTCGATTTCATCTCTGGTGGAGACCGACACGCAGGAGCGATCCACGCCGCGGGAATTTGGGGAGGAGGCGTGGGCTGGGGTTACGTCATGGGAATGGGAAACATTTTTCAGCGTGGAGGCGGTTGGAGGGAGGACAGTGCGCCGGATCCCACAGCAAGCTAGGTCGGGGGTTTTAGACGCGCTCTGTTGCATCCTTAAGCGCTTGGAGAGCCAGCCGGGAGATGAAGCCGCTACCCTCCTACTCTTGGCGTTTCCGCGCCTCATCCTAACCATGCCTCCCAAGCCAGGCATAGGTCAGAAGGCGCTGATCACAGAGGAGTTGGGTGCGTTCTGGGAGGGGAGGTGGCGGGAGCTGTTCGATTCTGCCATGGTGGCGACGCGGCCAGCAGTTCGCCCACTTTCCTACACTTGCTCTGACCAGGACCCGGATGCCATCCACCTGTCACGGTGCCGATCTCGATGCAAAGTGGGGGAGTGGAGTCGTGGATTGGCCTGCCTTACATTAGGGGAGCTGGCTCGACCGTCTGAGGTCATGGTGCAGTCGCTGCGAGAGAAGCACCCGGCTAGCGTTGGCGAGGTACCACAGTGGGTCCACGATTTCACCATCGAACCTGCTCAGCGGCCTTCACTCACGAGCGACATCCTGGCCAGAGGTATCCATACAGCCGCTCGAGCTTCAGCAGCAGGGCCATCGGGGTGGGTTACAGAGCATCTGCGCGACACCTTCCTCACTGAACTTTCCTGCCTTTCCCACTTGTTGGAAGTGTTCAACTAATGGGTGGCAGGACAGGTCCCCGAGCGCGCTCGGCCGTGGCTCGCCGCATCCAACCTAGTCGGGCTTTCCAAGCCTAACGGCGACGTCCGGCCGGTGGCGATCGGGGAGGTGCTTCCTCGTATCCTTGCTCGAGCTCTCAGCATCTTGCTCCGCCCTGCAATGGTTTCCTACTTCCTGCCGTGCAACCAGCTGGGAGCGGGCACCAGGGTCGGGGCGGAGATTCTCACTCACTCTTTCCGGTCAGCGCTGGCCACTCAACCCAACTGGTGTGCGCTACAGATAGACGTCGCAAACGCCTTCAATTCGTTTCACCGTCATGTGATGTTCGATGGGCTGCAGGAGTCGCCTTTCTCAGGGATGATCCCATTCTTGCGTGTCTTTTATGGGACACCTAGTGACCTGTACCTCCGAGCAGGCCCTTTCGTACAGAGCATCGAGTCAGCACGGGGATCGAGGCAGGGGGACCCGCTCGGCCCTTTTCTTTTCGCGTTCACTCAGCAGCAGGTGATGGAGCCGGTTACTAGGGAGTTCAAGGACCTGCTTTTCCTCAGCTATGGAGACGATACCTATATTTTGGGGCCAACGGCTAGGATTCTGGAGGCTTTTGGGGTGCTTCGGGAGCGGTTGGAGTGGGTGGGGCTGGAGGTGCAGGCGCACAAGTGCCGGTTTTGGGAGCGCGAGGGCAAGGAGGTGGAGCGGGCACTGCCATTGGGGATGCAGCGGGTGGATGAGGGTCGGGCGTGCCTATTGGAGAGGAGGTTTGGGAGGTGGTCCGCCTACGGGAGCGGCTTCGACAGTTGCAAGCGCCACTGCCATGGCTCCCCTTGCTCGACCACCCCCAGATGGCTTCACACCTCCTCGCCATTGCAGTTTCAGCGCGGCCGATGTACCTCGCCCGGACTATGCCGCCGCGTCCGGAGGTAGTTGAGGCTTTTAGGGATTGGGACAGTTGTTTAGAGGATTGCTTTGAACAGCAATACAGCTGCATCTCCCTGTGCGTCTCGGAGGGTTCAGGATCCGGGCGGCGGCCTCTTTGAGCCCACTGTCCTATGTTTGTGGGTGGGCGCAGTCCGCGCGTGACATTGCACAGTTAGGGGTGGCGGGTGAGGAGGCGATGTTTGCAGAGTACCTCACCACTTCGACAGGGGCAGAGTTTCTTGACCCGTGGTTTGTCAAGGCTCTTGAGCAGCTGCCAGCGACTATCCGCCACGAGATACCGGGCTTACCTCTGTGTGTAGCGGCCCCTCCTGTTCGGCTTTTCCAGGCGCGGCAGCGGCAGTTAGCTGTAGAGGAGCTCCAGGCACTGCGCCGCTTGGCTCGTGACGATGCCACCTTGGCCCGTTTCACATCCCTTCAGGGCCCGCGGGCAGGTGCATGGGTTTCGACGGTTCCGGCTCACTCGGATCTCACATTCACTGCGGCTGAGTGGGGCATTGCTGCTGCTATACGGCTCGGCCTCCCAATCCAGCAGCTGCAGGTGGCGGGGAGGTGTGTTTATGGCACAGCAATTGTTGACCCAGCAGATCCGCACCATGCCATGACATGCAGGCATCAGCATGGTCCTTCTCGGGTGCATGATGAGGTGAAGTTTGCGGTGGCGAAGATCTCTAAGGCGTCGGGGGGGGGGGGTGACAATGGAGGATAGTGTGGTGCTGCATGGGAAGCGGGTTGATGTGGCGGTGCGACGTCTAATGGCGGGAGAGGCTCACGCCCTATAGATCAGCGTCGCGGACCCGCTATCGCTGTCTCCATCACTGCTGGGACAGTGCGGGCGTCAAATAGGTGTGGCGGCAAGGGAATGGGAGCGCAGCAAAACGAGTGACTACACGCCTCTGCTTGCACGCAACCGGGGCGTGCAGTTTACCCCTTTGATAGTTGAGACGTGGGGGTGTTTCGGCGATCGTTTTCAGCGGTGGCTTCGTCAGCAGGGGGATGCGCACATGGGACTAGCTGTGTCGCGGGGGGCTTGTCGAGAGGACGACTCTGTGTTTTTGGCTTATCTTTTAGGGTCACTGAAGGCGCTCATCGTGGTGGCGTTACAACGGACGCAAGCCCGTGTCATCCTGCTTCGAGCAGCGTCTTCCATGGGGGGGATTAACGTAAATTTGGTGGATTAGGAGAGGGACGATGCCGATGTGGAAGGTGGGGCTCTCTGGGTGGAGGCCCCGTACATGGTCGATACGTTGATATGATTGAAAAGGGGGGGTGGGGAGATGGGGTGTTTGATGGGATGTCTTGATGGGGTGTCTTGACTGGGCATTTTGATTGGGTATCTTGAGTGGGGGTTTTATGTGTGCTGCATTTGGGTTCTTTTTGGCAGTTTCATCTTCCTTCTCCCTTTCTTCCTTCATTCCCTTTCCTTTTCAGAAACACTATGGCGGGCAATGTTTAGGTCTAGTGTCTATACAACACATAATTCTTGACCTTGGAGGTTGGGTGTGAAAATCACCTGCGTATATTCTGATGCCATATGGTCACAGGTGGATCGGAGAGTCTGCATTGTGCGGTTCTATTCCATATCGGAATGGTTGGGTAGAAATTTTTGGGAACAGGGTTTATGCTTGTATTCTTCTTGAGGGATCGGATCGTGTATGGCATACGCAGAACTGTAGCAGCTACGGAATCAGATAATAATGGTTCATGTGTTTTCGAAGGTGCTATTGGCCGCAAAGCTCCGCGCGTTCCGTGTCCTCCCCGCTCCCCGCCATTCGCTTTTCCCCCCTACGATCCACGCCCGCGTAAATCCGCCACGCTCCGCACTTTTCCCTCAAAGCTTTCCGCCACGCTCCCCCTCCCGGTACCTCGTAGCCCCCGCCCTTATTCCAACACACCACCTTATTTCTGCAGTCCACTCTCGCCACGCCGCAAACCGCCCATCAAGCTCAACCGTCCATCTGCCAGGGGGGTTCATCTCCGCCGTACCGCTCCCACGCGTTCGATTCTTTATCCGTTCGACCTCCTTGCCAGCGACCATGGGGCTCGCGGACGTGCTTTACCGCACAGTCATGAAGCGTAACTCGGTATACATCGGCTTCATCTTCGTCGGCGCACTTGCCGGAGAGCGGGTAAGTCATGTTCGCGCTCCGCAGTTCGTTTCTCTCGACATTCCCCGGGTCTCTCGATCAATCGAACGGTAGATCTGAGTTCGGTTAGGTTTGACTACCTTCTTGGCTTCGACTGTGCGTCGTGCGAGGTTCCAAGCGCTTAGGACGCGGAGAATGTTTAGCTAGCGGCGATGCATTTGGACCAGGAACGTGTTCAGGATGGAAATGAATTCAAAATGTTCGCCGATGCCTGGGAACATCTCTGAGTCACTACCGGGTACCCCGTTTCGACAGCTTGATCTCACTCTCCTTCCGTTAACCTGTTCTATTATCGAGGTCCAGTTCCACGCTACACGTTTATCAGATAGCCTTGTTACGGCTCGAATCAGATATCCTTGTTACGGCTCGTATCAGATAGCCTTGTTACGGCTCGTATCAGATAGCCTTGTTACGGCTCGTATCAGATAGCCTTGCATGTAGCGTAACGCGTGGGGTCGTGCGGTGCAGTTAGATTCTTCCTCGTGCTTGCGGTAAGTGCTGTGGTCTAGGAGCCTTGCATAGCTGTCCAAGGTGAAACACAGGCCCACCGCAGTTGCACTGTCGCGCTGGCGATTTAGAGCTGTTAAACGTCAGCGATTTCTGTTATGATGACGCCAATGGGAACGCGTGTGTCGATTACTTCAACTTCATTTGCCTCTCCGCCCTTGACTTCTCCTTCCATGCTGCTCCCTCACCAGGCGGTCAACTACACTTTCGACCAGCTCTGGGATTCGTACAACAAGGGGGTAAGTTCCGATCCTAGAGATATATTGGTCCTTATTCCTGTTACAGATGTATTTTGAACTAGGTGTTAATGTTTAGTACTAACCTCACTGTCTTTTTTACATATTGCCTCCTCACTTTCCTTCTCTCTCTGTTCCTGTGCAGAAGCGGTACGAGGACATCTCGGTTCTTGGAACAAGAACAGGGGAGGAGTAAGCTTGAGTGCACATCATCATGACTCTTCAGACAAAGATTAGCCTGTGCAAGTGGACAGACATTGTACCCGGTACCTTAGTTCCTGCTCGTCTAATATTTTGAAGTACCGTGATTGGTTCCTGCTAGTCTGATCATTAGTCCGATGATGAAGGATGCAAAATTCGTTCAAATTGTGCCCATGCATAACATCATGTACCGTATAGTTCCGGCTAGAAGACCCGCCGGTAAGAAGGTCCCCCGGGACTCTTGAATGGGTAGGGGGACTCTTATTGTGGCCGATTTTGTGAGGACCCCACCTTGGCTTCTAATCATCATAAGACCCCCCTTTTCTGTATACAGTAGTTGTAATTGATATTGTGCGTCAGCTTTTACTGGTGTAAATTCGAATTCTGACACGTTTTTTTGTGTCAGACTCGAATTCTGACACTTCATTTGTGTCAGACTCGAACTTTGACACAGATCTGACGCGCCGCACGCGTGAAATTTTCGCGAATTCGTTACGAATATTAGACCCCCCCACCCCAAATTGAGTCGTACACCCTAAATATCAGATTGATAATTGACAAATAGGTTACCCTGGGTCTTAAAAATTGCTGCCGCCATAATGTCCACCCAAGCACAATTTCCAGCATTTGTAGAGAGTCCCCCGGGTCTTCTAGCCGGAACTATACGGGCCGGAACTATACGGTACACTGAATGAGCTGCGCATGCTAAACCAATAAGCTGTGCAGAGAGGTGTTCAAGTACCGTAGTTCAACATAAAAATGATTGGGCTGGCACAGCAGCACACTAGCTCTTGCCCAAACCAAATACACGTTAGCAATGTCCCCTCATCCTTGGGAATTATTTTCAGCTCGGCCTAGTCTTCTATATTTGCTTCAAAGCATCACTGCCACCTGTGGAGCCAAAACCTCCAGCCCCCCGTGTGGTCTCATCCAACTCTTCCACCTCCACAACATCAGGAGTGACTATTCGCTCCAGGATCAGCTGTGCAACTCTGTCTCCGACCTTCACAGGGAAGTCCTTGTCAGAATGATTGAAGAGAATCACTCCCACATTTCCACGGTAATCGTAGTCAACCACGCCGCCTCCCACGTTGATGGAATGCTTCAGGGCGAGGCCAGAGCGAGGAGCTGAAATGACACGACAATGGACCAGAGAATGAAGGATGGAAGAGGAGGAATCAAAGCAAATGGCTTAGAAGTTTCTGCTCTAAGCATAAGAAACATTCGCGAACCAGGCGTCGGGTGTTTCAGAAATAGGCTGGAGAAAGTCTCAAAGATTGACGGAATGGCGAAATGTAAGAGCGAAACTGGGACTCACCCACTCGAGCGTAAGAATGGGAAATGTAAGAGCGAAACTGGGACTCACCCACTCGAGCGTAAGTCCCCAGCGGAATGGCGACTGCGAGGTCAGTCTTGACGAGTGCTTGCCCTCTTGCAGGAACGGTGATGTCATGTGCACTGAAATATGTCAAGGATGCGATAAGAAGAACAGTCATGAGGCGGGATATTGAAATTGACCCGAAACAGTAGTCAAGTCAGCCACTTGACTCCCCGTTATCGCTGCTAGAATCTGACTCGTGGAATCTGATTCGCGTACCTTGAAAGATCGTAACCGGCAGCACTCGCCGACCCTCGTTTGGGAAGAACAGCGGTCTCTGACAGCTTCTTCACACGGAGGGAGATTTCTGGGTCTACCTTCATCTTCTTCAACGGCGATTCTTCTGGAGCTTGATTGCCATCTATCTTCGGTTCTTCTGACGCCGTGACATTTTTCGTGGTTTGCTGATCTGGAGCAATGGTCTCCTTTGATTCCGGCTCTTCTGATGCCATGAGGACACTGCTAAATCTAGAATGACACCGAATGTGTTGTACACCCCGCGTGGACACTTCGCCTCGTACAAAAGGAACGGAGTAAACCAAACAAGAGGCCGACGGATTAGCGAGAAGGTACCTGCCTAGGAGAGAACCAAGGTTATGTCGGAGAATGGAGAAAACCATCTGTTGTTGGCTAAAATGGAACAGCAGAGACGCAGGGCACAGCAAAGAAGCTGACGCTGATGCTAGTGCACAAACACCGATGGCAGGATTTGAGGGCGCATGCGAAATGGCGAGCTGCAAATTGCAATCCCGACGACGACCTCCTGGAGGCATCAGCAGAAGCAACGTTCCCACATGAGCATTCGTTCTCATGCCCTCGGAACGCATTGTTGTTTCAGGGATCTCGATTTTGTACAGGCCCCCGTATAAGGGCACCGCGTCGCCTTTGCAATTCAAAACGAGATTTTAAAATCTGAAAGCAGGAAACTCTGTTATAGAGAGCAATCAGGCAACGTCATCACATGTAGATTTCACGGCAAGGTGAGTCATTTCATTGAAGTGAAACTACAGGGCCTTTTCGAAAAAGAGCAATTCCACCCAACTCTGGCGCTTGTGCCTTAGCTTGCTTTGCCTCCTTTCTCCTCTCTCCCTTCTTTCGTCTCTTCCCCTCCTTTCCCTCCTGGCCTTTCAGTCCAACTCCCTCGGTCTTCTCCCCAATTCCTTCCTCCCTCCCCTCTTTCTTCCCCCTTTTTTCCTTGCGCTTCCTCTCTCCTTTTGTTTCACCACCACCCCTGCCACTGCCACAGCCACCATCACTGCTACCATTGACTGCACCATCTGCTCCCCCTTCCCCTCCCTCTCCTTCCCCTACTCCTTTCTCTGCAGCAGCTACAGTCATCTCCAGTAGCTTGTCCAAATGCTGATGCAGCATATCCTGGGCCTGGAGGATTCATCAAATCAAATAAAATCAAATAGATGATTGGGATAGGCAGGAGCAAGAGAAAAAAGGTGTCATCTTCAGCAGCCCGTACAAATGGTGCTGCAGCATATCCTGGCCTGGATGTAGAATCAAATCAGGTTAAAGCTAAGGATACATGGACAGAGGGAGATAATGTGGGTGGCATAGTAAAGAAGAAAAAGGGGGCAAGATCGGAGCACACATTGTTATGAATAAGCAAACAGAATGGCTTGAGAGAGATCGGAGCGAGGGATGAAAACATGTCAAAATAGAATCGGCCTTGGGAGAGTAATGGAGGGCACAATCCAAATCCACATGTTTACCAGCAAGCTAAGGGATCAGATTGGGAAAGATGGCAGGAGAGCAGGGGAGGGAATCAGCACGGATTCTCCTATCCAATACACTCGATCCGGACTCACCAGTACAAAATACTCACCCGAATCTGATAGTGCTTCAGCTTCAGGTCTTTCGACTTATCTCCGCTGCCTCTCCCCTCCCCATCCTCCCCTCCCTCCTCCTCCCCCTCATCCTCACTCTCACTCCCCTCCTCCCCATCTGGCTGTATACCCATCTTCCTCAGCCGCCTCCTCTCCTTGCTCGCTAGGGTTGATTGAAGCCCCCTCTTCGCCTTGCGTTTGTGCCTGCCACACAGCAAGCATGGTCACACAGACACAAGCATGGCCACGCAGACACAAGCATGGCCACACAGACACAAGCATGGCCACACAGACACAAGCATGGCCACACAGACACAAGCATTGTCACACAGACACAAGCATTGCCACACATACACAACTGAAAACACTCGTCCCCACAGGGACCTTCGAGATTTCATGTTTATCCAACCAACTGCGGCTCAAACGTTGCGCCTGCCTGAAATCCTAATCCTGCAGACCCACCCTCGCAGGGAGTTCAGAGCTTTTGCAGAAACCTAATGATGTGCAACCCTTCAACACAGAGAACCTCAAGGCTGCGTGCCTCTACCCTGAACACGATCCCCGAAGCTGAATATATTCAGGGTCTCACCCGTACGTGTTAGGAGCGGCCGCAGCGCCCATGATATGTGACCCTTCAACCACGACAGAAGTGATCGCCTCTTGTCTCATCCCCTCTACCCAGCACCCTAAACCCGAACTTATTCAGGGATTCACCTGAACGTGGGATTAGCAGCAGCGCCCATGATGTGCGACCCTTCAACCACGACAGAGCTGATCGCTGCCTGCCTCTTCGCCTCCTCCTCATCCTCGCTCGAGCTGTCTGCTGCTGCATTGGACACGTCCGCCACACCCGATGCTTTAACCCCAACCGACGGCTTGCCACCAGAAGACGCTTTAACCCCAACCCCAATGGACCGTTCAGCTGCATTAGATGCTAGCTCCGCAGCGGAACCTGACAGGTCCGCATTCCCGCATGCTACTCCACCGCTTCGGCTCTCGCGTTTCGCACGCTTTTCCGCTTGTCGCTCCTCTTTTTCCTGGCGCTCCCTCTCGCGTTTCTCCTCCTTCTCCTCCCGCTTCTTCCCGCGACTCTCCTCCTTTTCTCGTTTCTTCGCTCGCGAAAACGTCACGCTATCAAGCTCGCCGCCCTGCGTCCTCTCCTGTCCAACCATCTGCTCGAAATACCGCAATTTTCCCGCGCCTTTTCGCTCGGACACCCCCTTATCCATTTCCGACGCATCCACGTCAGCGATACGCCTATCCACGTCATCATCCAGACTCTCAGTGTCACTTCCGCGCGCGTTTTTTCGAGGAGGCGCGGGTTTTCCGGGGTAGTGCGCTCCTGGAAATAACCATCGGGAACACTTTGGCTTTTTCTTCTTCTTTTTACCGCCAACTGGCGGGATGTACTTCAGTCCTAGAGTTTTCGCCTCGATTCTCGCCTGCTCCTCTGCGTTGATAAGGACTTCGCGCTTTTTGAAATTCTTGCCTGAGAACTTCCCTCTCCGCGGCTTTTGCTTGATTAACTTCCGCACCACCATGACTGTATTTACGCTACCAGCAACCGTCGTTGCATCAACAGGCGCATAAACACCACATATCAAGTAGCGTTGCAACGATCACCTTCAAGAATCACGAGGAACTGACTCGCTCAGAAGCGGAACAGAACTGGTCGCGATAATGATCATCCCTGCTATTTATTAGTTTGTGAGGTCTTCCAAACATGTAAGCTGTTTTCTGCTGTTGAGTGTAATGTTTTCCTCAGAGGTCCTCAGCCCGTTCGGCCAGGCCTATCCGCTCCCATCCCATCCCAACCAACGCTTGACAAATCGTCAGCCCAGCCCCACCTCTTGTTACCCCTCCTCGCCCCTCGAGATTACCTTTCCCTGACAACGATTTCTCAGTAATCTGCCCTTCGTGGGAGGAATTCTCCGAAGGTGTCTAAATGCGGTCATGTGAGATCCTTTGCAACATCAAGCGGTCAATGAGACATCTAGAGAGGTTCAGCGTGGTGATTAGAGGAAATCGAATAGGTTCAACTCTTGTCACTGATAGCAATCACTGGTTGCACCATCTCTTCACTACTGCGCTGGCATTCTTTCTTCCTGATCAGCCTTTCCTTGAAGAAATTGTTCCAGCCATCCGAACTCGCTCTCTGAAATCACATTCCCGTTGTTATTGCTCGTTTTTTGGGTCTGATTTCAACGGTCATCCTTGGTAGCGAAGCTCGTGAAGGTGAGCCGTGCATTTTAGCTAGCTACCTTCAGTTGCTGATGACTGGCGTAGGAGTAACCGAAACCTTACGTTCTCCATTATTTTTCTTTGTAAAACGGAACGCCTTCACGGCATAGTCTCGGAAAAAAAAAAAAAAAAAATTCCGAAGCTTCATGTTTCATCACTCTGTTGCTAGTCAATGCTCATGCGAATGCACTCCGTTATTCTGTTCATCCTCCTCCCCGATGTACCCGTTACGTTCTCAGTTAATCCAAAGTCTGTGAAGCAGGAACAGAAACGCCGTTGAAAGCAGGCAGGCAGGCAGACAGAGTCAGGGGACAGTCATGAATGTGGATGAGGAGATTGAGAAGCTCAAGGAGGAAATCACAAAGCTGGGGGAGAAACAGGCAGATGGATCTGTCAAGGTGTGTGTTATGGATACATTCCCATCTATCTGTTTGCCGCACTTTCTTTATCGCAAATGTGCAGGTAAGCACTTCCTACTACCTGTGCCATTTTGTCATTGAGGGACCCGTCCGTGCACGTGATGTATTTGTGTGCATCATAGAAAGGATTTGGGTGCTAATGCACGTCTGTGCATGAGTGCGTGCGTGCGTGCCTGTGTGCGTGCATGCGTGTGTCAGCAACATCGATAGAGATGTTGCTGGCTACTGCATAATCTCAAATTGGAATGCTGTTTCGGCATGGCTACACATGATGCATCATATATTTCGTTTTACATGTGGCTGTGGTTCTTGATCCTCCCGACAACCAGCTACCTCTGGCGTATCCCCGACCATACTACCTTCAATCATCAGCGTTCTCCCTGCTTTTCGTTGTCCCTGTCCGTTTGTTTTACCACACAGGTGAAGTTTGGCAAGCTTTTTGATGAAACCGGAGACATTTTTGAAGCACTTGGAGGAACGCTACGTGCTGCGAAGAAGAGAAAGATTATCTCATTTGCAGCGGAGATGCTACTGCAAGGCCGAGATAACAATGTCGAGATCATACTTCTACCACAATGACCAAATAGGTACCGTACATGTCATGTGTACCTATTGCAGGGGATGGTTGGTTTTCCTGGATTGCAACCCATTTTTAAGTGGCAAAGCTCAGTGGGTCAACAACTCTGATTTTCAAGCACAACCTATATTTACGTGATTGAATTTGTACAATGGAGGGCTATAGTTAGGTGTAATGAAAAATATATAATCAACTGTATCAGGTGACGAAGGACCTTTGGATGGGATAGCTCTTCCAGAGTACCGTAAGACAGTGGAAGTCTTTACAGTAAAACTTTGATCACAGTGAATGTACGGTAAATGACAAGATTGATTAAAACTTTGATCACATGCAATATACAGTGCAGATCATAGCTAACCATGTACTCTGCAGGGTAGATTCGTTCATTATAGGTACGGTAATACAGGTATCACTACAGTGGCAGTGACTATAGCGATCCCTAAAGTTACCTCGTTGCAGCTTGTAACCTCTAGAGACAGTTGCGACAGTCGAAGGTCGCAACCTCTTGGTCCAGGTCGGTCTACATTCACGACATTTTACCTGCGACTGTCGATCTGCGTGCTCTATACGAGCAACCTCAATACCGTAATTGAACAGGTGATGCTTCGCTTGTACCGTAAAAGGTGCGATATTGTTACACCTGGAATGTTGGACTGTTCGCCAACAAAGCATACTACTGCCATTTGCCTTCCATTTCGAGAAGTGCATCAACTGAACAAATCAGCTTATTAATACACAACCAGACACCAATGGACAAGGGAAACACAAAACAAATGAACAAATAGTTTGGGAATAAAGTAGGCACCAGGCATGTTATGCCACTTGTGACCTGCTTCTCAGTCAACACTAAGGCTTTCAGCAATGAGGTCGGATACACCACGAATGTCAAGAAGTACTATGGCTTCGGCTTGCAGAGCACACGGCCAACATAGAGTGAACTGCTGGTGCATACCCATCCGGGATTGTAGAGGTACATGAGACTGTAGCTGCATTTGAAGATCTTGCACACCACACTGGAACAAGTATCCCCTCTCACAACAGTGTAGGTGCCATAGGCACAAGGAGCCCCCACCAACACAGACTCCACACAGATCTGAAAAGACAGCAAGAGTTTAAAGAAAGAGCGGGTGAGCTCGAGAGTGAATGAGGAATTGCAGCATACTGTTAAGCGTGCAACACAAAATTGTTATGCCAGACTTACATCTTGCCCCACAAGCCGCTGTGACGTGTCCGAAGAGCAGATAAGCCCCGGATTGTACTGGTACAGTTGCGCCGCACTGATTGGAGGATAGGTATTGATCATGACGTCATTGCAGGTCTCGCCTGGGCTGACTGTGTAGTAAGTGGTGCAGCTTTGCGCCTGCGGAGTGCCTGTTTGCACGCAGATCTGCTGGCCTGGTGTGAGAGCGTTGCACTCCAAGTCAGGATTGGCAACATTAAGGTAGGCCTGAGTCACGTTGAAGAGTGTGGCAATAGATGCGCACGTATCACCCTGCAGGAACAAACAGAGCAAATAATAAGTGCGAAGGTTACAGAAATTACGGCGAAGGAGCAGAGGGCACAATGGGGGTGACCAGGAAGCTGGGTTTGAGAAGCACCTGAGCGATTGTGTAGGGAACCACACAGCCCAGTGTAGCAGAGGCAGTGCCAGCATTGCGGATGACAATCGATGTGCCAGCAGGGAATGTACCACTGCACTTGAGCTTCTGCACACGATGAAACCAATGCAGAAAGAACCGCATGAAAAAAGTCAGGCCGAAGCATCGATGAGCAAAGCAGCATAAGCAGAGAACTGGAAAAAGGAAAGAGAGAGAGAGAGAGAGAGAGAGAGAGAGAGAGAGAGAGAGAGAGAGAGAGAGAGAGAGAGAGAGAGAGAGAAAGAGAGATTGTGCTTACCGGGTTGAGAGCCACAAAATCCTTCTTGGAAAGCTGGTACGTAGTGCGCACTAAGCCACAGGACATGGGAGCAGGGAGCACGACTCTGGTCACAAGTGAGCCCGGCACACAGGTGGGGGTGCCGTCGGTGAGAGAGCCGAGGCTGTAACCCAAGGAGCAGAGGCAGGTGTATCCGCCCTTGGCGTCATCAACGCATGTGCCGAAGCCGCATGGGTTGACAGCAAAGAACGTGCACACCTTGGCTGTTGAAGAGGGAAAGGAACATTGCAAATGGGAGATGAAAGGACAGAACAGTAGGTGAGCACAGCATATTTCGAAAAGAAAATCGTACGAACCCACAGAAGCCACGTCTACACCTGACTCAAGACAACCTCTCACCTACACTACAACAGCACAATCTCCAACAAAAATTATAGGCAAAGTAAAGGTACTGACCCAGGGCGCAGGTCTGCGTCTTGTCCAGGTTGGTAACAGCAATGAATCCAGCAGGGCATGTGCACTTGTTGCGCTGGCTCTTGTTGGTCGGAGTGGAGGTGCAGGTGCCCCCGCCGCATGGGTTGATGGGCTTGCACGGGTCAGGGGCTGCAGCCAGATCAGAAGAGAGAGAAATGACGAGGCAGAGGATCAAAGAATGTAAGTCATATGAGCAAATCTGTATCCAACGACGCAAACACAAAATATGGCCATCCAACTGTGAGTAAAAGACGCAGTTTGGAACTAGAGAACGCTCGTGGGGGAGAGAGGAAACAAGCATGGAGCAGTGATTCAACGCACTTGTAATGACGGGGTAGAGGCCGGGCATCGTGTTCATCCCGCACACTCCCGCGCCGCCAGTAATCGCAATCCTCATGTAGCCGTTCTCGCCCCAGGAGGGGCCCCATGAGTTGCGGATGATCCAGTACGGCACCGCATCCATCATGTTGAACCCCACGACCACCACCAGGTGGTCGAGCACCCCCGTGCCGTAACAGCTAGGATCGTTGTACACAAACCCGCCAGAGTATGCCTTGAAAGTGTCTGAATGTGCATCTATGTAAACCACAACAGGTTGCCTTTGAACAGCGAGGGCGATCCCGAGCCACCCAGTAATGCCAATGCTTTCGAACATGGAGATGGGATAGGGGGCGGATGGCATCGAAGCAGGAATCGGGGAAGAGCCAGCGGGCTTGTAGATAGCGAGCATGCGGGAATGGTGTGCGGGGACAGTAATGGCGGTGTCAATGGCGGTACCGGTGGCATCTTCGGCGGAAAGGAGGCGGCGAACGCGGAAGCGAGCAGAGATCTGCAGACAGGCCAAGAACGAAAACAGGTGAGCTCAAGGAGACGGAACATCGAGGGGGGAAATTGTCCTCGAAGATTCTGACGAGAGTGAGCTAAAGTAATGCGGCGGGTTTGCAAATACGCGAGCACGGCCTGGAAACCTGCCTAAACATACACTTCCACAGAAATGGGGGGTATTCACCTGGTCATTCACCTTGCACGTGCCAGAGTTGAGAATGCCCGTGTAAGGATAGCTATCAGCGGAAGGCAGTCCGCCGCTGGCAGCAATGTAGTTGAAGGCGTCGTCCGGCTTGCCTCCATCACACGACCACGTGCCCTGGCAGTCAATCGCCTTCTGCTCTGAGATGTTGGGCGGGGCGAGGTTGTAGGCGATGGCGTACGCTGCTTCCACCGCGGCCACTGGGGCGAAGATCCAACACGCGGCTGAAACGGGGAAGGCGAAGCAGGGGGGGAGGGGAACGGATGGAGAAAAATCAGGGCTTGCCAAGAAATTTCATGTCGAAATGGAAAGCCGGGTGGGGGTGGGGAATAGGTTAGAAAGCAGCAATGTCATTCTAGTAGGTGAGCGCGCTACGGTCTGACTTACAGCAAGCGCCTTGGTTCTTGGTGGCAAGAAGGGCAGACGGAATGCGGGATGTCCAGTCAACAGACGGCGGAATGGTCCACTGAGGGCTCGCCACGGTTCCCGAGAATCCAACGGTCATGTGGCGGAAATACTGGTTGTAATACGACCCGCTGATATCCGCTGCGCCGTCCAATTTCGCACCGCGGTAGTCTCGCTTCCGCATGGTGTCATCGTCCGGTGGCGACGGGGGAGGGGTGACGACGCTCTGGAACGGCGAGCACGAAGGGTATGTTACAGTAACACCACCCACGCGAACTGACAGGGTAACATTGTACATCCCGTCGTAACAGATGCAAGCGGGGGTGCGGGACGGCGTGGAGAGTGTGCAATAACCGAGGCCACCGCAAGCACCCGCGGGAAGAGCCGCTCCGCAAAACGCCACGCATTCAATCGCTCTGCGCTGCGCGGCAACGCTGCAACCAGTCCCAGCGCTAGCGCTTCCCCCACTGCTCCCCGCAAACTTCTTCGGATCTTTCTTGTTGCTCTTGCCCTTCCCATTACCGAAATGTTCCGAAACGTTCCAATTTCCCCCCAGAAAACAATTCTCCCTCGAGCTGCTGGACTTTGACGCGCCGAACTGGGCGAGATTCGCCTGCGCGAAAGCCCCCTCAAGATTCGACGGGCAGAAATCCGCAGACTGCGCGGTGTAGCTAACCGGAAGGTTGCTGAAATAATTTGCGCTCAGATCGTAGGTTGCCTGAGCGGTGTTTGCCAGCGAAGCAGAGGCGAAGGAGGAGGTAGGAGTTCCGCTGAATTGGTTGTTGCTGACGTCACTGTCGGAAGCAAAACAAGAGGACGGGAGCAGGTAAGCCAACAGATCAGAAGCAACGATGGGATATTCAATCGGTATGGGAGGCTGGAAAATATATAATCGAAGTAGAAGATCCGAACGCGAACGAACAGATGGAAATAGGTTGACGCATGGCGTAGCCCACGTAGTACCCCTAAAAACCGTGAAGAGCGGGCAAGAACTTCAAGATTGAAGAGCAAGACGTACACAAAGACGAGGCCGGTAAAAGCTTCAAGTGCGGCGGGGAGGTTGCCATAAAACTGATTGCGGCTGACGTCCCTGTCATACAAAAAAGATTTTGAGCAGATTGATAATGAGCAACCAACAGCTACTAAGATAACAACAATAGGTCAACCAGCAGTCATTCGAGCGCAACATACTAAGTTCAAACAACAATCCAGAAAACGGAATATTCGTACAATGCGACGAGGGACTGCAGGCCGACGATACTCTCCGGAAGAAAACCGGAAAACTGATTGTCTCCCACTAGCCTGAACAGGAGAACATCCATTCAAGTTCAACAGAACAAAAAAAAGGCATAAAAATGAGCACGATAATAGTGTCTTTCATCAGAAAAGGAAGGTACAGAATCCGCTGATATAAGAAAAGCACCTCCATAAAAAAAAAACAAGGTAAGCGGGCGACTGAGAGTAAGGATAGAAAGGAGTGAACGCGATGAGTGTATTACAGGAACTGGAGTTGAGAAAGGTTGAGGAGGGCAGGTGGAAAGACTCCAGTGAAGCCATTGGACCCGAGAGCTCTGCATCGGACAAACAATGAACCAAATATGCATAGCGAGCTTGGTGAGCACCGGAAGAAACGAGAGAATAAAAAATAAACAGGCACCGTTGACTGAAAACAATTTCAGAAACAGCAGACGAGAAAACACCATCACGAAGATAATCGAATCCACGAAGGACGACGTACAGAGTGGTGAGAGCAGTGAGCCCACTGAAGACGTTAGGAATGGCTCCGGTCAATCGGTTTGAACTTACATCCCTGAACGGAACAAAGAAAAAAAATGTTAGACGAAACCGAGGTCGGTCGAATGAAGGGTTGAGAGTGTTGGCTACGCGAGTACATGTTGCGGCATGCTTACAGTGACCGCAGGTTGACCAGACTGGCTATGCTGCTTGGAAGCCCACCAGTCAAGGCGTTTCCGCTAAGCGACCTGACAAGAGGGAAAAATAATGACAAGAAAGCTTAGCCAAAGCCGACATTATCTGCACACAGAACTGGTGCCGACCATGGGAGAGGGTGAAAGCAGAATGAAAAAATGCGTGGGAGAGAATGGAACCGCGGCAGGAAGAGGAAGGCAAGGAGAGAAACATCAGCAGGAACAAAAGCAAGAAAAGGTGTGCCGCAGAGTCCAGGGAAGATGAGGGAACGGCTACGTAATCGCAGTGACAGGTGGCAAATGATTAAATCTGATGCTTACAGATTCGTCAGCGCAGTTAGGAATCCGATGTCAGCAGGAATTTCGCCAACAAGCAGGTTGTGGTCCAGGGACCTGCGCCACGTCAGCGGATAAGAAAGATATAAGAAAGTGAGGAGCGGAACAAGGCAGGCGATCGGAGAAAACAGGCAAGCACGCGGAACGGACCGTGGAAACGAATAAAAATCGGAAATTCCCCTCCCTCCTGGTTTCCCCACCTCCCTCCATCCGCTTCCCCTTCCCTACTTTCCCTTTCCCACGCCTGTCCCCATCTTCCCCTCAACCCAACAAAAACATTCGCGGGCACTTTCTGCTCTCCTTCCGATTCGCGCATACAGTTTCTGAAGAGCCGTGAGCTGAGTAACTGCGGCCGGAATCGAAGCTCCCCGGAGCTCAGTTCGTCCGGGGAACTCTCTGGAAGGGAAAAAAAAACATTTGTACAACAAAGATGGGCAGCGCACGCACACATTGGACATTGGGTGAGATGAAGCGGCACGGAGAAATAAGATATGTAACATACGGGTTAGGGAGTGGAGAAACTAGGAGTTGTAGTGCAACGACACAACGTACAGAGAAATGACCTCGCCAAGCGAGTTGCAAGTGAGACCGAGCCATTGCGAACAGTCTGATGCAACGAACCACGTCTGGCTCAGCCGCAGGGCCGAACCCCACGTGTCCAGAATAGCTTGAAGAGCAGGTTCTGCAAGCAGACACGGTAATGCAACTCGGAGGAAACTTAGAAATAACGTAGACACTAACGACGGGATAAGCTGAGGTGAACGGCGTCAAAATGCTTACTTTGGGAGTCTGCGACCGCCTGTGCTTTGACGGGAGGCGAGAACACCACGAGGAAGCTAAGCGCGAGAACCAAAGCTTTAATTATGTCGGGATGAAACGGATGTTTTCTCTGGAACAGCCTCATTGCGCTTCTATGAAGAACTCAATATGCTGGTTGCTGGATCACTTCACCCGCTTCCTGATAAAACCGAAGAGATATATAGGTAGAAATGGCTCAGGAGCTAAGAATAGACCAACAAGGCAATTCCACACAAAGCGACGTCTCACAGACCTGCTACAACTAATGTGGTACCTATGAGGACTCCGGATCGCTTAGTCCGCCGATTATCGAGCAAAATGAACGGTGAAACTAAATGTGCGTGTTCTGTCAGTTGGAACAATCACCTATACCACAAGGTGACTTACCAAAGACGATAAGTCACTCAACAAAAAGCTGACGTTTCGGAAACTAGGTTGACGTTTCGGAAACTAAATACAGTGCCATGATAAGCAACCGTAAGTTCTAGACTAGGGTTTCTCAGCTATCAAAATCAACATTATGGTAGCACTGAAGCCAGGGGAGCTGGAGAAAGAGATAGGAGGAGAAGAGAGGGGAAAACCGCGTTTGGTCATCTGCTGTGGCTGCTGCCTCTGGCAGGGTGCAAGCTGCCTCGAGTCAGTGGGGGCTCGAGTGGGGAGGGAAGATGAGCTCCACTGTTTCCGTGGACAGACGACATGGAGGCAGAAATGGGGGAGACGGAGGGCTTCCAGGACGAGATGTGTTTTGGCGTACAGTTCCATGATTTTTATTTCCTTCACAAAAAGCCATGCTACTGAAATTCTGTGGCTGAGAGCAGACTACATGTTCTGTAGCTGACACATTTCTTAATTACGGTGGGACGACCGACTCACGACAATGACAGTTGCCTGCACTATCACAATTAACTCTTCTCATGTAGAAGGCCTTCGCGAAAGGTGAAGCGTGGCAAACTACCACTTCGGGCAGGAAGCTCCAAAATAAAATCAACGTCGTTTTTTCTGAGTGAAGGCGGTTGGTACGCTGGACTTCGATGGCAAGGGTTTGGTCACGACTCACGTCAGGTGTTTCAGGTTGTGGGAACATTGTGGGGGGGCCGCTAGGGTTTGCTTGCCTCACTGCCTTCGTTGGGCTGGTCGCTTGCTCGTGCTGATAAGGACTGAATTCAGGAGCAGAAGGGTCGTTGGCTAGACTGAACAAACGCGTGCTGGCCAATCAGGGTTCTCGAAACCAAGTCATGTCCATGACAAACCCGCAGGCTCGGCGTACAACAAGACATTCTCCCCCACCACACCCAATTCACTCTACCGCACACAAAACGGAACATTGCCCCAAAGAGTACAGTAAAACGAGCCTTCTCGTGTTGGCCTGGCATTTTGATCGAAACTGCACCTCGTGTTGACTCACGATTCATGAATGCAACTGCGCAATGAATCATAACGGTTCAGAAGGATACGGAGAGATGTGACTGGTCACGAACGAGATGGGTGTACAACGAAATGTCTTCCAGAACAACATGGCAAATGGGAGCGAGGGGTCGCAAAAGGGGGCACGTGATGACAGAACAGACAAATCCCGCAACATAACGGAGGGGGTCTAGCACGGTGGGCCTTCTTGTTGTGGTTGTTCTTCTCTGTGCTCATCCACACACTTCCAGTTTTCCAAAGCCGAATCCTGAAGTGTCCCAGTCAAATTGAATGGGGCACTCCCGAAGGATGAGGTTCCGGGTTCAAACCCCAGTGCCGGCGTGTTCTGCCAGCCCCCCAGAAGGGGGTTTCGCACTGCTCATCTGGGAGTGGATACAACAACCTCGATACCCAGCGAGGCGTGTAAACAAGTGGGTAGGCAGATTACGATCGACAGCCGGGGGTAACCCAAAGGGGGCCATTCCCCCCTCCTTTACCTTTACCTTTACCTTTACCTTCCAGTTTTCCAAGGCCGATTCTGCCACGGAAAATGCGCTGCCTCGCAGATTCCAGACAGGATCCACGGCAGCGGGCAGTTGATGAAGATTTTTTTCGGTTGTGGCAAAGCAGAATCCACCAAGCCTGCCTTCTGGTGGATTCTGCGTTGCCGCAAGTTAGTGAATTGGTCCATACGCTTAAAGTTGCCCGGTTTCATTATATGCAGAAGTACGGTGGCTGAAGCTAAGATACCAACTCAATGATTACAAGCACTCGCACAAGTACAGGGCTGCTATTGAAAACTACATCTTTCAGCAGATGGATAAGCTCCAATATCATGGAGCGGGCATAACGCGCGCTCAGCAGTCCAACATTCTTGTCCTCATTGCTCTCTTACATAATAAAATACTGCATGTGGAAAAGGGTAAAGGCAATAGATGTGCGCACAATCATTAAAAACCTCATCAACGCTCAAACTGCAGCAGTGCCATTGGCCAAAAGGGGGCCAAGATAAACATGATCAACCAAAAACTATGCAAGACCGCTAGCTTAGCCCACCTTTCCCCCTCTATTAGTATGCATATCCAACACTTGCTGCAACAGCACAGGCACCCACCTACACATGCTCATCGTCTCGTGCCATCAGCAGCTGCTTCAGAGGAACTTTGAGTTGACTCATAAGTCATCCCATGTTCTGCGCCATAAGCCCACCTTCCCCCCTTCTTTCTATGCATATCCAACACCTGCTGCAACGACACAGGCACCCACACATGCTTATCGTCCTGCGCCATCAGCAGCTGCTTCAGAGGACTTTTAAATCGACTCAGACATCCTACCATGTTCTGCACCCTAAGCCCACCTCCCCCCCTTCTTCCTATGCATATCCAACACCTGCTGCAACGACACAGGCACCCACGCATGCTTATCATCCTGCGCCATCAGCAGCTGCTTCGGAGAATCTATCACCAGGCTGATCGTGCCAAACAAAAACACCGGCATGCCTTCATGCGTGCGGCCGGGTTTCGGCAGGAATTTCACGTCGTTCTGCAGCGCGAATCGCTCCACGACCTCGCGTAGAGAAAGCTCCTTCTCATCCTCCTGGTGCAACATCCCCGTCCTCCCTCCTCCACCCCCTCTCCCTCCTGTCAATGTGCTACCACTGGTTGCACCAGCACCACCCATCCCACCACCCGCACCAACCCCACCTGCTGCAATACCACCTCCCCCAGCAGCAGCACTGCCTGCACCAGATACACCTCCCCCTGCCCCTGCCCCAACCCCATCTGCAAACGCCTGCTGCTCCGAAACTCTCAAGTAAGAGACGTTCTCCTTCACGCCGGGTTGCAGAACCGGCATCCCCTCTACAGCCTGATTCATCATATCTAAAGCGACGTTCAGCTGCTGCCGCACCCTTTCCGAGCTTAAAATCTCGGTGGGAAAAAGCGCCTTCCATCCCAGATACCACCGGGTGACTTCATCGAAATTAGGGTTTGCACACAGCCAATGGTAGAGCACCTGGTGCCACTGCGGGAAGAAGGCAGTATCCAGCAAGGCGATGAGGTGGCGCGTGGGGACCACACCCGCCCACGACATGGCCCAATGAAACGGCTCCAGCTGCTGCTGCTGCGGATTCACTAAGAACTCAGTCTGCAGTAATTGTATAAGCTTTGGGACGATAGACCGACTCACTAGAGTGTCCCAGCTCGCAGCGTCAAACACAGATTTCCACGGGGCGAGCATTGCAAGAGCGGACGAGTCGGATGGATGCCATGCGGTGAGGGCAGATCCGAGCCTGAAGCGTATGGTTGGGTAGAGCGTCTCGAGCTGAGAGCCTAGGTACGGGAGCCACGGGTGCAGCCACTGGTGGACAGGTACGGTTTCTAGCCTCGGGTCCCAAGCCTCCACCGTGGCTGCCAGCTTCGGGAACACCAGGTGCGCGAGAATCGTTCTCAGGAGGACAGATGGCAGCACGGGAGCGCGCCACGTGTCGAGGAAGTTCAGGAGAGGCTCGGGCTCCCGAGGCTCCCAAAGATTGACCACTGCGGATCTGATAGCTGGCAGCACGAGATCTGCGACGAGGCGAGCGTATGGGTCCATCTCAGCAGGCGCCCCTCCCACCCCTCCTGCGGCTGCTCCCGGATCTGCCACCGAATCAGCCAGTGCCACGTCAGCAAAAATCGCCCCACTCTCCTCGTCACTCTCACCTTTTCCTCCTCCTCTTCCCCCTACATCCCGTGCAAGCACAGAACGCCAGGAGGATAGCACAGCGTGACCGTGGGACGGGTGGGCAAGGGGATTCCAGGTGCGGAAAAGCGGAGCCAGACGGGGAAGCACAAACCCCAACGCCACCGCCGAGACATTATACATCTTGAACTCCTCGGGATGCTGCTCCCTCAGCCTCCGCAGCGCAGCCAATGGCGTCACGACAGATGTCGCAATCGCGTGCGAGTCCTGCGCGAGGGCTTCAGCCGACGCCGTCGACGGCGGCGGCAGCGGCGGAGGGGCAGACGACAAAACATTCTCCAGCACCCCAACAATCCTCTGGAGATCCACTAGCTGCTGCGCCTGCTGCTGCTTGCGCTGCTGCGTGCGGTCGCGCTCCTGCTTGAGAGCGGTGAGCGAGTCTCGTTGGAATCGCAAGCGCTTGTCGATGGTTTGAATGTCTGCTTCTGCTAGATCCACCACCAGTCGCAGGTTGTGCTGCAGCTCCGGCATCGGCGTGTCGTCCTCTTGCAGTTTCTGCTCCTCGTTCAGCCGGTCCATATTCGTCAACACACGGACCTGGGCAGGGAACAGAGAGAGTGAAAAGAATAACAGACACGAGGGTGAGGTTGTGGTGCAGCTGGGGGGGCACGTCACACAGAGATAGACGAGCATACACGACAGGTGACAGGGGTTGTGCTGCAGCTCGGGCATGGGCGTGTCATCATCTTGAACCTTGTGCTCCCCGTTCAGCTGGTCCTTATTCGTCAACACACCGACCATTCGCAACAAAAACGGCATACCTGGGCTCCGCACGTGTCCAGGATCGTCTGAGTCACCTCCCGCCCCTCCGCCTGCTTCTCTCATAAGAGACTTATCTCAACTCGACTACAAAAAGCCAGTCGCAACAACAGCAACCCACCTGTGCTCCGCGCATGTCCAACAGTCTGAGTCACTTCTCTCCCCTCCGCATGCTTCTCATATTATAATCTTATTGTCAAGTCGACCACAAAAGCCAGTCGCAACAACTGCAACCCACCTGTGCTCCACGCATGTCCAGGATCGTCTGAGTCACCTCCCGCCCCTCCGCCTGCTTCTCTTCCAGCAGCTCAGCCGCTGTCTTATACTCCTTCCTCCTCCCAGCAAATTTCTTCTTCCATAGCTTCTCTCTCCCTCTCTTTTCCACAACCTCCAAAGCCACTCCCCCCTCCCCTTCCCCTCCCAACACCTCCCCGTCTTTCCCGGACGGCGGGGGTGGTAACCCGACTTCTTTCTCCTTGAAGTCGTTAAAGCCCATACCCATGTTCTTCGGGCGAAGCTTCGCTTCTATCGGCTTCGCTATACCCTGCTGGTTCTTACCCAGCCCGCCTCCCTTGTACCCCATCTTCTCTAAAAGCTTCATCCCTATTCCTTTAGTGTGCTTCTCGAACGTTCCAACCCCATGAGCAGCACCCTTCCCTCCCCCTCCCCCACCTCCAGAGCCGAAAAGCCCGCCAGCAACCCCTTTATTCGCCTTCTGCTGCGCGAAAAACGACGCCTCTTGCTTCTCCTGCTTCGCTCGCTCCCTCTCCATCTCCCTCCTCTGCTCTGCTCGCTCCCTTAGCCGCTGGCCGAAAGCAGTCTTGGCTAAGTGATCCTCTTCCTCCTCCTCCTCCTCTCCTTGTGCCTCCCCCCTGGCTCCCAAACCTGGCCTTTCAGGTTCGGAACCCCCGGACGTGAATCCCAAGCCTGCTCCACCAAACCCGAGGCCCGTCCGACCCAATCCGCTCCGATCCTCATCCTCTGCCGGCTCCTGCGGCTTGGCTCCCAATCCGGGCCTTTCCTCTACAGCATCCCGATCCAGGTTCGGATTTACTGTACCTTTCGACACGAAATTAACGGGTTTCGTAAAATCGCCTTTTCCCATCAGATCGTCTTTTCCGCGACGTTTCTTCCTCCGTCTCTTACCCCCACCGCCGAATTCCTCGTCGTCGTCGTCATCTTCGTCATCAGATGCTTCGTTGAAGACACCGTAAAGGACGTCGTCGCGGGTCTGCTGACGGCCCTGACGGCGCGACGAGGAGAAAAACTCTCCGTTGATAAACTGGCCGTCGTCGAAATCTCCGTCCAGGCTGAACCGCATCCGCTGCTCTCCGTCACCGTCAACGTCCATGATCGAATGCCTTGGAACGAAAGCGCTTAATGGCCGCAATAGATACCTTTGATTCGATAAGCTCCAAACAGCTACACGAAACCTTTTTTAGGGCAAAGGAGCAACGGACTCCTGGTGATGTAAGGCTATCTGCGCATACAGAAAGCTGATCTCCTGTGTTATGGCGGTCACACAGACGATGTTGGAGACGATCATACGAGATGCAGCAGAACTTCACCTGCAAGCGGTTCCGTAAGGTTCTTTACGTTGTACGATGGTGAATTAACATCAAGAACGGTTCCAGAAGTTCGAGAGCACGAAAATATGCCCTTGGGATGTTCGGTTGTACGCGCTTGCTGTCCTCGTTGCAATGGTGTCGACACAGCACAGCGTAGTCTTTCTTAGTGTAGTGGGTTTTACCACGTGTACATTCGCGAAGAAGCAATGGTAGACAGAGATGGTACAAAGCATAGGTAATAAATGCAGTCCCCAAATCAAACATACTTACAGTATATAGCTAATATTATTCATATTCTAAATTATACATTACATATTATTTCTATTTTTTGTATACTACAGATATACTATATTCTTCTTCATGCGCCTCACCCTCCTCATCTTCTTCATTCCCATCCCCTTTCATTTCATATTCTTCATCCTCTTGGCACTTCCTCGTCACCCTCTTCATCCCCGTTAGTCTTGCCTTCTTCAACGTATACGTTCCCTTATCCATCCTCACCATCCATTTCATCATCATCCACTTCTCCTCAAGCTCCTAGTTGGCCATCCTTACCTCCACCCTGCCATCCTTATCTCCACCCTCCTATAAAAGCTTTCTCGTCTTCATCATCCTCTTCATCCTCACTTGCCATCCCCGCCATCAAATCTAAGCACGCATCATACTCTCCATTATTCTCATCATCGGTCCACTCATCCTCCTCGTCCTCTTCCTCATCCTCCCTCTTCTTGATAGCCCCACCCCTAAAAATTCTCTTGGCAATCTCCTTTGAAAGAAGAGGGCATGCGCAAATCGAACACTTGCGCAGTGTTAGCATTTCCTGGGAAGGTCCCGGCACCCAAACCAGTTTCTCACAGTAGCTCACATCCAACTTCTTCAGCTGGGGCAGCTTCAGAAAGGTTCTGGGCAGGCTAGAAAGGTTAAACAGCCCCAAAAGCACCAAAGTCTGGAGAGACGAGAGCTTGTGGATATTATCGGGCAAGGATGGAATTCCCAGGTTGGCCATTGCACAGTGCTGCAGCCTTGACAAATTGGTAAACGAAGCTGGAAGCTTGACCAGCCTGAAACACCTGATTAATCTCAACGTCTCCAGTTGCTCCAGCTGCCCGAGCGACTTGGGCAGGGCAGAAAAATCATCGAGCTCCACCAATTCGAGGACCCGCAAGCGGGAAAGCGATCCAACGTTTTTTGGCAGCTCTTTCAGCCTCCTGCAGCGTAAGATTCGGAGCACTTGCAGGTTTAAAAGGCCGGATATGGAGTCGGGGAGCGAGGCCAGTTTCTCCATACACAGAATCTCGAGGCTTGTCAGCGACGTGAGGTGACCAAGAGACGGTCCTAAGGATTTGAATCGGAAACCCTTAGCAGTTAAACTTTGCAGGGATGGAAGCGGCACTCTGCTTTCATTCCCCATAAGAGTGTTGCTGCTGCTGACGTTCGCAACCCTGCGCCTGCTGCTTGCCCTATCAGTGCTGCGCCTGGCCCTAGAGGTGCTGCTGCTGGCCCTAACCGTGCTGCTGCTGGCCCTAGCGGTGCTGCTGCTGCTGCGGTTATTCTCATCCCCTAGCAAAGTGCAGGCCTTGAAACACATCCGCACGTCTAGCACCTGCAATCGCGGCAGCTCAACCAGCGACCGAGGGATGCAATCCAAGCGCTGTAGCTTCACGAGCCTCAGCTCCTGGAGTGATCCCAGCCGTCCAATATCCTCAGGCAGTGATTCTACCCAGGGGCAGTTTACCAGTACCAGGCTGGTGAGGGAGAGAAGGCCGGAGACAGAGGCAGGAAGGCCAGAGAGGTTACAGATGTCACGGAGAGACAACGCCTTCAGTTTCCCCAAGCGGCCCAACCCCTCGGGCAATTTGCCTTTGAAGCGGCTTGCCCTCAGGATGCTCAGGTATTCGAGAGAGGACAGGCCGCAGAGGGAAGGAGGGAGGCGGGTGAGGGATCTGCAGTGGAGAATATCTAACTTGCGCAGATTCGGCAGCCCGTTTCCCATGCTGCTTGGTAGTGAGGTGAGCCGCCAGCAATCCATCAGAAGTAGATGCTCAAGGGATAATAGTGTGTATAAAGACTCGGGCAGCTGCCGCAGCAGATGACACTCCATGATTCTTAGATCTTGAAGATTTGTCAGCTGCCCCAAAGACTCGGGCAGGAATGTGAGTTTTCGAAGGTCATTCAGGTGGAGAGACTTTAGAGCGTCCAGCTGCCCCAATTCCTCGGGCAGAGAAGTCAGATTTCGGAAACCTTTGAGGGAAAGCTTTTGGAGCCAATCGGCCAGAGCCATGGAATCAGGCAGGCTTGTAACGTTCGCAGCAGCCAACGAGAATGTCTGAAGCTCGGGCAAACTCCAGATTTCAGCAGGCAGCTCGGAAAGCTCGGGGAGGCGAAGATTTAGATCCGTGAGGGAAGGCAGACTGAGGAGACACCGAGGCAGAGCCGAAATGCCGAAACAGTTATTCATGGTAACCCGCTTCAACCGCTGCAGCTGCCCCAGAGAATCGGGCAGGCTGGGCGTTAGACCAATATCCTCCAGGTGTAGAGTTTCGAGAGCGTCAAGCTGCCCGAAATTCTCGGGCAGCGGATAAACGACTGCGGACTCTCGAATCTCTAGAACCTCCAGGGATGAAAGATCGGGAAGTGAATCGGGCAGCAGAAGCATCAAGAAGCCACTAATGGAAAGACGGTGTAGATTCGCAAGTTTCCCAATAGATTCCGGGATTGGCATCAGCGAAGCGCAGTCTTTAAGCTCCAGCGATTCCAGAGATGAAAGTTTTTTCAGATTTTCGGGAAGATCGTTAAGCTTGGGCAAGCGAAGCACCAGGTGTCGGAGTGACTGTAACGAAGTGAATGTATCGGGAAGGATCTCGACTTGTAGGGCGATGAGGTGGAGTTTCGTGAGGGAAGCGAGGCGGCTGATAGAAGGAGGGATGGCGGTGAGATGATCCGGACAGTGCAGATGAAGGTCCTGGAGACGAGTGCAGTTGGTGAAAAGGCGGGAAAGTCCGTGCTCGGTGAAAACTCCGCCGCTGTCGGATTGACCGAATGAGTCTGGCATGTAGAAAGCGACGTGAAAATCGGTGAGATCGCGACACGTGTCGGCGATGCAGCAGAGGAGGTCATCAGAAACGGCGCGCAGGCTGCCAGCGGGGAGGACGACCTTTTTTATGTTGACGAACCGCGAAAGCTGCGTACGTAGCTTATGAGGGCCCACGAAACGGTCCGCGTTTAAGCGGACGGTGGATCGTAAGCGACACGCGACGTCGTGCCATCGCTGACAGACGCTAGCGTAAGTAAACTGACCGTCGGATCGAATGAGCAGAGTGAATATCTTCAAAAGTAGGTCGTCAGAAAGCCGTTGGATTGGCGATCCAACCGGCATTTTGAGCAGCAGAAGGTGGAAAAGCTTAACTGGCTCTTGCTAAGTCTGGTTTCTATCTTAGGTCAAGCTCACACTAAAGATAGAAGTCACAGTTAGTTGTTTTCAGCAGTGAATGCTAAGCAACCACAAGAGAAACCTGAGCATGGCCTGTTTCGGAGAGGCCTACGACCCGAAATCTAAGGACATCGAAGATAGCTGTCTGAAGAATAGCTATCGAAGAGGATGAGGAGGATGAGTGGACGGACGAGGAAAACGGAGAGTATGAGGCGTGCTTGGATTTGATGGAGGGGATGGAGAGTAGTGAGGATGAAGAGGATGGTGAAGACGAGGAAGCTTTTATGGGGGAGGATGATGAGGACGAGGAAGATGAAGAGGAGGATGGCGAGGAGGATGACGAGGAGGATGGAGGGGAGGATGGAGGGGAGGGTGGAGAGGAGGATGGAGAGGAGGATGGCCAATTAGAAGCTTATGGAGAAGTGAATGATGAGGAAGGGGATGGTGAGGATGGAGAAGAGGATGAGGAGGATGAGGAAGACCAGGAAAACTAGGCGGAAGAGAGCAGTTGTGCTCATAATAAGGAGGGTCAGAAAGTCGTAGTATACAAGTGTGGTAGCAGGGGGTTGGGGGGGTGGGAGGAGATTATTGACAGCCCCCCCTCCTCCCTCTTATTGACAGCCCCCCTCTTTGCAGATTCTCTTGGCAATTTTCCTTGAAAGAAGAGGGCATGCGCGAATCGAACACTTGCGCAGCATCGGCATTTCCCGGGAAGATCCAGCTTCTTCCCGCTGGGGCAACTTCCAAACCAGCTTCTCACAGTAGCTCACATCCAGCTTCTTCAGCTGGGGCAGCTGCAGAAAAGTTCCGGGCAGCTTGGAAAGGTTAAACAGCCCCAAAAGCACCAAGGTCTGGAGAGAGGAGAGCCTGTGGATGTCTTTTGGCAGAGATGGAAATCCCACATTAGCAAAAACACAATGCTGCAGCTTTGACAGGCTGGAAAACGACGCTGGAAGCTTGACTAGCCTGGGACACCTGATGATTTTCAACGTCTCCAGCTGCCCCAGCTGCCCTAGCGACTCGGGCAGGCGAACCAAATCATCGACCTCCACCAATTCGAAGACTTGCAAGCGAGAAAGCAAACCAAGGTCCTTTGGTAGCGCTTTCAGCCTCCTGCAGCGGAAGATTCGGAGCACTTGCAGATTCGAAAGCCCGATATGGAGTCAGGGAGTGAGACCAGTTTCTCCATTAACAGAACCTCCAGGCTTGACAGAGATGACAGACGGTTGAGGGACGGTCCAAAGGACTGGAAGGGAAGATCTTTAACGTTCAAGCTCTGAAGGTACGGAAGAATCACTTTGCTGACGTTCCTTCTCAGATTGTTGCTGCTGCTGGTGCTCGTAGCCCCGCGGCTGCTGCTGCTGCTGCTGCGGTAGTCCAAGGTCCTGCTAGCCGCCGTTTCATCCCCTAGCAGAGCGAGTGCTTTGAAACACATCCGCACCTCCAGCACCCGCAACTGTGGCAGCTCCACCAGCGATCGCGGGATGCAATCCAAGCGGTACAGCTTCGAGAGCCTCATCGCGAAAGTGTGAGGCTCGAAAAGTTGCGGGCCAGCAGCTTCAAAGTTGCTTTTCAGAAGCTTTTTTGCGGAAAAGCAACTTTGAAGCTGCTGGCCCGCAACTTTTCGAGCCTCACACTTTCGCGATGCTGAGCTCCTGAAGTGCGCCCAGCCGTCCGATGTCCCCAGGCAGCGATTCTACCTCCGGGCAGTTTATCAGCACCAGGCTGGTGAGGGAAAGAAGGCCGGAGACAGAGGCAGGAGCCAGAGAGGTGACGCATGTCGCGGAGTGACAACTGCTTCAGTTTCCCCAAGCTGCCCAGCCCCTCTGGCAATTTGCCTCTGAACCGCATTGCTTGTTGGATGCTCAGTAATTCGAGGGAGGAAAGGCCGGAGATGGAAGGAGGGAGACGGGTGAGGGCTCGGCAGTCAAGTAGCTCTAACCTGCGCAGATTCGGCAGCCCGTTTCCCATGCTGTTTGGTATTGTAGTGAGTCGCCAGCAATCCAACAGAAGCAGGTCCTCAAGAGATAATAACAAGGATAAGGTTTCGGGCAGCTGCAGCAGTTGATGGCACTCCATGATTCTTAAATCTTGAAGATTTGTCAGCTGCCCGAAGGACTCGGGCAGGCAGGTGAGCTCTCGAAGGTCAATCAGGTGGAGAGACTTCAGAGCGGCCAGCTGCCCGAATTCCTCGGGCAGAGAAGTCAGATTTCGGAGGCTCTTGAGAGAAAGCTTTTCAAGCGAAGAGGACATATTGATGGAAGTAGGCAGGCTTCTAACATTCACAGCAGCCAACGAGAAAGTCTGAAGCTCCGAGAACCTCCAGACTTCAGCAGGAAGCGCGGAAAGCTCGGGAAGGAGTAGATATAGTTCCATGAGGGAAGGCAGGCGGAGGAGACAACGGGGCAGAGTTGAAATACTGAAACAGTTCTTCATTGTAATCCGCTTCAACCGGTGCAGCTGCCCGAAAGACTGGGGCAGGCTGGGCGTTTTTTCAATATCCTCCAGGTGTAGAGTTTCGAGCGCGTGAAGCTGCCCGAAGTTCCGGGGCAGCGGATAAACGAATGCACACTTTCGAATCTCCAGGAACTCCAGGGATGAGAGATTGGGAAGCGAATTGGGCAGCTGAAGCAACAAGAAGCCGACGATGGAAAGACGGTGTAGACTCGCAAGTTTCCCAAGGGATTCCGGGATTGGCATCAGCGAAAGGCAGTCTTTCAGCTCCAGCGACTCCAGATTAGTAAGACTTCCGAGATTCTGGGGAAGGTCGTTCAGCTTGGGCAAGCGAAGCACCAGGTGTCGGAGTGATTGTAACGAAGTGATTGTATCGGGAAGGATCTCGACCTCGTAGGCGGCGAGGTGGAGTTTCGTGAGGGAAGCGAGGCGGCTGATAGAAGGAGGAATGGCGGTGAGATTTTCCGGACAGTGCAGATGAAGAACCTCCAAACGAGTGCAGCCCGCGAAAAGGCGGGAAAGTCCGGGCTCGGTGAAAACTCCGCTGGTGTCAGATCGGCCGAATGAGTCTGGCATGTAGAAAGCGACGAGAAAATCGGTAAGATCGCGACACGTGTCCGCGAGGCAGCAGAGGAGGTCATCGGAGACAGCTCTCAGGCAGCCAGCGGGGAGGACGAGCTTTCTGAGATTGACGAAACGCGCAAGCTGCAGAAGTAGCTGACGAGGTTCCACGAAGCGGTCCGCGTTCAAGCAGACGCTGTCTTGTACGCGACACGCGATGTCGTGCCATTGCTGGCAGACGCTAGCGTGACTCAACTGGCCGTCGAAAATAATATCTAGGGAGAGGTCTCTGATCCAGCAAAGGATGTATTTGTGTATGCATTGAACCCTGCGCACGATGAGTTGACATGAAGAGTTGGATTTTGAAGGTTAGCTGCTTTGAACGCTTTAGATTGCAGAGAACGCTACTGAACCGTACTAGGTCGCAGAGTTCATGCGTCATTTGCTGCAGTCATGTGAATCGTGGTGGCGTCAAATTTCGAGAGTCCATCGTGCGAGTCGCGGCCATCCATAGCCTAGTCACGGTCAGGGAATTTCCAGTGACGAGATCTGTTCAGGGTGAACGACAATCGCCAGCTTCGCTTTATCTCGTAGACGTGGTATACCTGCTCCGCTATGGCTCGCACTGCACCTGAGCGTGTGATTGACGAACTTTCAGATGGGATTGCAGGCAAATTTGAAAGGGAAAAGATCAGAAAGAAAGTGGCCAAACTGGGGCCTCGTGAGTCGCACCCCTACTACGTTCCCCCAAAGCAACCAGCACACCTAGGCAGGTAGGCCGAGCCTGGCCTTTTCACCAGGTCACCACCTACTGGCCTGGGGCTGACGGAATTCGCTAGTGACTCGTCATCGTAAATTACCCAGAAAAACAATCGTTTAACCCAGAAAAAAAACAACATTGATATGGTAAAATATATAAACCCCATTCGTTTGGCATATATTTGGGGAAGCATCAACCCTAAACACCGTGCGGCAAGATGTTTAGGGCTGAGGCCCTTTCGAAGGCATGACGCACGAGAAAAAAAATCGTCAATTTTTAAATGTCGAGTCAATTTTTTCGATGTCGTCAAGGAAGAAATCGTCACCTTCTGTGGTCAGGTCTGACGGAGCGCGTGGATGAGGCTCGAAACTCGTTGGGCACAGGCCCGGCCCAGGTTCGACTCCTTGCGAAACACAAGGCCCCAAGTCGGCAACTTTTCTAGAGCTCTGGGGCCCTAATATGAACATTTCCCAATTTGAAAACACGAATCCCCTCGGTAACATCGCTTTCGCGAAGGCTCCAGAAGTGGGTGGTCGTGACTCGTGTCATCTCAGTTATCGCTCCAGAACCATTGATTGGGAGGGAGTCGTGTTGAGCTTTCGGGACGTGACAGACCTCGGCCTCGTCATCCAATAAAAACCCGCGTTCCTTGTTTGGCTGTCCTGGACTCGACACCCAATGAAACGATCCCAACCATTTCGCTGGCCTCGTTTATAACGGTTTTGTGAGTTAACTCGCATTTCATAGCGGTTCAAACGGCTGACCGTGTCTGAACAAAAGACACTGTGACGAAAATGCCGAACAAGCCTTGGAAGAAACCACACTTGGCTGGAACATTCCCCAGGTGGAAAGGGAAACCAAGGGGTGGTGGCTGCTTCCAAAGGCGGATGACGGTCTTCAGCTGCTGTTTTCGTGCTTCATGTGACCCTTCTGTGCTTCAGAGATTCTTGGACGCGACAGCTTACAAGTAGGACGAGGATTACAGCTTACGAGTGTTTGCTCAGACGTGTGGTTATTTTGGGAAGCTCTCCGTAGCAGCTTCTGCTGGTTGTGCGCAGTCAGGAAGGTGCTACTGCAGCTGTCCTTGTGTGACTGAAGCTAGAAAGTTGACAGCCGTAATTAGGAGATTTTTTTTTTCAATTCAAAGCGCTCTTTTCGGATTCTGTTGTCGCGTAACATACACACACATAGTCGTCATGGTCCGAAGTGGGGGCTCGTTCGGGGATATCGAGTCGGGAGCTGGCGGGGCCATGAGGTCCACAGCGTATGCGTCGGAGCAGAGCAACGAGGAAGCGTTGAGTCAACTGGAGGAGAGGGCTAGACTAATCAAGGAGGTAGGAGAAAAAACGGCAAACGTTGGACATTCACGGGTAACGTGGAATTGGCGGAAAGGGATAAATGTAAAGGTTGAAAACAATAGGGCTGTTAGGTTGCTTTTCTGGGAACGAATTGGGACCTGCATATAGTTCCGCTGTGACGTATGTCTTGAAGGGATTAAGTTTGCGATGAGAGACGGAAGGCTTGCCGATTTTCTGTTGGAGTTGAGAAAGAGAAAAATGGTTAGACGTTTGAGCTTCAACGTCGTGAGAAACTATTGCCAAAGGCGAGAGAAAGGAGAGACGTTTTTCACCGTATCTTATGTTCCCTATTAAACGGTGTGCTTCCGTCTTTTCTCAATCACTTGTCCTTGTGCCAGTTAACTAAAGACATTCATGGCGAAGTTCAATCACAAAATCGGTTCCTGGATGGCATGGTGAGTAATTAATAACTGTGATCCACATTAGGTCGCAACTGTTAATGCATACCCGCTGTGCTTCTAAATTCCTCTGCCTTAACTCTCCAGTTCTGACATCGGTTTGATCGGTCTATTCCGGAACCAACTTCACTGGTCTGCTTTATTTCAGGGACTGGAAATGGACTCTGCTAGAAGGATGCTTGCTGGGACAGTGGATCGTTTCACAAAAGTAAGCTGATTCACCTCTTCCCCTTCTGTGCACCTGCTTCATTTCACAACTGCTTTCGCATCCCTTCCTATTCTGCCGTCCAGCTTTGCTTTGTATTACCGCCACCTCTCTGCTCACCGGTACCTCAGCTGTCCTCATTGTTTGGCACTCTTCTAAATTGCAGGTGTTCAGTTCTAAGCAGAATCGGGGCTTGGCAGCCATGGTTGTGTCGTGTGTAACACTCTTTTTCATTCTATACTTCTTTACAAAGCAATGATAACACACTGCCAACTATACTTCTGTTCTGTTGTGTCATGTGTTCAGTTTTTGCGTTTTTATAGGCTATTGTAGGTTGCTACCGTATGATTGTTCTGAATAACGAAATGAAATAATTAAGGGACAAAGGCAAAAGCTTCATCAAGTTTTGCTGTGTTGATATTGAATCTAGCCACAGATAGACGTTTGGGTGGTTCTTTCTGCTTTTGTGTTTACGTCGAAAGCGTACTGAACCGCTACCAACCTCCCCGCCGACCTAAAAGTTACTAAAAAGATGGCTCACGAGGTGGTTTGCGCTTATAAAAATTCACAAACGGTTGAGCATGGTTTTGAGTTATCAAGAACCTCTAGAACACATTCTTGCTCACCAACCTGATCCCAAAAAGCCTGATCAGAAGAATAAGCACATTCTAGACCTAGATATCTCCTGCATTCCAGTTCTGTAGTGGAAGTTATCACCACGGTCTAGTCCTAGATTCCATCTCCAACTTTAATCAGCGCTCTTGAATCGCAGTTCTATTTTGTGATTCTTCGGGAGCTTGTTTCCTGTGGTCGCCGCGTAAGACGCCGTGCTCTGGTTTCGGCCGCGCATTTGAAGTTGTGTTCACATTGACACCAAATAACTCCTATCTCCTGCTCGATCGAGCTTGCCACCATGGTTGCACCGTTGAGACGCTTCCTTGGTTTTCTTCTAGCTGCCGTGATCGCCATTTCGTGCTGCCAACGGGGTTGTCTGGCTGTCAAATTCGAGGTCACGGCCTACTCGAAATGTTTAGGGGAGGAGATTCAGGAGGGAACCCTCGTTGTAGGAACATATTCTATAGTAAAGCACGACTCTCATGGGAACCGGCTGGACGAAACCGGCAGGGTCACAGCCAAGGTACGTCTCGGCTACTTAGGTTGGTAGAATTATATGTTATAAGTTTGTTTCCAAGGCCTCCGGTTGGATTTATACTACCCGCTTTCAATGCTGAAGGTCGGATCGCAGATCGCGTCGTTCAACACGGTCTCTCTTTTTAATTTTTGTTTGGTACGCACGTTGATCAAGTTGTGTTTTTTTTATAACTCCCAGTATCTTGAATATGGCTCTGTTGTTCCCCCATTGCTAGAATCCGCTCCCTGTCTTGCCACTGCCTTTCCTCTCCTCCTGCAAAAAGGCAGTTTCTTTCGAAACTTCCGCATCTCCCCCTGCATCTCATGTATCTCCTCCTTGCCATTTGAACGAAATAGCAGTCCTTTAATCGCGGTTCCAGCATTCCGGTTTGCATAGGCATTTATTTTCCAAACTGCTAACCTTGCGTGATGGCATGGCAAGTGACGACATTGTACAGCCATCACATGCATTGGCACGACATCGTGGAAGATGGCCACTATGACAAAATCTGGACCTATGCGTATCAAAACATTTTCACCTCCGCCTTGCATAACCACATGGCAGGTGACGTCACCGTACGGGCATCAGCTGCACTGGCAGGACAGCGTGGAAGAAGGGCATTTCGGATTCACAACCAAGGAGACGGGCCAGTACATGGCCTGCTTTTGGCTACCCGTAGACCATCCGCAAGAGATCCACAGCGTCATGGTGAGGAAGCCTTGAAACGTCTAGTTTTGAGACGTGATATTCTGAGACGTCTCAAAAGTTGTGTTTGCGATCAAGGAGACGGGGCAGTAGTTGGCATCTTTCTGGCTACCCGTGGACCATCCGCAAGAGATCCACAGCGTCATGGTGAGAGAGCCAGTTGGGAAAGGCTAGGAAGGGTCAAGGCAAGGGGATGAACAATGAACGGTTAAAAGCTCTATCAATAGCACATTGACGGGTGTGCACATCACTTGGCCATGTCTACCAGAAATTGACGCCACCAACATACACATTCACTTTGCTTCACACATCTTACAGCATGATTCATCTTACACGTTCTGCTCCAACGTTCTGTGTGGTGATGCTACAGGTTGAGCTTGAATGGAAGATTGGTGTAGCAGCTAAGGACTGGGGCAAAATCGCCAAGAAGGATAAACTTGATGTGAGTCATTACGGTCTGAGAAAAATGTTTTGCATTGTGCATGGCTGTTCTAGGTGCACATGGACAGATCGTTTTCTACCATGAACTTGGTCAGATTTGGAAGGGGTAATGGCTGTGAGGGTGATTGTTTTGTGCTTGACTCTTAACCTGCATGCCTATGATGTGTGTGTGTTGTAGTGGGTGTTGTTTGGCTAGATTTGAACATGCATGGTCGGCCTGTGCTCTTCCCAACCGTTCTAGATTGTTCAGTGTGATGCTATAGCCTGCTTCGAAATATTTTGTCATGGTACTGTCCTCATTCTCCTTCACTCCACCCATCACCACCATGCCTGCACTGTGACGTGATCATTAAGGGCATCGCCCTGGAGCTCCGCAAATTGGATGAGGCAGTGAGGTCCATTCGGGGGGAAATGGCATACTTTCGCAAGAGGTAAGTGAATCCCTGCATAACTGAGAGTAGGAGTACCGTACTTGCGAGATGGGGAATTCGGAAAGTTCTATCTTGGGTCATATGAGGGGAGGTGGTCGTTTGCTGCATAGATTGTGATGGCAGAGGGGGCCTTGGAGTGTAATGGTGATAAGGCTTTGAATCAATCACGGTTGCAGTGTCAGCCGTTGGTTTGCATAGATATAGCTACGTTTTCTTCCTGACAGGCCACCTTTTCTGTCTGCCTTGTCCTGCTTAAAACCTTCTGTTCCACCCACCAGAGAATCGGACATGCGTGATTTGAATGAGGTGACCAACTCAAGGGTGGCTTGGCTGAGCATCGTGTCGCTGCTGGTGTGTGTGAGCCTGGCTGCCCTGCAGCTCTGGCACCTCAAGGCCTTCTTTGAGCGCAAGAAGCTGTTGTGAGGCAGCCTACCGTAATGCTGAGATGTTTGAAAAATCTTCTGCTGGTGTCTGTGAGCCTCAAGGCCCTGTTTGAGCGCTAGAAAGCTGCTGTTAAGCAGCCAGTTGTACCGTATTAGGGAATAATGTTATTATCCTGTCAACTAGAGGAATGAATTGCTAGGTTAGGCAGGACATTGTACACTGACAAGGTCTTAATATGCTACTGTACCTTCACACTTGGCCCTGCTCTTTAATTGTGCACCAGACCTATCTCAACACTGAAAGATACCATTGTGATGCACCTTCCCTCATTTTTTCACAGGTAAATACAAGCCCCTGCTGCTCTAGCTAGCAACTGCTGCAACACATTACATAAACCAACCATACCGGTACCATGTTGCAATAAAAAAAGAAGCCTTTCATTCTGGCAATCTTGTAGGTAACTCATTTTCCGCCAGTTCTCTTGCCTTTCTTCTTCCTTTTACTACCCTCGTCCTCTTCCTCCTCTCCATTCTCTTCACCATCCCAGAGTCCTGCATCCCCCTCCTCCCCATTCCCACCTCCTCCTTCATACTTCTCAATGTACTCGTTTAAGCAAGCTCCAATACGAGCCTTGAGAAGACCAATCGTGTCTGAAAGGCTAACCTTAGCAGCTTCTTGTGCTTTCTCCTCCCCTATCGCCATATCTGTCGCCGGTCCTGCTGCGTCTGCTTGAGCTGCAACCAAGGCGCTTTGAACATCTGCGGAGGTTACACTGATTGTACGTGGCTCCTCGTTTCTTAGTGACACTACAGCAGAGGCCAGCACTGACGCCATTTATGGTAACGGCGGATGGACGCGCAACTCTTAGCAGCTATCCGCCTTCCTATCCTGGACCAGGTTCACCCCTGCGAAAAACGCTTCCCGGGGTTGGGAATGAGGAGGAAGGAAAAACCTATCGTGGGCGATTCCGCAACCTTACACACCATTTAAACACATGTTTTAGTGAGTGAGTGAGATCAAAGGAAACAGAAAGTGCATGCGCGCCAATTCACCTGAGGCGAAACGACGGATCGGCGGCGAGAGAAGGTGGGCGAAGGGGGAGCTAACAAACAGTCTGGCGAGTGCCGTAGTTCATGTGGGAAGGGGACTGAACAGGACAGGAGTAGAAGTGAAGTGTAAATGAAAGAGGGAAGCTGCTCGATAAAGGGTCGTTTGAATCAGACTTGCAAGCAAGCAATGTGAGCATTTGGAGAGGAAGCTCAGGGATTGCGTTGAATAACATGCAAGTTTGATTAAATATATGAGATCCATTTCATGAATTTAAAAAGGAGATAAAAAATCCTGCAGATGATTCGAGAAGTTTGAAAAATTCATTCAACTACTACGCATTGTGTTGTAAAACATTCGAATTCCGGTCAATAATATAAGATTGAAGTGCTTTATGTACACTTCGTCGACCTCAGCCCACACATGTCGCATGCTCTGGAAAGCCTTATGTTGAAATAATCCGTCCGACCCAAATCTCCTCCATTTTACCTGAAGGAATATCCTCTTTCATTCTTGCCTTAGTTCTCCAACTGGGTGTGGATCCTCCCCTCCATTTCCGCCGCCCAGAACTCCCCGCATTTTCAGTCGGAACGCGGTTTGGCATTATGTCGGAGGCGAAGCGGGTGCGCTTGGGGTTCGTGGGTGAGTGATTGCGCACCGGCGTCGTCGACTCGAAATTCACCCTGTTCATTCTCTGACCGTTGCCGACTATCGTTGACTGCCCCGAAACGCGACGTGGCCACTCGCATACGCGTCTCGTTGTGACCTGCGTGCTCGGTTCTCTGAATTTCCCGGCTTGATAGTGGTGTAATCTTACAAATTTCCCTCCACATACGCCCCCTCTCCCCCTTCTCCGCGGCAAAGTCCCCCCAACGCACAGGCGCGGGGCAGATGGCGGAGGCGCTGGCGCGGGGGATGAGCGCATGAGGCTCCCCTTTCCCCTGTTCACAGGATCCCCTCCTTCTCCCCTTTCCCCATTACACAGGCGCGGGGCAGATGGCGGAGGCGCTGGCGCGGGGGATGAGCGCCGCGGGGGTTGTAGCAGCGAGCGACATGAGCGCCATGGATCTCAGCCAGGAGCGACTGGCCGTGTTTGCCGAGATGGGGGTGGCTGCTAAGACTACGTGCAAAGAGGTATGCCGACTGATCCTTTCCCTGAGTAACCATGAGCGACATGAGCGACATGAGTAACATGAGCGACATGAGCGACATGAGCGACATGAGCGACATGAGCGACATGAGTGCCATGGACCTCAGTCACGAGTGACTGGCGGTGTTCGCTGAGATGGGGATGGCTGCTAAGACTACGTGCAAAGAGTTATGCTGCATCGTCCTCTCTTGTTATCTCGTGTTAAAATCTGTTGTTGTCCCATTCCCTCCCATCCCCTGTCCGTCCCTGTCCCTTCCCTGTCCTCTTCATCATCCCCCCTTCCAAGCGTTACATTTTCTTCCCTCTCTTCCGTCCAGCTCGCAGCAGCCAGCGATGCGATTTTTATTGCAGTGAAGCCCCACAGAGTGAAGGCCGCGCTGTCGGAACTGAGGGACAGCGCCGCCACCTTCGCTCCATTCCCTCCCTTCCTTCCTGTCTCTCCCTTTCCTCTATCCATACAGCTTGCAGCAGCCATCGATGTGATCTTCATTGCTGTGAAGCCCCACAGAGTGAAGGCCGTGCTGTCAGAACTGAGGGACAGCGCCGCCATCACAAGCACCCACCTGGTTGTGTCCATTGCTGGCCTTCTCTCCATGCCTCTTCCCTCCTTTCCCTGTCTTCCTTCCCCCAGCTCGCTGCAGCCAGTGACGTCATATTTATGGCAGTGAAGCCCCACAGTGTGAAGGCCGTGCTGTCAGAACTGAGGGACAGTGCCGCCATCACAAGCACCCACCTGGTTGTGTCCATTGATTCCCTCCCTTCGCTCCATTCCCCCCCTTCCTTCCTGTCTCTCCCTTTCCTCTATCCATACAGCTTGCAGCAGCCAGCGATGTGATCTTCATTGCTGTGAAACCCCACACGGTGAAGGCGGTACTATCGGAACTGAGAGACAGCGCCGCCATCACAAGCACCCACCTGGTTGTGTCCATTGCTGCGGGAGTGACGATTGCGAATCTGCAGCAGTGGGCGGGTGACGAGGCGAAGATTGTTCGAGTCATGCCGAATACCCCGTGCCTCGTGGGGCAAACAGCAGCAGGTGAGAAGGATTGCTGACAGACCAACAAGCACCCACAACAAGCACCCACCTGGTTGTGTCCATTGCTGCGGGGGTGACGATTGCGAATCTGCAGCAGTGGGCGGGTGACGAGGCAAAGATTGTTCGAGTCATGCCGAATACCCCCTGCTTGGTGGGGCAAACAGCAGCAGGTGAGACGGAGCAAAAGAAAGTGCAGCCAGCACAGGTTCTTGCTCACGGCCACTGCTGCCAGACCTATCAGCACTGGTCCTGACTTTTGAGTCGACTCAGAAGTTTGCTCACGGCCACTGCTGCCAGACCTATCAGCACTGGTGCGGTGCGTAACATGTTCAACGCTCTTAAAACGAACCTCCCTTGGTATTCCCACTCACGGCTTCTTCCAGCTTCTGTCATTTCCTTCCTTCTAACCTCTCCCCTCTCTGACAACCTTCCCCAGCCATGAGCCTGGGCAGCAAGGCGACGGCAGAGGATGCAGCGCTGGTGCGGCGCATGTTTGAAGCGCCAAACCTTTCCTCTTCCTTCCACCCCTGGCATCTCCCCCATCTCGACTTCTTCCCCACCCAGCCATGAGCCTGGGAGGCAAGGCGACAGCCGAAGATGCAGCACTGGTGCGGCGCATGTTTGAAGCAGTTGGGAAGATACAGCAGGTGGAGGAGAAACTGCTGGATGCGGTCACTGGGCTCAGGTATGGCTGCTGATGCAACGATGCTCCTTCTGAATCGACTCAAGCAGGGATGCAGCGTTGGTGCGGCACATGTTTGAAGCAGTGGGGAAAATACAGCAGGTGGAGGAGAAGCTGCTTGATGCCGTCACTGGGCTCAGGTAAGCATGATGATGAGCTCAGGTATGGCTGACATGGTGTTGACAGGTATGGATAGTGTGTTTTCAGAAGGTGTGTATAGCGGTGCGGTGCATGTTCGAACTTGGAAGCGGTGGGGAAAATAAAGCAGGTGGAGGAGAAGCTGCTTGACACCATCACTGGGCTCAGGTACGCTTTTAGGAATTCTCGGAAAGAACGCATGGCATGGTGTGTCTTGTACGGTGTATAGATGGTTTACGGAGCTATGTACTCACAAGGTGTTTGAAGCGGTGGGGTGAGATCCAGCAGGTGGGGAGAAGCTGTACTTAATGCTGTCTCCTGCTCTCTTCTGAACCTGCGCCTGGTTTCCTTTCTACCCCCTCCCACATCTCCCCCTCTCAGTGGCAGCGGGCCGGCATATGTGTTCATGGCCATAGAAGCACTGGCGGATGGAGGGGTGGCTGCTGGTGGCGATGTTGCCAGCCTGCCAGGCGATTTTGCTCTATTCTTCACGCATCATCCCCCTCTTTCCCACCTCCCTCCGTCACCTTGGCCCCCGTGCTCCCCCTCTCAGTGGCAGCGGCCCGGCATATGTGTTGATGGCAATAGAGGCGCTGGCGGATGGAGGAGTGGCTGCCGGCCTGCCCATTCTCACCTCTCTGTACCGCCGTCCACCCCACTCCCCTCTCCCCCTCTCAGTGGCAGCGGCCCGGCATATGTGTTCATGGCGATAGAGGCGCTGGCGGATGGAGGGGTGGCTGCTGGCCTGCCAAGAGACGTTGCTCTCTCGCTCGCCGCTCAAACCGTACGTAAATTGCCTTTTCTTTGTCGCAATAACCTTGATTTATGCAAGTGTAGGCCATGTTTTGTCGAGCTATTCAAGCAACCCTGCTGATGATACTGCAAGCAAGCCGAGGGACGTACCTCTTCCCTTCCTCTCCCTTTTATCGCACAACCCAGGTGTACGGAACTGCAAAGATGGTATTGGAAACTGGCAAGCACCCCGGCCAACTCAAAGGCTCGGTGGCCTCCCTGTTATTGTTCATGCGGGCAACCCTCTTTCCCCCCTCTCCTTTCAATTGCACAATACAGGTGTACGGATCTGCAAAGATGGTATTGGAAACGGGCAAGCACCCCGGCCAACTGAAGCGCTCGGTGGCCCCCCTTTTATTGTTAATGCTGGCAACCCTCTTTCCCCCCTCTCCTTTCAATTGCACAATACAGGTGTACGGATCTGCAAAGATGGTATTGGAAACGGGCAAGCACCCCGGCCAACTCAAGGACTCAGTGGCATCTCCTGGAGGTAACACATAAGTGTTTTATACGCATACATTTGTTGTTATCTCCATGGCAACCTTGGCCCGCTATTTATGATGCCCCATGTATTTTTTTTGCACACAGGTACAACGATTGCAGGCACTCATGCTCTAGAGAAGGGAGGATTCCGCGCCTCACAACCAAGCTTTTCCCCTCCCCCGTCTCCCGCCCCCGTTTGTTTTTCTGTGCACAGGTACAACGATTGCAGGCATTTATGCACTGGAGAAGGGAGGATTCCGAGCGACGTTGATGAACGCAGTAGTTGCAGCCACGGAAAGAAGCAAAGAGCTGTCAAAGTAGAAGCACATCGATACTGAAATATTGTTGTGACTGTTATTTTTTTATCATTATTTCAATGTAGTACATGAAGATTACTCTATATCCATATGTTGCGTAGGTTCATTTTATGACATAAAATTGAGGCAAACACTACGCCGGTGCAGCGGGTAATGTTTTATGGAACCGCAAAATCCATTTGGGGGTCTAGCAGGGTTTCGGGTTTCTAGAAAGACCTTTCACTGATACGCCATTTCAGCAAATTACCTGAAGTGATTTCCTCTGTCGTTGAAGGTTAGGTGCGTGGCATCGATCCAGGAGCGTTTCTAGGGTAGCCCTCGGGAAATTAGAGCCCTCTTTTTTCTTCTTGTTGGCCTTCTTGACTCTCCAACGTTACCTGAAGATAGAAGTTCCATTCTCTTGGTTTTAGGAATGACGGGAGTAGCATCAGAGCAAGAGGTGCAGGAGGCGGGGGAGCAACCGGTGGAAGTCTCGCGTAACGTGGAAGAAGCGGAAGCGGGGGAAAAATCAGGAGGAAGCGCGGCTCCGGTGGAAGAGGCGGAAGCGGGGGGAGAATCCGAGGGAAGCGCGGATCGGGCGGATGATGAGGGGGCTTTGTTAGGCGGTGAGGGGAAAGGAGGGGCGGAAAATGGGGAGGATGATGGGGACAAGGGGGTGGAGGAGAGGAGTGGGGAGGAGGAAGAAGTTGAGGATGCTTTAGATGGGGAAGATGCGGAAGCAGTGGCGGAAGTAGAGGCGGAAGCGGAGGCGGAAGGAGAGGCGGAAGAAGAGGCGGAAGGAGAGGCGGAAGGAGAGGCGGAAGGAGATGCGGAAGGAGAGGCGGAAGGAGAGGCGGAAGGAGAGGCGGAAGTGGAGGCGGAAGGAGAGGCGGAAGGAGAGGCGGAAGGAGAGGCGGAAGCAGTGGCGGAAGGAGAGGCGGAAGAAGAGGCGGAAGAAGAGGCGGAAGGAGAGGCGGAAGGAGAGGCGGAAGCAGTGGCGGAAGCAGAGGCGGAAGGAGAGGCGGAAGAAGAGGCGGAAGCAGGGGCGGAAGGAGAGGCGGAAGAAGAGGCGGAAGCAGAGGCGGAAGAAGGGGCGGAAGCAGAGGGGGACGCAGAGGCGGAAGCAGAGGGGGGAGGAGAGGACACAGGAGAGGAGGAAAGACCGAATGAAGGAGGGGAAAGCGAGGAGGAAGATGAGGAGATGGAGGGGGAAGAGGGAGAGGAAGAGGAGGGAGAGGACGAGGAGAGGGAGGAGGGCGAGGAGGGAGAGGAGGAAGAGGAAGAGGAGAGGGAGGAGGGGGAGGAGGGCGAGGAGGGCGAGGAGGGCGAGGAGGGCGAGGAGGGGGAGGAGGGCGAGGAGGGGGAGGAAGGGGAGGAAGAGTATATGGTACTGAGCGAGCAAGCTGTGAGGCAAAAGTAAGTAAGCCTCGTGTTGAGACGTCTCATAACAAACCTTTTATCAGGAGGGGGAGGAGGGTGAGGAGGGTGAGGAAGGGGAGGAAGAGTATATGTTGTTGAGCGAGCAAGCAGTGAGGCAAGAATAAGTGTCGCCCGTGTGAGGGAGCAAGCGGTGAGGCAAAAGTAAGTAAGACTCGCCCGTGTGAGGGAGCAAGTGACGACGTGCCATGACCCGTGGGACCTCACATTCGTGTATCGTACCACCACACTGCCCTTCCTCCTTCCTACACTCCTCCACCCATGCTCAAAACCCCAAACCCTGAAAAATAAACACATTTCAGGCCCATCCCAAGCTCCAAACCCTCGCGCTTGCTTTGTGCAAGATTTTGGTTAAGAGATCTTCACACACTTACACTCTCCTGTTACCCTTCCTTCCATCCCTTCTCACGAGCTGTGCAGGAAACTAGATGACTATGCTCGTTCCTTCGCCCCCATCCCTCACGCCCTTACTTCTATCCCTTCTCACTAACTTCATCCCTTCTTTCCATTCCTTCCACCCCTTCTCACTTCATCTGCAGGAAACTTGACGACTACGCCCGCTCCTTCGCCCCCATAGTTTGGGAACCCAAAATCACCCTTCCCTCCACTTCCTCCTCCACCTTCTCCTCCTCCTCCTCCTCCTCCTCCTCTCCCTTCTCCCTATCCTCCCTCTCCTCCTCCCTCTTTTCCCCCTCCCTTTTCTCACACTCTCGCCACAAAAACAAGCCTGCTAAAGCTAAACCGCCCCCTCAAAAACCCGGCGCTGGTGCTGACGTGGCAAGGGGCAAGACTGACGTGGCGAGGGGGAAGAGCACCGGCATCAGGGGAGTCACTGTAGCCACGACTGGGTCGGCACGGATCGTCTTGCGGGAAGCTTCCGAACTGGGCGGCATTAGAAGCACGACTGGGATTCGATTGTCTGTTATCAAACAGAAAGAGAAGGAGGGAGGGGAGGGGAAGGGAGGTAAGGGAGGGGAGGGAGGAGAGGGGAAAGGGAGCGTGGGAGGAGGAGGCGGAGGGGGAGGAAGGGGAGGTGGGGAAGGGGAAGGGGGAGGGAAGGGGAGGGAGAAGTGGGTGGAGGGGCAGTTGCAGGTGCCCCCGAAGGACCCTCACAAGCTGGCGCAGATTGCACGCAAGAACAAACCCAACACCGCCGGACCGAAATGGTGAGTTGCTCTTAGTGAGGCGCCTCATAACGAACCATCCTTCATGTAGCTATAGCCTACAGTTGCTGGTACTTCCCCCACAAAGACCCTCACAAGCTGGCACAGATTGCTCGCAAGAACAAACCCAACACCGCCGGACCCAAGTGGTGAGCTGGCCTGACTGGCTGGGTGGTGTTATGCATTGTGCACCACCCAGCTAGCTTGCAATGGTCGGACTAAGTGCGAGCTTCCTGTTTGTTGCACTCGTATCTACAGAACTCTTGTAAATCCAGTTGTCGAATGTGCGGTTTCGCTTCGCTGAATTTAAAGGCTCTTAAAAAATGCTCGTTTTTGTGACTCCCAGGTACAACCTTCCTGCACCGGATATAACTCCTGAGATCAAGACAGAGCTTCAGTTGCTGCGGGTAATGTGTTGCCTCTGTTTCTCAGTCTGTGTTTCTGTCTCAGTCTCAGTTGTAAGTCACATTCCCAGTCCCAGTCTCAGTCAAAATCTCAGTTTCAGTTTCAGTCTACAGCCATGAGTATTTTGCTTTTGAGACGACCTACACACCTGTGTCGGCTCGCCTCGGACTAGGGGTTGTTTTGAGACGTCTCAAAAGTGAGTATTTTGCTCTAATATCTGTGTGAGTGCCTGGGATTGTGAATGCATTCTGATCGTCTCTGTCATTCTCTTGACTGTCTCTGATCTTCGTGACTGTGCTCTGTGCTCTGTGCTGCTCTGTGCTCTGTGCTGCTCTGTGCTCCTGTGTTCAGATGAGGAACGTTCTAGATCCCAAGAGACATTATCGATCGGCAGACTCTAAGAAGCTTCCGACACACTTTCAGGTACCTGTTCTGTTTATCAAGCACCAAGAGTGCCATTTCTCTTGCCATGGCAGTGCGAATGCTTTCCCTGTCTTCTCGCTCTGGTTTCCAGTCATCTTTCGCCCTTTCCAGTCATCTTTCGCCCTTTCCAGTCATCTTTCGCCCTTTCCAGTCATTTTTCGCCCTTTCCAGTCATCTTTCGCCCTTTCCAGTCATCTTTCGCCCTTTCCAGTCATCTTTCGCCCTTTCCAGTCATCAGCATTTGCATATGAAGGTTCTTCTTCCCCCCTGAACCCCTTCCCACAACAACGCCACGCGTTCCGCCCCTTCCATTACCTCCTTCACTTGTCCTCCTCTCCTCATCACCAGATCGGCACAGTGGTGGAGGGAACAGCAGATTTCTACAGCAGCAGGCTGACGAGGAGGGAGCGGAAGCAGAGTTGATTGTCATTCACTCGTCGTCATTTGCACTCTTCACTCGTCGTCATTTTCATGTTTCAGATCGGCACAGTGGTGGAGGGAGCAGCAGACTTCTACAGCAGCAGGCTGACACGGAGGGAGAGGAAGCACACACCCATATGCCCGCTCCCCCCCACCCCTCTACCCCCCCTTTCTTGCTCTACCCACCCACCTCGCTCCCATATGTCCCTTTTTGCCACATGTCTTGCTCAATTTCAGATAGGCACAGTGGTGGAGGGAGCAGCAGATTTCTACAGTAGCAGGCTGACGAGGAGGGAGAGGAAGCAGAGCTTTGCAGCAGAGCTGTTGCATGATGAGGACTTGAAGAAATACAGGTGAGGTTATCGCAGGGTGGTGGTGCTGCTGGCGCTGTTGCTGGTTGCTGGGAACGGGGTGCCACTGATGCTGCAGCAGAGCTGTTGAACGACGAGGACTTGAAGAAATACAGGTGAGGCAGTTGCACAGAGCTTTCAAGTTTGATCCTTTTTGCAGTTGCACAGTGCTTTCAAGTTTCAACAGACAGTAACCCTTTCTAAAGTGACAGGAACTTGGGCTCTGACCTGTGTAACCCTGTCCATCATCCCCCCAATGCTCCTCCCGTTTGACCTCCCTCCCACCCCTCGCCCCCCGCATTCCCTTTTGAGGCGCCTCAAAAATCGCCTCAACAGGCGCCTCAAAAATCATCCCCCCAATGCTCCTCCCGTTTGACCTCCCTCCCACCCCTCGCCCCCCACATTCCCTTCCCCCGCCCTCCCCCATTCTCCCTTCCCCCTTGTTATGGCCGGCGCAGGAAGCGCAAGTTCCTGGAAATTGCGGAGGAGAATCAGCGCAAAGGCAGGAGGCACCTGGTGAAGAAGCAGGACAGGAAGAATCCCACGTGGGCCAGAGCAGCACCTAAGTGAGGATTCTTTAAGCTATATCATGCTTAAGAGGGGTAAGCATCTTGTGAAGAAGCAGCATAGGAAGTAGGATAGGCACCACTGTTCCCCGCATGGGCCAAAGCAGTGCCGAATTGAGATGGCTCTCTTTACATGATATCCATAGGATGCCTAGTGACTGGTGTTTACTCTGTGAGGAGAAGAGCAGCCACTTGGTGAAGAAGCAGGATACCGTAGGAAGAAAAGAAGCCCCATGCGGCCCAGAGGAGTGCGTGCCCCATGCAATGCAAAGCATTACCCTGCATACCGTCATCGCCCGGATATAAGACATATATGTCTTATCTCGTACACTGGCAAAAATGCTTGAGTTATCTTGTAAACGGGATGGTTTAGGGTGTCTTATAAGTCTTATAAATGGAAAAAATTTTAAGTTGACTGTACCACTTGCCAAGTGTGTAGAAACCACCCAAGGACCAGATTCATTGAAACAGGCCGATCTCGGTGGTGATGCATGCAGCGCCCACACTTGCCACGTGAGGGAGCTGCCACCGCTGGCAACATTCCTCTGCTGGCAGCATCTAATGATGCTGCCAGCGTCGTTTTGCTGCCAGCAGCGCAGGGATACTTCCAGAACGCTGCTGGCAGCGCGTTGGCAGCGTGAGGGCTGTCCTCTACGAGGAGATGCCTCGTAGAGGAGCGGCTTGGCACCTATGGATGGGGCACTCTGGCTGGGGGGGGTAGTTGGGCTCTCACTTCATTTCGTGCTCAAGGAGGTTGAATACTCGTCTCAACCTTGCTCTCGGCAGGCTCTCTAACCATGCGCAGCAAATTACCAGTAGGCAAGTCCTCACCTCGTCCTCACGTGCAGGTGAATAACTACGGGCGAATTAACTCGCCCGGCGATGACATCCATGTAGCCATGGCGAAGAACGCGAGCAAGGCGGGAAGTCCTACCGCCGCCTCCGGTGCGAGCTGTGACAGGGACGACGGAGACGAAGCGAACGCCGACGACACCGAGGAGGATTGGCCGAAGAACGGCCACGACGACAGCGCTTCGGGCAACGAATTAGGTCCTGCCGACATCGAGGAGGACGACTGGTAGAATCGGCCGGTCGGGAGCGACGACGAGGTGGAAGAGTGGCGAGCTGGTGATTCCGACAACGACGGAGGTGAAAATGCGCATGGTGACAACGCGGAGGCAGCGGCGGATGCACAGGAAGCGGCGGTGGATGCGAATGAGGAGGGTGACGACGAGGGGGGGGGCGGAACTTGAGACAGTTGCGCCTGCGGATGCGGCCGCAATCGCGGATGCTGTGGCGGAGTCGGACAAGGTTGCTACGGATGCCGTCTTATTTGACGAGGAAGGCGGCGACGACGACCCATGGAGCCTTGGGACCGACGACGACCTTCCGCTACTGAAGCGGAGGCTGCGCCATCGCCTACGGTCCAAGTCGAAGCGGGCCCGCGTGGTGCTCTCTGACGACGACGGTCCGGGGGAGGAGCGTCGCCCGATACTCACCGCTGTGGAGAAGGGGAAAGCCAAGGTTGCGGAAGCCCCTGCTAAGGCCCCTGCTTAGCCCCTGCTCGTCGCCGCACAAGCAACAAGAAGCGGACATCCGACAGAGACCCGGGATCCAGCAAGGGTGCGGCTAAGAAGAAGGCGAAGAAGGCGCCGAATCCTGACGACATCGTCGTGAACGAGACGCTGGGCAGCGACGATGAGTACCCGGCGGCGGCGGGCCCGATTCCCACGTTCCCTGAGAAGGTCACGCGGAAGGACCCCACCCTCCATAATCCCAACACCCGCCCACCTTCCCCTCGCAGCAAAGACACTACGAAGAAGCGCCGCAGTTGGACCGTGCGTGAGAAGCTTAAGTGGGCGCGCCGCTATCAGGAGCTCGGCTCCTTGAAGAAGACGAGGATGGAGTCAACCGCGTCCATCGCCTGCATCAGACGCTGGTGTGCGGAGGCGGAAGCGGGTGTCTACAAGGGCGCGGCTAACTGTCGCAAGCGGATGCACGGGGGGGGGCGCCACTCACACTACCCGACATGGAGGGAGCGTTGTACCGCTACATCTGCCTTCAGCGCGCTAACGGGGTGGCCATCTCGGTGAAGGACACCCAGAAGTGGAGCCGCGAGTGAATGAAGAAGCATTACCCCAGCAAGAACTGGAACGCGAGCTCTCACTAGAGCCAGCGTTTCCATGACCGCTGGAACCTGGTGATGCGGGTGAAGACCAAGGTCGGCCAACGTCTGTCGGCAGCTGCGTGTTGAAGGATTTCGTGTCGCGCTATTGAATCCATGTACCTCAACCAGTGTCTAACCATCCCGTGCTTCCGTTGCGCTTGTCTCGTTTGCAGAGTGCGCAAAGGACTGCGAGTCCTTCTGGAAGTTCAAGCGCATCATCATGGTGCTGTCAAACTATGATAATGAGTGTGCTGTGTAGGCTGTAGTGGGGTAGCCCATAAGGGGTACAACCCAAATTAGGGTCAGCATATGTACCCACATCTCTGCTCAATGCACTCATTCGTGCTGCTAGATTCTAACATGGTATCAGAGCACTAGGTCCGTAGGACCGTTTTTTTCCGGGCCCACCTACCGTTGCGGTTACCACGCTACCCCGCGTGCGCCTGCTTGCCTGCCTGCCTTGCCTTGTGACGTGGTGCGCTGCACGCACCGTCCTGCAGCCCTCGCGCTGCCTACTACTGCCCTAGGTTAGCGCGCCGTCCCTGCAGGCCCGTACGACCCGCAAGCCGCCCCTGCAAGCCCGTCAAGCCCCCTAGCCGTCCCTGCAGGCCCGTCAGGCCCGTGAGCCACCCTTGCAGGCCCGTCAGGCTAGAGTGCCGCCCCTGCAGGCCCGTCAGGCCTGCTAGCCGCCCCTGCAGGCCCGTCAGGCCCGCTAGCTGCCCCTGCAGGCCCGTCAGGCCCGCTAGCCGCCCCTGCAGGCCCGTCAGGCCCGCTAGCCGCCCCTGCAGGCCCATCAGGCCAGCGAGCCGCCCCTGCAGGCCCGTCAGGCCAGGTCGCTGCCCCACGCGACGCGCCCGCTGCCCGCGCGCCGCGCTGCAGCCCTGCGCGTCGCGTTCGCAGCCCGCGCGTCGCACTGCAGCCCTGCGCGTCACGTCCGCTGCCTGCGCGTCGCGCTGCAGCCCCGCGCGTCGCGTTCGCTGCCCGCGCGCCGCGTTTAGGGTTTAGTGCGTTGCGCTGCAGCCCTGCGCGCCGCGCCCGCAGCACGCGCAGCGCGCTGTAGCCTAGTGCGCCGCGGCTGCCCCTGTTCCTCGCGGCTGCCCCTGGACGCCGCCCCTGCCTGACTCCCATCGTCGCTCCTGCAGGAGCTGCCACGGAGTGCCCTACTACAGTCGCGGCCCTGCCCTGCGGCAGCTGCCGCGGAGCCTCTTGCCGCCGTCGCGGCCCTACCCTGCAGCAGCTGTCGCGGAGCCTTCTGCCGCAGTCGCGGCCCCACCCTGCAGCAGCTGCCTCGGAGCCTCCTGCCGCGGTCGCGGCCTCGCCGTGCCGCAGCTGCCGCGGAGCCTTCTGCCGCCGTTGCGGCCCCGCCCTGCAGCTGTCACGGCCCCGCCCTGCAGCACCTGTCGCGGACCTGCCCTACCGCCGACGCGGCCCTACTCTGCGGCCGCTGTTGCGGCCCCGCCGAGCGCCGGCCCTGCGTGCCACTGGTGATCACCTACCTTGTCCGTGCGATGCCGCCTGCCTGCCTCCTGCCTGCCTGCCGGCCTGCCTGCCTGCCGGCCTGCCTGCCTACCGCGCGTGCCTTGCACGCACTGCTGCTGCTACTACTGCTATTGCTACTGCTACTGCTACTGCTGCTACTAACAGTGGCCAGATGCAGCTCCAGCGACGTCCGCGTGAGTCCCTCACGCCCCAGCAGCTTAGTGAGTGGTACGCTAGTTGGGGTTGTAGGGGTGGCCGCGCTGCAACTGCTGCAGCTGCTGCTACTGCTGTTAGTGCTGCTACTGCTGCTACTACTACTATTGCTGCTACTGGCGGTGGCCAGATGCAGCTCGAGCGACGTCCGCGCGAGTCTCGCACGCCCCAGCAGCTTCGTGAGTGGTACGCTCAGAGTAGAGGGTATCTGAGTACTGTTCGCTGCCCATACGTCATTCGCACTGGTGCTCGGACTAGTCAGGCTTGCGGGACGCTCAGACACACACAGTCCTGCTGCTTCGCCCGTCTGAGCGACGCCTGGCGTACCAAGTTTGGCGACGAGGTTGAGCTCCCCGACTGGGTGGAACTGCTTGGGCAGAGGGTAGATATATTTGCTCTTGACTATGATGCTATTCTCACTGCCATTTGTGCATTGCCTACTAGTACTGACCGTGCCTATTACCTGTGCGTACCGCCTGACCCAGGTATAGAGCTTGCTGCTCTAGGTGCTGGTGAGGCTGCTGCTCTAGGGACTAGTGTGTCTCGTGCTCTAGGTACTGGTGAGGTTGCTGCTCCAGGTGCTGGTGAGTCTGCTCTCTCTGGTACTGCGCCTGCTCAGGCCTTGTACACCTTAACACTTGACTCTGGTGCTTCTTGCTCCTTCTTTCGCGACAGCACCACCCTCACGCCGCTCAGTCGGCCGGTTCCATTCTCCCTGGCAGACCCCTCTGGGGGTCCAGTCCGTGTGACCTCCTCCACTGTCCTCCCTTGTCCTGCTGTCCCGTCCGGCACACTGTCTGTTCTTTACCTCCCCTCGTTCTCAATGAAACTTTGTGGCAGGTTCTGCGCTCCAGGACGCAGGTGTTCACCAGTTCACCCCTGCCTACGAGCATGTGACACACTGCACGTGTACTCAGACGGGTCGACACATGGCTACCTTCACTCAGCAGCCGGGGTCGGGCTTGTACACACTGACCACTGAGTCCCCTTAGGTAGCAGCGTCTGCGTCTATGTCAGGTCAGTTGTCGGCCCCCTGCTCGTGTCGCGCCTTGTCGCACCAGACCCTCCTTTGGCACCACCGCCTTGGTCACCCCTCGGTGCAGCGCCTTCGCAGCATGCACCGCCGTGTCCTTGTCTCTGGTCTCCCCAAGGTTCTCCCTCCCCTCCCACCCTCGCCTGCTCCTCCTTGTCTTCCCTGTGTCGAGGGGCGGCACTGCGCCGCTCCTCACTCCTCCTCGTTCCCTCCCACAGAGGCTCCCCTGCAGAGTCTCCACATGGACGGGTGGGGCCCAGCCCGCGTCCGTGGACAGGGCCACGAGCGGTACTTCCTGCTGGTCGTCGACGACTACACGCGTTACACCACGGTTTTCCCCTTGCGCACCAAGGGTGAGGTCCCTGTTGTTTTGATCCCTTGGATCCGCGCTACTTGTCTCCAGCTCCGCGAGCGGTTCAGGACGGAGTTTCCCGTCTTGCGTCTGCACTCTGACAGAGGTGGTGAGTTTTCCTCCGACCTCTTGGCAGCCTTCTGTGATGAGCACGGCATCACCCAGTCGTTCACGCTTCCGGCCTCTCCGCAGCAGAATGGGGTTGCTGAGCGCCGCATTGGCTTAGTCATGGAGGTCGCTCGTACCTCCATGATCCATGCGGCTGCCCCCCATTTTCTGTGGCCGTTTGCGGTTCGGTACGCCGCGCATCAGCTCAATATCTGGCCCCGTGTCTCCTTGCCGGAGACCTCGCCCACACTGCTGTGGACGGGGAAGGTTGGCGATGCGTCGCGTTTCCGGGTCTGGGGTGCTCGTGCCTTTGTCCGTGATACCACCGCGGACAAGCTCTCCGCCCGCGCTGTTCCCTGTGTCTTCCTTGGCTTTGACTCTGACGCGCCTGGTTGGTAGTTTTACCACCCCACCTCGCGCCGTGTCTTCCCCTCTCAGGACGTCACGTTCGACGAGTCGGTTCCTTTTTACCGTCTCTTCCCCTACCGCAGTGCCCCTCTCCCCCCCCCGTCGCTCTTCCTTGCTCCAGGTGCTCCCCAGGTAGACCCCCTCCCCACTCCCGGTCCTGCTCCTTCAGGTGTGTCTCAGGTAGACCCTCCTCTCTTGCCTGCGCCAGTTGAGGTCACTGGTGACTCAGGTCCTGCTGAGGGTGGTCCTGCTCGTGGTGCTGCTACTGGGGGTGCTGAGCCTTGGGTTGCGGAGCCTGGGGTTGCTGAGCCTTGGGGTGCTGAGCCTGGGAGTGCGGAGCCTGGAGGTGCGGAGCTTGGGGGTGCGGAGACTTGGGGTGCTGAGTTTGGGCGTGAGGAGTCTGGGGGTGCTGAGCCTGGGGGTATTGAGTCGGGGGGTGGTGCACCTGGGAGCGCTGAGGCGTCTGGTGAGCAGTCTCCCTGGGGCAGCCGTCTCCGTAGTCGCTCTGCTGGTACCTCGCCGCTGCAGTCCCGTCGTCGACTCCCTCTCTCCCCACAGTAGCTGCGTGAGTGGTACGTTGGCCGTCAGGGTCGCGCTGCTGAAGCTAGGGGCCCTGCTGCGAGAGGCGCTAAAGCCGGTGACTCTGCTACTGGAGTTGTTTCTACTGGAGGTTCTGGAGCTGCTGAGGGTGCTGGAGGTGGAGGTTCTGGAGCTGCTGCGGGTGCTGGTGCTAGAGGTTCTGGACCTGGAGGTTCTGGAGCTGCTGAGGGTGCTGGCGCTGGAGGTCCTAGAGCTGCTGCGGGTGCTGGCGCTGAGGGTTCTAAGTCCGCTGTTGCGCGGTCTACTTGGAGTAGCCGCCTTCGTCCATGTGTACCTCTCACCTCTCATCAGCTGCACGACTCGTACGGTCGCCGTCAGGGTCGCAATTCTGGAGCTCGGCGCTCTGCCATTGGAGGTACTTCTGCTGCCGTCACTAGAGCTGGGAGTGGTGCTGGTCCCGGAGGTGCTCGTACTGGAGGTACTGGAGCTGATGGGGCTCGAGGTGCTGAGCCTGATGGTGCTACTGCTGGAGACCTCTGGTCTGGGGGTGCTGCTGCTGGTGACACTGAGGCAGGGGACCCTGGGACAGGAGGTGCTGGTTCTGAGGGTGCTGCTACTGGTGGAGCTGGTCCTGGAGGAGCTGGCGGTGAGGGGTCTGGTGCTGCTTGAGGTGCTGGAGCTGCTGGGGGTGCTGGAGCTGCTGGTGCTGGTGGCACTGCACAGCCGCGCCTGTTCTTTGCTCCGCCGTCTCCGTCGTCTCAGCCACCGTCTGACACTGTACTTCGCCAGGTTCTTAGTCTCCCTTCGTCTACTAGTCTTCCGTTACAGCCTAGCTCACCGCAGCCTGCTCCTTCTCCTTACACTGAGCAGTCAGGGGGTCTTACTGAGCCTCGTGAGCCTGCGTCGCGTCCTGTCTCGCCTGTCCGTTCTGGTCGTTTCGGTCGTCGTGTTCCTCGTTCGCGTCAGCCGGTTGTCCCCGGCACCCACCTCGTAGTTTGTTGTCCTTCCTCTCCTCCGCAGCGTGTTCCCCTGCCGGCCCCTCTTGTGTCTTCTCTGCCTACCGTTCCTGAGCCTGAGTCTGACCGCGTTTGTGCTGCTAGCCCTACTGTCACACGTCTGCTAGCCACAGCTGTCACTGACCCGTTGTTTGAGTCTGCTGCTGCGTCTACCTTAGTCGCTGAGCTTGTTGACTTTGCTGCTGCCTGTGGTCTAGACTACGCCGCTAGTCTTGTTGCTGAGTCTGAGTCTGTCTGTCCTCCGTCCGTCGGGGGTGAGAGTGCTCTTGGCACGGACGTCCTTGAGGACAGGCAGGAGGACCTTGAGTGTCTTGCAGCCGCTGCGCCTCATCTCGTGTCCATGCTGCTTGCCCCTGAGGGAGACCCGGATGCTCCAAACATCCCGACCCCGCGCTCTTACGTTGAGGCGATCGCGGGTGAGTACTCCTCTCAGTGGCAGACAGCCATGGACGCAGAGATGGCATCCTCGAAGTCCACAGGCACCTACGTCGACGAGGTTCCCCCTCCTGGGGCGAACATCGTCAGTGGCATGTGGATTTTCAAGGTGAAGCGGCCGCCAGGTTCTCCGCCTGTCTTCAAGGCTCGTTACGTTGCTCGAGGTTTCAGTCAGCGAGAGGGAGTTGACATCTTCCAGACCTTCTCCCCCACTCCGAAGATGACCACTCTTCGGGTGCTGCTGCACGTTGTTGCTCAGCGTGACTACGAGCTTCACTCTCTTGACTTTAGCACAGGTTTCTTACAGGGTAGCCTGCACGAGGAGATCTGGCTGCGCCGCCCTCCTGGCTTCACTGGTTCGTTTCCTCTTGGTACCCAGTGGAGCCTCCGGCGGCCGGTCTACGGTCTTCTCCAAGCGCCACGTGAGTGGCACGACAAACTGAGGACGACACTTGCGGCTCTTGGGTTCGCGCCTTCTACTGCTGACCCGTCGCTGTTTCTGCGCACCGACACTTCGCTGCCGCCGTTCTCCATCCTCGTGTACGTCGACGACTTGGTCTTTGCCATTGCGGACATTGAGGCTCTCGCCCTGATGAAGTCGGAGCTGCAGAAGAGACACACGTGCACAGACCTGGGTGAGCTGCGCAGCTACCTTGGCTTGCAGATCACCCGGGACAGAGCACGCCGCACCATCACACTGACTCAGTCACACATGGTGCAGCAGGTCCTTCAGCGCTTCCGCTTCACCTGGTCCTCACCACAGCACACTCCTCTGGCTACAGGTCACTCGCTCTCAGCTCCACCTTCGGACGAGTCGGTAGAGCCGAGTGGTCCTTACCCAGAGCTAGTGGGCTGCCTCATGTACCTGATGACCTGCACTCGTCCTGACCTTGCGTACCCTCTTGGCCTTCTCGCTCGCTACATGGCTCCTGGTAGGCACCGAGCGGAGCACATGGCTGCTGCTAAGAGGGTACTGCGCTACTTGTGCAGTACATTGGGCATGGGGCTCGTGCTTGGAGGACGGAGCTCAGTTGTCCTCACTGGGCACTCGGACGCTTCTTGGGTTGACGACCAGGCTACGCAGCGGTCGTCACAGGGTTACACCTTCAGCCTTGGCTCTGGCTCTGTTTCTTGGCGGTCTACACGCTCGTCTTCTGTTCTCGGCTCTAGTTGTGAGGCTGAGATCTTCACCACAGCCATGGCTGCACAGGAGCTACGCTGGCTCACCTACCTGCTGACCGACCTGGGAGACCGGCCTTGTTCTCCTCCAGTGCTGTACGTAGACAACAAGGCCGCCATTGCCTTGTGTTAGGAGCACAGACTGGAGCACAGAACGAAGCACATCGCTCTTCGTTACTTCCTCGCTCGAGAGTTGCAGCAGCGAGGTCAGCTTCGTCTTGCTCACGTGGCCATTTGGGCCAACACTGCTTAGATATTCACCAAGGCACTTCCGTCTGGTGATCATCAGCGTTTCTTTACTTTGTTTGGCCTGGTGCCTACGTTTCATCACTTGCTATAGACCTTGTTTGTACTGTGATCTATATATATACCTGCTTGCTTGCTTTGCTAGGTAGAGATCACTGTGATGCTGTTGTTGCATATATACCTTTGCATGTGAACTGGCCTTGTGGCCCTCTTCTTGTGCTTAGTGTGTGTGGTGACGTTGTGATCCACCCTGAGCTTGCTTTGCTTCTCTTGACTGGTCTTGTGACCCCTTGCTCTCCCCCACTTTGCCTATGGGTGTGTGTCAAACTATGATAATGCTTGTGCTGTGTAGGCTGTAGTGGGGTAGCCCATAAGGGGTACAACCCAAATTAGGGTCAGCATATGTACCTACATCTCTGTTCAATGCACTCATTCCTGCTGCTAGATTCTAACAGGCGCGGCACAACATTGACCTGGCCCGCATCATCAACGTGGACCAGACTCCACTATTCGTGGAGATGCCAGCCGAACGGACTATCGAGCACCGTGGCGCGCGCTCGGTCCCAATCCGCACTGCAGGCTAGTAGAAGACGCGCTTGACGGTGATGCTCGCATGCACTGCATCCGAGGAGAAGTTGCGGCCGTGGGTGTGGTTCAAGATGAAGAACGTCCCCAACTGTGAGATTCTAGAAGGTAAGCGTAATGAACTCAACTGTGCGTCTGCCTGATGAGCGTGCCCCACTGTGCTGATGCCCGTCTGTCCCTTGTGTGCCTGGCAGGAATTGTGGTCCAAGCACAGGACAACGGGTGGATGGACGAGAGCGCAGTGGGGGGTGCTGCCCCATCTGAACCCCCAGCACGGCCAGAACGCAAGGCGGGCGATGCTGGTGTTGGACTCCTACCGCGGTCACATCACCCAGACCATGCTTCAGTCGTACCGCACGCACAGCATCACACCTGCAGTCATCCCAGCGGGTTGTACGAGCCAGATTCAACCCTTGGACTTCTCCATCAACTGGTGCTTCAAGGCTGCTGTGCGAGCGCGCTACGCCATGTGGTTCATGCGTGAAGGGATTCACCTGAAGACGAAGAAGGGTGAGTTGGTCCTTCATTTACGGTTTTATTCCTATTATGTTTCCTGTCCTTGTCTTAAACATGCTCCTTCATATCCGTGTCTCTAACATCTCGCTGCCCCGTCCTCTGTCCCACCCGCAGGGAACCTGCGGAGGCCTCCGCACCCCGTGGTGCTGCAGTGGATCGCGGAGGCTTGGGATCAAGTCCCCAAGCAGATCATCATCGACGCGTTCCGCCGCCGTGGGATCTCAAGCAAGCTGGACGGAACGGAGAACCACCTGGTGATGTCTCACCTGCGCGCTAGGAGCACCACCGACAATACGCGCCTGCTCGATCGGGCTCCAGAGGAGGAGGAGGAGGAGGAGGAGGAGGCGATGCAGGCGGAGGGCGTGCAGGAGGTGGCCGTGGCAACCGGCCTGGAGGTGCTGTACCAGGAGACCCCCAACTACCGTGGAGCGGCGGCCGAGGCTGACCGCATGATCGAGCCTAGGGAGACGGCTAGGCATGCCTGGCGAGTGCCAGACCTGGGTGTAGAGCCAGTTGTTAGTGCAGGTGAGGAGGCAGTGACTGAGGGGGGTTAGGTAGAAGTAGAGATTCATGACTGTATGCATGTACCCCCCTAAAGTAAGGAAGGCTCGTTTAGAAGACACCCCCTGTTTATAAGAAAAACCCCAAACCCTGGTTCTGATTAAGACATATATGTCTTATCTCGTACACACAAATAGGTGTCGTATAAAAAGGCTAGCCTGTTTATAAGAGACACCCGTATAGTAGACAACCCCTGTCTACTATTCAACACTGTTTTATATCCGGGCAATGACGGTAGTAGTTGGCCCAAATACCGTAAGAAGGCAGTGTCTTGCATGAAGGTAGTGATATTGTGCCTCCTGCTAGCTCTTAACACTTGAAGGGCAAGGCACTTGGTGTAGAAGCAGGATACAAGGAAGGAACCTCCCATGGGCCAGAGCAGCGCCTACGGTAAGTGACAATGCATCAATCTGGGATGTACGGTATGTATACAATACGTATTGTCCGTAACTGCAAACTGCCAAGGGGAGGCATTCCGGGACGAAGCAGGGCAGCAAGAATGTAAAGATCATGTTAGGTGGGTTTAGAGTTGGCCGAAGAGAAGAGGGGTTGCGCTAAGAGAGGAGGTATTCCGGGACGAAGCACGGCAGCAAGAAGAACCCCACGTTGGCTAGGGAAGAGCCTACATGAAAATGCCCTATGTTGAGTGGTAGGTAGGTAGGTAGGTAGGTACAACATTCAATGTCAGCATATCGAGTTGTTTTTATTTCAGCCAATCGCCTCAAAGACACTTGAGATAACATCGTTCGATACCAGAAACCCCTCAGGATCAGTCAGTCGCATTCTAAGGCTTTGCCACCTCACCTCCTCCTCACCACCACCACCAACAACACCCTCACCAGTTCTACCCTCAATCGCTCTTCCTACGAGAGGGCCTTCCACCCCCTCCCTCGCTCCCTCTCCACTCTCCCTCACACCACCAACTCCCACCCCTCCTACACCCTCCTCCTGAGTGACCATCTCATCGCACTGCTGCTCCAGTGCTCTCAAGTAAGTCTTCTCTCTTCCCATAACCTCCATTCTTCCATCTGGCATTGCTTGGACTAATTCCACCAATCCCGTCTCGACAAATTTCAGCAGCACTTTCCCCACCGCCGCTGCCGCCTCCGCACCGAACCTACCCGCCAGCTCCGGCATTCCCAAGCCTTCCCCGAGCCTAAGCCCGAGCATGACCGTATCTAGAAGCTCCTCTTCTCTGGAATCCTCCGGCCAATCAATCAACCCGTTGCTAGCTTCGTACTTCCCGACCCACTCCCCGTACCCATCCCAGGTTCGGGGCCGAACGAACCTCTTCCGAGCCACATAGCTAGCTGCGCCAAGCCCGAACCCCAGGTACGGAAAATTCGTCCAGTAGGTCCGGTTGTGCCGAGACTGGAAGCCAGGTTTGGCATAGTTGCTAACCTCGTAATGAACATATCCCGCCGCACGAAGCTGCCTGGAAGCTTCCCGGTACATGTCAGCGGAAAGATCATCGGCAGGGAGGGGGGAGCGGCCGGGGGAATCAGCTGATGGTATTCCCCCCTTTTGGCCTTGGGAATACCATCGGCCGAAGGCTGTGCCTTGCTCCACCTGCAAATCATAGACTGACACGTGGCTGGGGCCCAGGCGGATGGCTTCAGAAAGGGAGTGCTGCCAGCTGTCGGGGGTCTGGCCTGGCAGGCTGAGATTGGGTGGGGAGAAGGGGTGATTGGGGGAAGGGATGGCAGGGGGAGTAAGGGTAGGACGGTAGGACGAAGGAAGCACATATTGCCCACCTCTAGCAAGCATCGTGCATGGCAATGATGGCATCAGTATGGTTGCATCCTCCCTTCCTTAGGGGGAAACATAGGCACTCACCCCGAGATAAGATCCAAGCTCCAGTTCTCCAAACCCAAACGTTTCATGGGGTCAACAACATCATACAGGTCAGCCAGAAAAAAGAGAGAATATGAATCCTCCTCCCACTTGCGTTCATCTAGTATAGTCATCCACCCATCTTCCTTCTCTTGCGCTGCCCACTCACCCTGATATCAAATCCAAGCTCCAGTTTTCCAGCCCCACGCGCTTCACCGCATCAACAGCATCGTACACGTCAGCAAGAGAGTGAGATCTCCCACACGCCTTCAGCAGGGCTTCGTCAAACGCCTGGCATCCCACACTCAGCCTCGTCACTCCCGAGCCTTCCACCCAGGCTCGGAGCCGAGCCTCGTCGAACGTGCCAGGGTCGGCCTCCAAGCAGATCTCAGCGTCCGGAGCAAGGCCGTAGGTTCGGCGAAGAGTGTCGACGAGCCTGGAGAGGAGGTCCGGCGGGAGGAGGGAGGGAGTACCTCCTCCGAAGTGAATAGTGCGAAGAGGAGAGTGAGGAGGAGAGTGAGGAGGTGGAGGAGAGTGAGGAGGTGGAGGAGGATGACTGGCTTCGATTTCCCTGATCACCAGACCCACGTATTTCTCCATCTTCAATATCAGCCGTTCATGCACAGACGGGTCCCTGGCCCCAACTGTGACTATAGGGAAGTCGCAATAGTGACAGCGGCGGCGACAGAATGGGATGTGAACATAAGCAGAGAGCGGGGGAGAGGAAGCGATGCTTTGACCAGAATTCAGGGTGAGAATTGACGGGTCCTGGACACGTGGCTGTTCTTGATTGGTTGAAGGTGACTGGGCCGTGGAGGAGCCGCGGATGTGACTACAACGAGGTACGAGTTGTGACGTCGATCTTTGGGGAAATGACGTGTGGAAGATGAAGTGAGGTTGAGAAACGGAGGAGAAGGGGGAGGAGGAGAAGGCGGAAGTTGAGAAGGAGGAGTAGGAGGAACCATGGCTGCTGGTAATCCAGGATGATCTAAGACCAGAAAGATTAGACCCGGCTGACGTGGCAAGCAGGACGCGGCTGAGGTGATGACGGTGATGATCTAACCGAGCGACGGGTGCGACTTGTGCGCCGAAACATGCGACCCGCGATGGCGACACGGATCGCAAAGCGACGCTCAGACGGCCTGGAAGGCCTCTCGCGTGCGAATTCATGCGAGCTGCCTCTGTGCGACTGCGGATCGCGCGGACTCGAACGAGGCCTACTCCAATCGCCGTGAGGTGCGGATGTGTTTATTTGTGCCGTTCGTAGCGGCAGCGCATTGCTGTCACTTCTGCTCAGAGACCCCTGTAAGCGATCTCTTTTCTCATTCGTTCAACGTGTAAGCTGAACAGCACTTGCCAATGTCACAGAAATTTGCTGTGGGGTCTGGTACGATTGAAAGGGATTATGCTTGCTGTGATGCGGTGACTCGACATGACACCAATTGGAGGTTTATTAGGGTACCCGTCAAAAGGCACTTCGATGCAGAGCCTGCATCAGCATTTGCATCGGACACACTAGAATGTATAGGTTCAATCCACCACATAGAGGCCCAATGGCTTTCCAGATAATGTTTTTCTGAGTACAAAGGGACCACGGTACCTAATGGTTCAAACACCACCCTTGTCCACAAGGGCCACTCTAGAGAGGCTCCTCCAGATGCAGTCTTGGTAGGGGTGGCACGTTCGAGCCACACAAAGAGGCAGCGCCAGTATAAATTTGAAGAGGCACCAACAGCCGTGTAATCAAATATCAAGACTTCAACAAACAACTAGGTATAACCCACGACGCCGACCTTTTATTCTTCTCCTCATCCAGCAACCTATTCTTCTCCATCAAAATATCCCTTTCAAGTCTAAGCTTCTTAACCTCAACTTTTGCTATATCCAATGCTTTAAGATACTCCTCCGCTCTGTCTAAACTCTCCCGTCCCGCCACGGCCACTTCTGCCGCCTCCTCCCTCTCTTCCATCAGCACTGAAAGCTCCCGTTGCAAAGCGTCTATCCGTCTATCTGCCGCCATCATCGCCGCGTCTTTCTCCCTTCGCACCGCATTCGCTCTGGCGTTCGCCGCTGACAGCTCAGCACGCACCGACGCCACCTCAGCATTGGCTGCTGCCAACTTGGCGTTCGCCGCGGCCGCGACTTCTTGCAGTTGGTGCAGCGCGGCTGCTTCGCGTTCTCTTGCGCGCGCCAGTCCGCCTTTTAGCAGCTGCACTTCCGCTCGCAGGATGCGCACCTCTTCAGGCTCTTCCGCTGGAGCTGACTCGTAGGCGTCAGTTGAAGGTGCTCCTAGACCGTGTTGCTTTGGCTGCATTTCCATGGTAGTTGTCATTCCAGTCCTGAAACTTCAACCTGGCGACGAGCTCGGAACGATACTATCCGTCTCCGTCGAATTGACGACGAGTGACAAGACGACGCCGGATACCGAAATGAAAATAGACGTTATTGTTCCGCGAAAATGGTTACTATGCTAGGGCTCCGACAGCGTCACACAAAGCAACTCCCGTCGTCCACAGCGTGAATCCACGTGAAAGCTCATAAAAATATCTCAAATGACTGACGGCGGAGTATCAACAAGCTGTAAGTGACTAGTGCTGCTACCTGTTCTGTCGAGTCGATGCGTCCAGTACGTCGTGCTATGCTTCAAAATCCCCCTTGATGCCTGAAGTTTCCTTTCTGTGGTAAATTGATGGCGAGGCGAATCAGAGCTGGCGGCAATCCGTGTGGCGGGTTGTTGCCACAGCTGGAGTTGGTGGGGAGGTGGGTGGGCCAAGTCCCTGGCCCCCGGCCTGGGCCGTGATGGGGAAGTGGCCTGTGGCTTTTGCGCTGCTGGCACGTAGTCGAGTGAGGGAAGTGGAGATGAACAGAGATACTCGATACTGAGCGTTCTGGTTTGAGCATTACAACTAGACGAGCACGAAACCCAAAAAAATCCCACAAGGTCAACGATTCATTTACAACATCCGTAGCCTTGAAAGATCAATTGTGGACGGACGGACCTTTCTAACTAATGAAATGATATCATGCATACTACAATGGCGGGGTTCATTACAATCACCGTTAGGCTTGGCACACAATGGGATGGTAATGTAAACATACATATGCTACATTGTCATACCATATGCTGTACAGAAGAATGCTACCTTACAAACCGTAACCCCATAAATTTACTTACATCTACCATTAGAGCCCTGCCACCAACAAGAATGATAAGCAGCAGGGGTTACCCAAACGATTTGCCATTCAACCTGCTTCAGCCTCACAACGACTGGCAGCCTCGAGAATACAGCTTTTGTCCGTCCTCACAAACCCTCCCTCCAAGTCAGCCAACTTCCCAAGAGCCATGGCTGCTGAAGACACTTTCAGAGAAGGTAGAGTTAGCCAGCAAGCTACTCATCAGTTCACCTCCAAAGTCAGTTGAGTTTGAGTGAGACGAATCAGGAACCGCAACTACCGCAGCAGGCACGGTGAAACACACCCACGACTGAAATTCGCCTAAACTGGGGGACGAAAAAAGAAACCAATCCTTTGCGTAGAAACAGCTTACGTCTGTCTTCATAGACTTTCCTCCGAGTGAGCCAACTTCCCGTTCCTCAACAACTACTTTCCTTCCACATTCCACATCAGCCATCCCCGCTTCCTCCGCAACTTAGTCAGCCTCTGCCGCATCAACGACACCCTCGGACTCTACGAGTATTGCTGGTGCCACCTAAGTCAGTAATGTGGTAGCTACCGAGGCGTGTCAGGCGTAAACCGCGGCGGCTCGGACACGTTCATCAGGCACGGCGGCACGAGCCAGTTCACGGTCGCCATAGCGCCTCCCGCGCCGCCTCCATGCTCCAACGCCTGAATCCGCTCCTGCAGCAAATCTCTTTCCAGTCTTAACTTCTTAATCTCCACTTTCGCGACGTCTAAAGCTCGGAGGTATTCTTCTGCTCTCTCGACGCTCCGTTTCCCCTGAGCGATAATCTCCGCATCCTCTTCTCGTTCGTCTACCAGAACCGCTAATTCTCTTCTTAGTGTTTCAATCCGACGGTCCGCAGCCTGCACCGCGACCTCCTTTTCCCGCCGAACGACTGCCAGCTTGGCATTAACGGAAGCCAGGTCAGCTTTGGCGGTTGCTGACTCAGCTAGGGCGGCTGCCAGGCTGGCTTCCAGCTGTTTTATTCGTAACCGTAGCCGCTCTACTTCGAAAGGGTCCACATTGCCCTGGAAGTCGCCGTTCGGCAAGGTGCCTTTTGCGAGCGTACCGCCTTCGTGTTCGTGCATGGCTGCCCTAGGACAGCGTTTCCGAGGAGATAAATAACTATGACGGAGGAACAGACCGCTTCTGCTAAGCAATGTTCAGGGCGGAAAGAACGAAGGTGTGTAATAAATAACTATTGAACAAGAGTTCGGTTGAAAGGGTAGGACGAGGGAACATTCAGTGCTGAAGAAACTAGCTGAAGAAGAGCAGCAGGGGAAAGAGCTCCAGCAGAAATTAGCAGCAACAGCAGAAGCAAGCGAGGGAACAAGAGCGCAACAGCAATAGCAACAGCAATGGCGCCAGCAGGAAAGCAGCAGGGTCACACCTCACATCCAGACATGCAGCCCAACGCAGATGAGCAAGAACGCATACCAAACGCATTTCAGTTTCAGTCGTCAGAGCTTATCAATGCAACGCAACGCACCATGTGCTCTGATATCTGCACCGTGATGATCTCGCAATTGACACGCGAGGTATTCGGAAGATGAGAATGCGGCCTAGGTACGAAGGGGGGGCCGGCTCCGGAGATCCCCGTGAGTAGAGGCGGATGCGTCTGTCACCAGGGGGGCGAGCTCCATGCGCCCCAACCCAACCCAACCACCTCGATTCACCCGCGAAACAGCCAAGTACAGATATCTACTACACTCGAGTAAATTTACTTCTGCACTTCCAGACAAGTGGTAGATGCGAACTCAGCCATAAAGCACATTTTCTACATTCCAAAATTGTCTTCTCTACATGCAGCCATGATTCTTGCAATGCTTGCTTGCTCCATCTCGTCAGCCTCAGGCAAATCTGCCATGCACAAAAAGGAGATTAAACTGAGTTTACTCAAAATAAACAGGCATACTCGCATAGAGACAGTTAGTAAACATAAAATAATCAGCATAAAGCACAACCCAGCCGGACCTGGCTTTCTCCCTAACCACTTTCCGATTCAAGTCTCACCTTTGTCAAACTGCAGAGTCGGAATCTCTTCTTTATCCTTCTCCGCTGTCCACTCCTGAATAGCCTCGTCCCACCGCCCAATCACAACGCGACACACGGCCTGCTGTCGATGCGGACCAACAGTTTCCTCCTTCAAACCACTCGCACCCTCACTCCCTCTCCCTCCTCTCCTCTGTTGCCCTGGCAGCATGACAGCATCGGGCCAAGCGGGGCCGATAGGGAGTGACGCCAAGAACAGTGACCGATCCGTTAAAGCTGCCACCGTTTCACTCGCCGCTCCTTCCGCTCCTCCCGCTGCCCCTGCTGCTGATGCGGCTGCCCTTGCCCCTGCTCTCTCATCTGCTCCTCCTGGCCCACCTACTACTCCTGTTCCTTCTCCACCTACTCCTGCTGCAGCTGCATCTCCCATACATGGCACGATCACCCGATGCTGACCTGGCATGAGCTGCTGCGGCTGCACATGCTGACTTGGCAGCGTCGCATTCGCGTGCAAGCTGCCAGGTGGCAGCATGTGAGAGGGCGCGATGCTCTCCTGCGTGTCAAACAGGAACTGCTGCGATCCGATGGGGTTCTGAGAGGAGCTGAACGGTTGGAAGGAGCTTTGCTGCGATTCAAAGCGGTGTTCTGGTTGGGAGGCAAACTGGTGGTATGGCTGGGAGGAGAAGGGGGTTGCTTGGGAGGCAAAGGGAGTTGCTTGGGAGGGAATATGCTGCTGTGGATAGAAAGGAGAGAAACTCTGCTGTGACGCGAACGGGAAGGTCTGGGAGAAGAGGTCCGGATTCTGACAAGACATGCCGCACTGACTGCTGGCAGTGGCACCACTAGCATCAGCACCAGCGCCAGTGCCAGCAGCACCAGCAGCACCAGCAGCACCAGCAGCACCAGCAGCACCAGCAGCAGCAGAAGAAATAGAGGCGCTTCTCTCGCCCAGGAACCCCAAGCGACGCAGGGATTGCAGTACTGAGTCTACCCGCTGCCCCCGTGCTGCCATGTGGCGCTCGGCGATTGGCTGGGGTGGCTGGGCGTCTGCTGCTGCCTCCGCAATCTCGTGACTGGGTTTGGGGAGAGAGGGGGGGATGGGCGGGCGGGTAAGAAGTGGGGTACGAGTCGTTTCAAACCGACTTCAAAGACTGGCCACGACTCTCGCCAATGACACATCCAACCGCCCTTCATTCCCCTCCACTCACCCCACTCCCATCCATTCCACTTCACTCCACACCGCTTCACTCCACCCCACTTCACTCCCCTCCACTCCATTCCACCCCACTCCACTCCATCTTATCACATCAGCGGCCATGCAGTTGTGCCCTCTCCTCCGGTGCAAATCTCTGCAACTCTCGCAAGCGACACATCCAACAGCCCTTCATACCTCTCCACCACACCCCACTCCCATCCACTCCACTCAACTCCGCCTCATCCCACTCCACTCCAACTCACCATGTCAGAGGCCATGCAGTCGTGCCATCTCCTCCTGTGCAAATCTCTGCCACTCTTGCCAGTGACACATTCAAATGCCCTTCTTCCTTCTCCTGTTCCTGCTCCTCCTCCTCCTCCAGCTGCTGCTGCTGCTCCTCCTCCTCCTGCTGCTGCTGCTGCTGCTGACGCTTTTTCCGCCTGCGTTGTGAATTCCCCCTAACATCCCTCTCGGTGCTCCTTTCTCTCGCCTGGCCTCCTCTCACCTCCTCCTCTCCTTCCGCCTTCTCCCCCCTCCTACTCCCAACCACTGCATCCAGAGCCGAGCGCACATCTGCATCAAGACACGAGGATGTCACAAAAGTAGGGTGCAGGGGTTGGGGGAATGGAAAGACGAGTGGTGAGTGAGACACTGATACACCTACCACCTACCACCTACCACCTACCACCTACCACCTACCACCTGCCACCTGCCACCTACCACCTACCACCTACCACCTACCACCTACCACCTACCACCTACCACCTACCACCTACCACCTACCACCTACCACCTACCACCTACCCTACCACGTGCCACCTGCCACCTGCCACCTACCACCTACCACCTACCACCTACCACCTACCACCTACCACCTACCACCTACCACCTACCACCTACCACCTACCACCTACCACCTGCCACCTGCCACGTGCCACCTGCCACCTACCACCTACCACCTACCACCTACCACCTACCACCTGCCACCTGCCACCTACCACCTGCCACCTACCACCTACCACCTACCACCTACCACCTACCACCTACCACCTACCACCTACCACCTACCACCTACCACCTACCACGTGCCACCTGCCACCTGCCACCTACCACCTACCACCTACCACCTACCACCTACCACCTACCACCTACCACCTACCACCTACCACCTACCACCTACCACCTACCACCTGCCACCTGCCACGTGCCACCTGCCACCTACCACCTACCACCTACCACCTACCACCTACCACCTGCCACCTGCCACCTACCACCTGCCACCTGCCACCTACCACCTACCACCTACCACCTACCACCTGCCACCTACCACCTACCACCTACCACCTACCACCTACCACCTACCACCTACCACCTACCACCTACCACCTACCACCTGCCACCTGCCACCTACCACCTGCCACCTACCACCTACCACCTGCCACGTGCCTTCCCTCATCCCTCCGCTTCGCACCCCTCTTACCAACCACTGGATCCAAGGAGTATGATCTCGGAGCAGCACAGCGCCCACCCTTCCTTTTCCACTGCACCTCTCTTTTTTAGACTCAGACTCACAGTGCGCGACGTTTGGAAGCTGGATGGTGTATGATTTCGGAGTGGCGAACTTGTCACTCTTCCTCTTCACCACATGTGCGGCCTGCTGCTCCCACGCATTCCCAGCAAGTGCTGCTGCCTGCACCAGAGGAAACTTCCCTCCTCCTGTCTTTCTCCTCTTTTCTTCACCCCCACTCTCCCCTCTCCCCCTCCTCCTCTTTCTCCTGTTGCGCTTGTCTTTAGAACTTGCAAACTTCTCATTGTCCTCCTTTTCCCCCTCCTCCTCCTCGTCCTTGTCCTCTTCCTCATCCTCCTCATCCTCCTCATCCTCCTCTTCCTCCTCTTCCTCCTCTTCCTCCCTTTCTTGTAAGAAGCCCTCCTTTCTTCCATCCTTTTCTCCCTGTTTACTCTTGCCTTTCCTCCCCTCCCACTCCATGCCGTATGATGCCGCCCACACATCTCCAAGCCTTGTCAGCTGAATCAAATCAAATCTTCCCTCATTATTCCCAGCCTCCTCTGCCCATCTCCCTGCTGTTTTTTTCCCACCGCCTGATTGGCTGTCGGGCCGAGCTTCGTTATGAGCACACGGCAGCGTGCTTATACATGCAAGGCCAGCGATTGGAGCAAGTGCAGTGCCTGCCACGTGGACAGCTGGGATTGGCTGAGAGGCCTGCAGCACGTCTACAGGATCGAGGGACCGCGGCAGGATGCTTCTGGGACGCTTCCTCTCGAAGGGGGATGGGATTTCTAGAGGGAGGAGGGCCGGTGTGGATATGAATTGAGGACCTCTGGGTGCGCTGTGTTGTAATAGTGAAGATGCTTGTAATGAGGATGCGTGCTTCTTAGTGCTGTACCCTTTTTGTTTGTTTCTCCTTCTGCCCTTCCCCACTCCTTCTCCTCTCCTCCTCCCCTCCTCCTCCTCCTCCTCCTCCTCCTCCTCCTCCTCCTCCTCCTCCTCCTCCTCCTCCTCCTCCTCCTCCTCCTCCTCCTCCTCCTCCTCCCCCTCCTCTCTATCTGCTGCTTTAATCATCATACCCTTTGATACACTCACATCCACACCACCAGCGCAAGAGGGGAACGGAGCAGCAGCCACGGTTGCCAAACCTCCAGACAAGGCTCGGAAGAGGTGCGGCGTGCGCCGCTGGGCAGCCTGGAAACGTTTAATTGCCCGACGGGCAGCAGCAGCTTCAGCTCTAGCTGTTGCTGCTGCTTCAGCATCAGCATCTGCTGCTGCCGTTGCTTTTGTTGCAGCAGCAGCATTCGTGGAAGGAGGAGGAGAAGGAGCAGTGGTGAGAGCAATAGGGCATGTGATGATCCGGCCTGAACCCAAGGCCGCTGCAGTAAGTGTGATCTGTGGTGGGGGGGCTGTGAAGGAAGGGAGGGAGGGAGAAAGAAAGGAGGGAGAAAGAGAGAGGGGGGACTGAGAGAAGGGTGACGTCAGGTTTGGGTGCTGGGATCAAAAAAAGGGAGAAAGAGGAAGAGAGGAGGGTGATGCCTTTACCTTGCATGTCTATCCACTTTTGACAATCAATGAAAGGGCCATTAGAGAGGAGGGCGAGTGGAGTGGAGTCAGTATATAGAAGAATACAGGGAGCAGATTTGGGCAGGAAGAATGTTCATGGGAGTGGGAATGAAAGTGAGAATGGAGACGGGATGGGAGCGAGAGTGGGCGACTCACCCTTGCCGTCATGAAGAGGCGTGAAGGGAGTGGGAGGTTCTTGTTGGCTTTTAAGGGAGCGTGAAGCAAATCCAGCTAACGATCAAGGGGAGGGGTAGTGAATATCACTTGGGAGGGGTAGTGAATATCACTTGGGAGGGGTAGTGAATATCACTTGGGAGGGGTAGTGAATATCACTTGGGAGGGGTAGCGAATATCACTTGGGAGGGGTAGTGAATATCACTTGGGAGGGGTAGTGAATATCACTTGGGAGGGTAGTGAATATCACTTGGGTGGGGTAGTGAATATCACTTGGGAGGGGTAGTGAATATCACTTGGGAGGGGTAGTGAATATCACTTGGGAGGGGTAGTGAATATCACTTGGGAGGGGTAGCGAATATCACTTGGGAGGGGTAGTGAATATCACTTGGGAGGGGTAGTGAATATCACTTGGGAGGGGTAGTGAATATCACTTGGGAGGGGTAGCGAATATCACTTGGGAGGGGTAGTGAATATCACTTGGGAGGGGTAGTGAATATCACTTGGGAGGGGTAGTGAATATCACTTGGGTGGGGTAGTGAATATCACTTGGGAGGGGTAGTGAATATCACTCGGTGTCTCACCCTTGCCGTCGTGAAGAGGCACGAAGGGAGTGGGAGGTCCGTCCATTGCCATTCTCGAGTGTGACTGCAGCAGCTGTGAGGGTATCAGGCGTGATTCTGACGAGCATCCGCCAATACTGCTGCTCCGTCGCCTGTGATTGGCTGTTCCTCCGGACCGTCTGTCCCCTTTATAAGCTGCTCCGAGGTAGTTGAAGTGCAGCAGGCGGGGCGGGTCATCCTCCATACCATGCTCCCACTGGAAGAGAAATAGAAGAATAGTTGGGAAAAAGTGGGATAAAGGGAAGTGAGTGAGATAAAGGGGATTCCACAAAAAGAGACTTAGAAGAATGGGTGGGAATAAGTGTGATAAAAGGGATCCCAGTGAAACAAATCAAAAGGCGGGCCGGGTCATCCTCCATACGATGCTCTGAATAGAGGAAATAAGACGAATAATAATAATAATAAAAAAACACTTCAATCGCAACTACTAAACCCAAAACCCCATTGCAGACAGTCTTCCTTTTGTTTTCTAAAGAAGAATGCAGTACTCTACAGTCTCACCTCATGGTCGCCATGCAGTACTCTTACAAGTCGCCAAGAGAAATGAGCACTTGTTCTCTACGGTCTCACCTCACGGTCTCACCTCACGGTCTCACCTCATGGTCTCACCTCATGGTCTCACCTCATGGTCTCACCTCATGGTCTCACCTCACGGTCTCACCTCATGGTCTCACCTCATGGTCTCACCTCATGGTCTCACCTCATGGTCTCACCTCATGGTCTCACCTCATGGTCTCACCTCATGGTCTCACCTCATGGTCTCACCTCATGGTCTCACCTCACGGTCTCACCTCATGGTCTCACCTCATGGTCTCACCTCATGGTCTCACCTCATGGTCTCACCTCATGGTCTCACCTCATGGTCTCACCTCATGGTCTCACCTCATGGTCTCACCTCATGGTCTCACCTCATGGTCTCACGGTCTCACCTCATGGTCTCACCTCATGGTCTCACCTCATGGTCTCATCTCATGGTCTCACCTCATGGTCTCACCTCATGGTCTCACCTCATGGTCTCACCTCATGGTCTCACCTCATGGTCTCACCTCATGGTCTCACCTCATGGTCTCACCTCATGGTCTCACCTCATGGTCTCACCTCATGGTCTCACCTCATGGTCTCACCTCATGGTCTCACCTCATGGTCTCACCTCATGGTCTCACCTCATGGTCTCACCTCATGGTCTCACCTCATGGTCTCACCTCATGGTCTCACCTCATGGTCTCACCTCATGGTCTCACCTCATGGTCTCACCTCATGGTCTCACCTCATGGTCTCACCTCATGGTCTCACCTCATGGTCTCACCTCACGGTCTCACCTCATGGTCTCACTCTCACCTGCAGCAGCGGAGCTATTGTGTTGCGATGGTCAAAGAGCATCACCAGGCGACTAGAAGCCACTGCGAAGCAGCGACTGTCCAGACTGTCGCATATCCTGTAACCCTATGATGCACGCATGGCACCATGCTCTCACTCACTTGCAGCAGCGGCGCGACAGTGTTGCGAAGGTCAAAGAGAAGAGCATCACCAGGCGACTAGACGCCACCGCAAAGCAGCGACTGTCACACGGCATATGACTCTACAATCAGGACACAGCACTTTCAGCAAGCACCTTACCTGTAACAGCGGCGCCACTGTGTTGCGAAGGTCGAAGAGCATGACCAGGCGACTAGACGCCACCGCAAAGCAGCGACCATCCAGCCCACCAGTAGGCACGAACGCTGATGTTGCTGTTGATGTGGATGTGGAGAAAGGAGAGGAAGAGCAGAACGACGGTGGAGGAGAGGAGGAGGCAGTGGTAGCAAGGGCACAGAAGGACTGGCGGAGGATGGGGGCATGGGAGGGGAGTGTGGAGAGGGAGGACGGCAGCGAGTGCTGCGGAATCTGCACTGCCGACACCAGCCCCATCCCCACCCTGCTCCCCCCTCCTCTTCCTGCTCCTCCTGCTCCTGCGCTTCCTCTCGCCCCACGCCTGCTTTTACTCATGTCAATACGAAGATCAACCATTCCGATCTGGTCCGAACAGGCAGTGAGCAGTATATGAGGCTCCCCTTCTCCCATATACTCGCACTGCCACCATCCCTCCCACCCCAGCCGCCCCTCGGCTTCCCTCCACCTCACCTCCTCCTCCCACCGCTTCTTCCGAGCCTCTTCTGTTTCCTCCGCCGAGCCTAGCCCCGAGCCTGTGGTCAGGCCGGACGGGAACGTTGAGCCTGCTGCCGAGCCGGACCTGCCCCAGCCTCGCACCGGACCTCCCAAGGCAACTCCACCAATGGACGTGGTCCAATCTGCAGAGCCTCTTCCCCCTCCCCCTCCTCCTCCTCCTCCTGCGTCTACACTACTTTTCCCTGATCTTAACGAGAATTTACTGTAGCTACACTCCCTGCTGCCAGGAGCTGCCCCTAAGGGGATTGGTCGAGCAAGGAGGGAGGACGAGGAGAGAGGCGAGAAGTAGGAGGAAGGATAGGAGGAGGAGGAGAGGGAGGGAGGGGGGTGATGCAGGTCGACCAATTGCAATTTTCCAGTGGTGGTGATGAGAGCGAGTTGAGTGGGGCCTGGGGAGGAGCAGGCGGGACGGAAGGCAACCTGTTAGCATACACGGGGAAGGGCAGGAAGGGAAGAAAGGAGCAGAGGGGCAGTGTGAGTGACTTGCAGTCGACCGGTGGTGGTGATGAGAGCGAGTTGAGTGGGGACTGGGGAGGAGCAGGCGGGACGGAAGGCTAGCTGTTAGGATACGAGGGGAAAGTTGGGAAGAGGGATGGAAGGAAGCAGAGAAAGTGTGAATGGTGAGTAAGGAAAAGAAAAGCGGAGTTGCGGATCGTTTTTGAGGCGCCTAAAAAATGACCTCAATGCAAGCAGAGAAAGTGCGAATGGTGGGTAAGGAAAAGAAAAGGGGAGTTGCAGAGAGGGATGGAGGGGAGCAGTGACAGAGTTCACTCTCCATCCTTTTCCAGAGAGGAAATACGAAGCAGAAGAAAAGAAGGGGTGGGGAAGGCGCAATAGATCGTGACGCGAAGGAACGAGCTGATTGAAAGCTGCATTGACAGGAACTGTCAGAGAGACAACAGATCACCTGAAAGTGTCAGTCAGCTTTCCTAGATGTTTTCTTTGCTGTTTCCGAGACGCATAAAAAGCAGCTTGATTATTAGGAGCCTCAAACACAGCTTTTCTATTTTGAGTCGACTCAAAACAGCTTGTATTTTGGGCGCCTCAAAAACAGATTCTCTATATGTTTGCTTTGCTCCATTCAAAGTGACGGACACACACACACACATGTGCAAGAGGCGTTGGCGATGCGAGAGAGAGCAGAGGTTTCGCCTTCAACCCCCCGTGATCTGTTTTTGAGTCGACTCAAAAACCGACTCGTCACACGCAAAGTGACGGACACACACACACACACACACACACACACACACACACACACACACACACACACACACACACACACACACACACACACACACACACACACACACATGTGCGAGAGGCGTTGGCGATGCGAGAGAGAGCAGACGTTTCGCCTTCAACCCTCTGAGATCTGTTTTTGAGTCGACTCAAAAATTGACTCATCACACACAAAGTGACGGACACACACACACACACATGTGCGAGAGGCGTTGGCGACGCGAGAGAGAGCAGACGCTTTGCCTTCAACCCTCCGAGATCTGTTTTTGAGTCGACTAAAAAATTGACTCATCACACGCAAAGTGACGGACACACACACACACACATGTGCAAGAGGCGTGGGCGATGCGAGAGAGAGCAGACGCTTCGCCTTCAACCCTCCGAGATCTTCCAGATCCCCCCCACAACCGCCATCGCTGCCGCTGCTGCAGCCATCACTGTCGTACGACAGGGCGAGCACGTGAGAATGGTGCATGGACCGCGCTGCCACGTGGCAGCTCATGACTGGCCGATGCTGCTGCTGCTGCTCCTGGCCCATCCCCTGCCGCCCCTGCCTCTCCCACCCATCTTGGTCAACTTCAGAGGAATCTTCCGAGCTATTTCTGGGAGAAGAGGGCGGGGCGGGGTGTGTGCCCCAGTTACCACTGTTAAAGGCCGTGAGCTGGGGGTTGTGGGAAGTGAAAAAGCAGAGGGAAGAGGGGGGGGGGGGGGGGGGAGAAAAAGGGGTGGGAGTTATCAGTAAGAGGAGAGAGGAAGGGAAAGCTGAGCAGATGAGGTTTTTTGAAAATTTCAAAGGCTGGGGCGCAAGAAGGGAGGGTTCTGTGAGACTTTTCAGACGACTTAAAAGGGGAGAGAAGGGGTGGGAGTTATCAGTAAGAGCAGAGAGGGCGGGAGTCTCGAGTTGATGAGGGTATTGAAAACCTCAAAGGCTGGGGCTGGGGAAGGGAAGGTTCTGTGGAATGCAGAGCAGACAAGGAGACAATGGAGAGCAGTGCCTTGCATTCCACTGAGTACATCACAATGGAACCCCTCCAACGTGCACGACACGTTTCCCTCCAACCTCCCTGTACATCCCCTCTCCGTCCTCACCTGCAGAATGTGTCAAGTCGGTTTTTGAGTCGACTCAAAAATCGACTTTATCACACACGACATGTATCCCTCCCTCCAACCTCCCTGTACATCCCCTCACCTGCAGAATCTTCTTCCCTTCCCCACTCTGCTCCCCCAGTCCCTCCCCTGCCCCTGTACCCCCCGCCGCCAGCCCCTCTTTTTCCTCACCTGCAGAATCTTCTTCCCCACTCTGCTCCCCCACACCACTTCCCCCTGTGCCCCTCCCTCCGCTTCCCCCCCATAGCTGCTGCTGCTGCCAAGCAGGGAGGAGTGGGTGGTGGCAGCAAGGCAGTCATATCGGTGACCCGAGGGGAAGAGGAGGAGGTGAGATGAAGCGGTCTGATGGGGGGTGTAGGGAATAGTCAACGGAAAAAAGGAAAGGGAGAAAAGGGGGGGAGGAGTGCTGGGTGGTGGCAGCAAGGCAGTCGTAGCGGTGACCCGAGGGGAAGAGGGGGAGGTGAGATGAAGCGGTCTGGTGGAGGCGAAGGGGGAGGGAGAAAGGCATAGAAAGCGAAGCATGGACCATGCGTGGGGTGTGCGTGGGGTGTGCGTGTGTGTTAGGAAAAGGGGAGGGGTAGGTAGGGAAACGGGAAAGGGAGATGAGAGAAAGGATGCTGGTTTCGAAGTCACCAGAAATGTAAGACCAGCCAAGTCAATCAAGTCAATAAAGTCAAGCAAGATAGGTGGGCCATCGATTTACTAAATGGCACTCATAGTGACTACAGGAAAGTGACTATACCAAAAGCTGGGCTGCATAACAGATTGTGACTGTGCACGCAGTTCGTTATACCAGGGGAAGGGCGAGCAACCGGTTTCCCAGCGTGGCGTCTCCACCTGCCAGCCTGGTAAGCTTGCTGTCCACGTCAGCGCTGACTAGGCGGTGCAGCAGAGAGGTCGGCACAGCGCCGTTGACGTTGGAGGTATACCACCGCACTTGCTGCGCTGGGGAGATGGGGCGGTAGAGAAAGTGGGGAGAGGGGAGAGAGCAATCAACCAGGAGGCATGTCAATCGTCATTAACGTTGGAGGTATACCACCGTCTTGCACAGGGTGGGGGAGACAGGGTGGGGGAGACAGGATGGGGGAGACAGGGTGGGGGAGACAGGATGGGGGAGACAGGGTGGGGAAGACAGGGAGAGAGAGGAGAAAGGAGGAATAGCACCGCACTTGCTGCGCTGGGCCAATAAGGAAGCAGAAGCCACACGCGGAGGGGAGAAGGGAGCACGAAAAGGGGAGGGGGAGCAGGGCAGCACGTTCAGCTATCAATCCGCCCTTCTTACGTGCAGGGGGAGGGGGAGAACGCGTTGGCAGCATTTCGACAATTATCAGATTCTCTCCTGAATCCCCTCCAACCCAACCACACACCCTTCCGCCCCTTCCGCCCCTTCCGCCCCCTCTTTTCCCTCTACTACCCTCTCTCCCCTCCACCCTTTCCCCTCTCTCCTCCCCACCTCATGCGGAAGCACGTTCAGCCATTGATCCTCCCTCGATTTCAGAAGCATTTCCTGCTCCCGCGCCGCTGCTAGCCCTCCCGCTCCCGCTGACTTTCCCGCTTCCGCCGGCGCGGGAAATATCGCCGCAGTTCTCCGCTCCGCAGTTTCACCCGCGTCCGCAGCGGTGCGCGACGGATCGGAATCGTCCCACGAGCGATCACGTGCGATTCGCACGCTTCGCCCGCGACAGACGAATCGCACTCGACCCGATGGTGCCATTATCAGTAACTAGAGTGATTGAAACAAAAACTCGGAAAACCATAACCAGGAAATCCTGTCTAGGAAACCCTAATTATTTAAACCTGAACCCTGATGACAGATGTGGGTGTTAGCGAAACGGAAGGACTTGGTTAAAAAGGAAACTGTAGCTTCGGATCTCGGTTTCGCTTCCCGAACGGCCACGGATTCCCTCGGGTTCGTCTTTGATCAGTTACAGAAATCGTTCAGCAGCGCGAATACGTTTCGTCGAGTTCCAAATCCCACAATATTGCAGAAACTGTGGCTCGAAACCTGAAACGTCGATCTGTGAGTCGCACCACGTGATGTTGAGGACTGCGCTCTAAAATGCGGCAGTTGCAAATCTAACGCAAAGCATACGCGGGATGCATATAAAATAAGTTTTCCTAGGATTTTAAGCGAGAACGTTAATACGCAAATAATTTCCTGAACCATTACGGAGGTTTTGTGGAGGGTGGACTCAGCTTATCAGTTCAGTAGCCCGCAATACGCGGCTGAATTCTTGATACAGTACCCTGTTTTTTATCACAGCCATCTTTCTTTATAGAAGAAGCACATCACATTATATGTTTCCTTAAACCGTTCTGACGCTCCTGTCGGCTCGGGCTCGTAATCGTGGCGTGTCTGGTTTTTCAGACATACTAAGACATTGGCGTGTTTGGTTGACCATCATATCGTATAGCCCTCGAGGCGACGTCGCACACCGGTCGTTTGAGTCGCGCAGACGTCGCGAACCCGGCATTCCCAATGTTTCAGGTACCACAACACCGAACCGCCGAATCACTAACGCCAGGTTCTTATCTTCTCCGCGGCCCGGATTCCACGTGAATTGCACGCAGTGCCCCCTTCCCTCCTGCCGCCGACCATTTCACTCTCTTCAATTTTCCCGCCAACCCGCTCCTCCCCCTCCCCTCTCTTTCCTCAGGAGTGCGGAGGGTCGAGCAGGGTGTGCCTGGGCTCTCAGTCAAACCACATTGCTGCACTCTCGCCCTTCTCTCCTTGCTCTCCCCCCTCCCCCCACTCCTCTTCTTTCTTCTCCACCTACCCCCGCCAGGTGTTGAAGCGTGTTAGCTCGAGCAGGGTGCGTCTGGGCCTGCTCTCGGTCATCGTGGGATGGGTGCTGGGCTATCTCGCCATCGCCATCATCGCCAACCACAGGTATTCCATAAAATGTTGGTATCACTGGTGCCCAGCTAATCCCGGGTGATTCCAGGTATACCTCGGTTTCGCCTGGGCCTGCTCTCCGTCATCATGGGATGGGTGCTGGGCTATCTCGCCGTCGCCATCATCGCCAACCACAGGTATTCGTGCTCCCCTCATCTTGGTAACGCTAGTGTAACCCCAGGTACCCCAAGGTAACCCTCTCGGTTTTGACTGGGTCTGCTGTCGGTGGGATGGTTGCTGTGCTGTGCTGTGCTGGGCTATCTCGCCGTCGCCATGATTGCCAATGCCAACCACAGGGTACTACATGAACTGTTTGTATTGCTGATGGTGTAAACCCAGGTAGTCCCGTGGTATTCCCACTCTCTTGCTGCATTTTGAGTCGACTCAAAAGCCGACTATCTTGCTGCAACTCATCTTCCCCCACCCCCCAACCCCCATCCCCCATCCACCATCCACCATCCCCCATCCATCCCTCACTCCTTACACCAGGAGAACCATCCCCGTTCACAGCATGGCCACTCCCTACAGCATGGGCGATGGGGTAGGGGGTACGAGCTCCCATCCCCCTGCTCCTTCCATCACAGGAGGACCACACAGTACGGAATGGACGATGGGTGGGGGACGAGCTAGCAGGCATCGCCATCCGCCCCCACCCCCCGGGCCTCCTAACCACCCACCCCATGGATTACCCCAAGCCTAACTTGCTCTGTGCTGTCCTTTCCTGTTGCCCCTCCCCCCACCATCACAGGAGGACCACGCAGTATGGCATGGACGATGGGGTGGGGGATGAGCTAGCAGCAGGCATCGCCATCCGCCCCTGCCCGCCCGGCCTCCTCACCGCAGACGCCATGGATTACCCCAAGCCCTAACCAAGCCTAAAGTCTTTTAACTCAACCCCCAAAGCCCAGTTGGTTTCTTCCACATTGACATTGAACCAGCGCCCTTCCCTCTCCTCTCCTTCCCCACCTCCATCCCTGCTCCGTTCAACACAGGAGGACCACACAGTATGGCATGGACGATGGGGTGGGGGACGAGCTAGCAGGCATCGCCATCCGCCCCCACCCCCCCGGCCTCCTAACCACCCACCCCATGGATTACCCCAAGCCTAACTTGCTCTGTGCTGTCCTTTCCTGTTGCCCCTCTCCCTACCATATCAGGAGGACCATGCAGTACGGAATGGACGATGGGGTGGGGGACGAGCTAGCAGGCATCGCCATCCGCCCGCGCCCGCCCGGTCTCCTAACCACCGACCCCATGGATTACCCAAAACCCAAAGTATTTTTCGACATAAACATCGACGGGCGGCCCGCGGGCAGAATAATCTTCGAGCTCTTCACCAAGCAGGCGCCCCGGGCAGCTGAAAATTTCCGGGCGCTGTGCACGGGGGAGAAAGGGCGGGTGCCGAACGAGCCGGGCAGGGAGGGGGCGGGGATGCCGCTGCATTACAAGGGAGCAGAGTTCTATAGAGTGATTGACCGGTTTATCTGTCAGACTGGGATCAACACGGAGAGCATCTATGGGGGGAGCTTCAAGGACGACCCGCTAGCCCTGCTGCTGAAGCACAACAAGGTGGGTGGGATTGCGTCATGCCGCTGCGTTACCTGGGAGTGAGGCGGGGATGGGGGGGGCTGGCAAGGCAGGGAGGGTGCGGGGTTGCCGCTGCATTATGAGGGAGCGGAGTTCTATAGAGTGATTGACCGGTTTATCTGCCAGACTGGGATCAACACGGAGAGCATCTAAGGGGGAAGCTTCAAGGACGACTTGCTAGCCCTGCTGCTGAAGCACAACAAGGTGGGTGGGGGCTTGTACTATTGGGTAGCTTGTTCCCTGGGGGGATTTTCAAGGATGACCCATTAGCTCTGCTGTTGTAGCACAAGAAGGTGGGTGGGGGCTTGTGGTAGTCATTTGTACAGTACCTTGTTCCTGCTGTTTCAGCACACGAGTGTCTGTTTTCGCATCACTTAACACCTGTTTATTACTCTGCATTTATCTCACCTTTACTGGTTTCCCCAGTGCTTCAGTCTCAACCCTGATGCCTGGTCCCTCCCTCCACATTCCCTTCCCCATTTGTTTCTCCTGTCTCTCATCTCCTCCCCTCCAACTGCAGAAGGGGTTGCTATCAGCAGCCAACGTTGGTCCAGATACCACCACCACACATTTCTCTATCGTTGTGGCTCCAGCACCCCATTTAGACGGGCACTACCCTATTTTTGGCCAAGTGGTAAGGCTCAGTACAGTGCTGTTTCTCCTGCTACCGTACAGTACACGTATATGAAGAGTGTCGGATGCTAAGCATTGTGTTTTGTGTTTTGCTTTGTTCCAGGTGTCTGGTTGGGAAGTAGTAGAGCGGATAAACAAGCTCGCAAAGCCTTCTGGTTCAGGGGATGAGCGCCCCCGCTTACCAGTGGTGATTGCTGACTGTGGAGAGATTAAATGATATTAATATACATACGTACATTGATTGTGTTTTGAGTATATTCATATGGTATGCTTTCTATGATTGAATCAGGCTACAATTTGCTACTTAGATGAGTACCACGTACACGCTCTAAACAAACCCCTTTCACTGTATTTCCATGCCTCCACCAGCTTCGATGAAGAGCTTCGACATTTCGAGCCTGATGGTGTCACAGATGGTTCGGTGGCAGTTTCAAGAGCACAGAACCATTTCGCGACGACGTGGCGCTCGTGCAGATCGATGGTGACCGCGGACGTGGACATCTCCACACGGCATCCAGCTTGGCATCAAATTTTCCGAATCAGCACATATCCATTCCACGCAGGACGCGTGGTCGATGACACGCTGGCGCCAGCCATTCCAGTGATGAATCAACACCCGCTTTCTGGTGATGCTTCCCTGCCTCGGGAATTGCTCCAGGCAGTTCTCCGCCAAGCCAGCGAATGGTTGCTGCTGAATCCTGATGCTTTCCAGACCACCAGGCTCCACAGATGTTGGTCTGAAATGTGAATTCAGTACTTCCGTTTCATTCATTATGCAGTTCTTGTTTCTGATTTCTTGTTTTCCACGGAGAGCTGATACCGAACTGCCCTCTCCTGGTCATCTAACTTGATCAAGATGGCTCTCTGCGCTGTTGCTTCGACCTCTAGCGCTATCCTCAAGACCTCGTTCCTTCCTAAGACCGAGAAGCTGGCCGATGCTTCTGTGGTTGTCAGCATTCCCGTGAAGCGGGTCTCACCGGTTCAGGCTTCCCTGGAGCCTGCTGTTTCCCGCAGGACTATCTCTCTCGCCGGAGTTGCATCCCTGGCCGCTGTGCTTTCCGCTCCCGGTCTTGCTTTGGCTGACTTCGAGGAGGACTATGTGAAGGCGACGACAAACGTCATCGAAAGAGTGAGGTACACTCTGGGCCTCGCTAGAGACGATCCCGCTAGGAGCGAAGCCGTGAGTGAACTCCGAGAGCTGTCCAACACGTGGGTGGCGAGGTATCGCCGCGAGAAGAGCGTGGCCGGCCGGCCGTCCTTCAGCAACATGTATTCCGTCCTCAACGCCATTTCCGGTCACTACATCAGCTTCGGACCTACCTACCCCATCCCGAAGAAGCGGCTCGACAGAATAGTGGAGGAGGTTGACATTTCCGAGCGCGCTCTCGCCCGTGGCCGATAAGCGGGTTCTGGACGGCATGTATCTCAGATTTTGCAAGTGCTTTGTTGTCTTGTGTTGTTGAATTTACTTTCATCAATCGATTTTGGATTTTCACGATTGTGAACTGCCAGCGCCGTTTTCTCAGGTTCTTATCTGGAGTCACAACTGAGTGAATGAACAGATACCTGGTTCCACGATTGCACTGACGGTGAATCCTGTCTGTTGCTCGCTAATGTGCTCCCCGTCCTTTCTCATCTCTCAGCACCCTTCATTTGCACCTTTCATTCCCGTCTCCTGCATTCCTACGTCCTTTAGTACCGTCATCGCCCGGATATAAGACATATATGTCTTATCTCGTACACGGGCAAAAATGCTTGGGTTGTCTTGTATTTGGGACGGTTTAGGGTATCTTATAAATCTTATAAATGGACAAAGAACCGTTTAGTAGATACCCCCTCGTCATACATTTGCCCCTAACTCCTACACTTTCTTAACCCGTACACACAAATAGGTGTCTTATAATGAAGCTAGCCTGTTTATAAGAGACACCCGTATAATAGACAACCCCTGTCTACTATTCAATACTGTCTTATTTCCGGGTGATGATGGTAACGTTTTGCTCGCCCATCATCGTATCGTTCTCTACCATTCCCGCATGCGACAAGAATTAGCTATTTGACCTTGGAGATTAGTTGGCAAGGTGGCAACTCATACGCGATGAGGCCAACGTAACAAGGATAACCAATCTGGGCCAAATCGTAAAAAAGGGATGTGGCAAGACTTCATATCAAGAGCCAGATATTAGCTCTTGATGTCCAGCGTGATGGCTGATTGTGGAATTAAACCAGTAGTTGTCATCTGTCAATAAACATTGAAGGTGGAACCTGGAACTTTCACAATTTTGCAGCTCCCTAGCCTACCAGTAGTCAAGCTTGGTTGAAGAGCACATGCTTGGGTCCACATGGGTTACGCATACTGTTGACAATGACTCCTATACAATGAACCCTAAGTATCACACCAACTCCTTGAGGGATTCAAACCGCACTATGCACAGAACTCCCATATTTAGAAAGCTTGCTTTCTTGTGTTTGCAATGGCAACAAGCTTCGTTTCAAATGGGCATTACATCATTCTTGCCCGGGATATATATGGTACCTACATTACACATGACAACATGCAATTTTTGCTAGGGTGGGTGGGTGGGAAATAAGACATTTGAAATTTCAAACGAAGACGTGGGTGGAGGCCAGATGGCCTCCACCCCTTGCTATATAGTTGGCGAAGAGCGTCTAGCACTTCGCCGTTGCCATTGCTGCATTACAAGCAGCTTCGCTTTCAAAATACACATTTTTAGAAAGTGTTACACACTTTCAAAAAAATTCATATCATGTCACTGGATGAGTTATTCTGGGCATCAAAATCAGCCTTAGCAGAACTATCAATCTCCCTGTCAATCCATGACGCGGCCCTACTCCCCTTCTCCACAACCTAGCTCCTCATCCTAACCAGCTCCACCAGCACTTGGCTCATGGTGGGGTGAGATGCCGTGCTGTGGGCATGGCAGTGCGGGAGAGGGGGTATAGGAGAGAGCAAGACGAGCCATGCGCAGCATCAGACCATGTCAGTGGATGGACCACTCTGGCTACCAACAAGCTCCAAACGAGCCATCTGGGCATCAAAATCAGCCTCAGCAGAGCTGTCAATCTCCCTGTCAATGCGCGACGCAGCCCTGCTCCCCTTCTCCTCCACAACCTCACTCCTTATTTTCACCAGTTCCACGAGCACTTGGCTCATGGTGGGGCGAGATGCCGTGGGCATGGCAGTGCAGGAGAGGGCGAGCCGAGCCATACGCAGTATCAGAGCATCGGGTGCGGTTAGATAGGGGTCCTTGAAGGCCATCACGTTGCTTGATGCCACGAGAGGAGCAACCTGCATTGTTCATGCAATGAGAAGCATTGGGTCGGCATGGTAGTGCAGGGGAGATCAAGGCGAGCCATGCAGAGAATCAAATCGTCTAGTGCGTGTAGATACGGATCCTTGAAGGATGCTACATCGTTTGATGCCACCAGAGGAGCCACCTGCATTCTTTGCACAGAGAGGAACATTCAACAATGGGCGGCGTAGCTGGCTGTAATAATATTGAGGGGTGCATGTGATGTGACGGAAAATGGAAGCACCTGACGGGCACGAGCAACAGATAGACAATGGCAATAGCAGGATGTATAGGGATGGTACGGTTGAGCTGTTGGTTTCATGGCAGCGGCAGCTTTGTTGTGCCACGCCATTGCTACTGTCCCAGCCTTTCTTCATGCCTCACCTCAAATCATGCCCCTCCCTCCGCGCATGCCTCACCCATCACTCATGCCCCCCCATCACTCCCCGCCCATCCCTCGTGCCTCACCCATTGCTTGAGGTTGAAAAGGGTGTCCTCTGTCACATGCACTGCCTTGTGGGCCGTGATCACTCCTCACCCATCATTTGTGCCTCACCCATTGCTTGAGGTTGAAGAGCGTGTCCTCTGTCACATGCACTGCCTTGCGGGCCGTGATCACCCCAAGCATCACCACTCCAAAGCTGCCATCGCCAAACAAGCATAGGTGCACAAGGTGTAAGAAAGCATTGGTGTGGCATGTAAGAGCATTCTTTCTGCTTGAGAAATAGTGCATACTTTTTCCACACTTCCACGCTAGCATCTACATGTGCTCCCTGATTTCCTTGCCCTCTCACCCATGAACATCCGCCGATGGAGAAGCTTTGTGAGACTTGCCGTATGCAGGGTTCACATAGCCCAGTGATCCTATCTCTACCGTACTTACTTACCTGATACCGGTTGGCACCATTCTGTACCTGTGCACATCTGCTGTTGGAGTGGCCTTGTGGGACTTGTAATACGCAGGGTCCACATAGCCCGGTGTTCCCATGACTCTAGTGGCAGCCACGGATGTCCCCATGGTCGTGCCGCCGCTTAGCTTCACAAGGCCGAAATCTGCAATCTTGGCCTGCTCACAAACAGAGTGGCATACGATGGCACAATGAGAGGGTGGGTAAACGACAGTGAAAAACGGATTGATGACAGGACGACGAAACAACTTCAGAGCAACGATGAGATGACAAGCGACAGAACAAGAAAGAGGAAACCATGTTGTACATCTTAAGTTGGTTTGGACATACCTCCATTTTCGCGCCAAGGAGAATGTTGGCGGGCTTGATGTCCCGGTGCACGATCCCAAAGTCATGTAGATACTGCAACCCCTTCGCGACCCCAATTAGAACGTCCAACCGTTGGGGAAGCGAAAGCGGGATGGACGCGCCCGGTCCGATCCAGCTCTCAAGGTCGTAGTTTGGCATGAACTCGTAGATGAGGATTTGCTCCATATGCCTTGTGGATGGGTTGAAGTCGATGCAGTAACCCAAGAGACGCACGAGATGGGGATGATGCTTGCTGGCCATTTCTTTCACCTGCAAGGGGCACAAACAGCAGCATGTGGAAGGATGTGCACGATCAGAGTTTGCTCCATGTGACGCGTGGCTGGGTTGACTTTTGAGGCACCTCAAAAGTCGGTCCGATCCAGCTCTCAAGGTCACGGTTTTGCATGAACTCGTAGATGAGGATTTGCTCCATGTGCCGTGTGGTGGGGTTGAAGTCAATGCAGTAGCCTAAGAGCCGCACGAGGTGGGGATGTTGCTTGCTGGCCATCTCCTTCGCCTGTAGGATGTGAAAGGATGTGAAAGATCAAGGGGTGACTCACATTCATGGTGTGATGAAAGTGCAATAACAGGTGGCAAGTGTGGAATAAGAAGTAGCATGATTTCCCAACGACAAAGTGCAAGAAGTGAAGAAGCAGAATGATCTACCAACGACAAGTGCCATTTGATACCTCGGTCTGAAAGTCATTGGTGAGAATCCGAGCCCGTTTGACAGCCCATATCTGGTCGCAGCTATGAGGAGACACTCCCTTGAACACATCCCCAAAGCTGCCGCTGCCGAGCCTGTTCCCCTCAGCCCAGTTCGCTGTTGCTGCTGTCACCTCTGCTAGGGAGTACTCTTTGCATACTTGAAACCGCGCTGCTTGCATGTCTGCTATAAACTCATCATCCTGCCGCTCCCCAGCTGCTGCTGCTGGTGCTACCGCCGCCGCCAACGCTGCCGCCGCTGCTGCGACTGCTGCTGCTTTTGCTTCTTCTTGTTCTCCTTTTGCGTTAGTGTTTATCTCCACTGCAAAGGCATCATTGTCCCTCCTTACAGCTGCTGGTGCCAAAGCTGTTGCATCTGATGCTGCTTCTTTGGATTCTGGGTCGTCATCCTCTTTGCCTGCAGGTTGAGTGCGGTGGGTGGTGGTCAGAGAAAGGTTTGGTTGAAATTAGGGACGGTTGTAGAAACATACTGGAAGCAAAGAATCAGGAACCACACATGACGCACAAATAAAGAGAACTGAAGGAAGAAAACAGGAAATACAAAGAGAAAGAGAAATTGTAAAAGTTGCACCATTCCAATGCGTTCAACTACAGTCCTTGGACTTTCTGGGACGGAAAGGTGTGGGAAAGAAAGGCTTGCCTTGAGAAGTCACTTCTGGAGGAGCGTCGCTCTCTGGCGCATCCTTGGCAGCTCTTTTTGCAGCCCCTGCTTTGTACCAACGCCAGGCGAATAGCACAATGAACAATAACGCCCCAACCACAATAAGTACTAGTACCACGTACCACAATAGCCCCCCACCACCACTTGTTGTAGGTGCTGCAGATGTCAAGAAAGGGGAAAAGATGGAAGCATCACACTGTATGAAATAAAATTTAAAAAACAATGGACGCGAAGATTGCCAGTAATTCAAAATAATGCACATTAGATGCAAGTAGTTGAAGATACCACATCAAGCAGTTTTCCCAAATGGAATGGTTACTCATGCATCTAATCTGGTGGTTAGCCTGGTTAGTTGTTTGTTTTGCATTCCCTATCTTTGTCTTACCGCAAGTGTTGCAGAAGGAAGAGCACAGCTGGCAGAATGCATTTGATTTGATGATCTGTGTGGATCCGCAGTCACTGTAGTCAGCTGGGCATGTTAAACCAGTCCGTGATACGTTCCTGCATATGCAAATGATGTTTGCACAACACAGTTGAAAACTTCCCTGCATGCAATACTTTTCACAAATTCCAATCGGTCTTGTGCAGAAGTAACGATTCTTCTTGTGCTAGGGAAGATATACAGGAGCATGAAACAAAACTTGAATGCAATCCAAGAGCACGTACCGGTAACAACTTTTAGGCTTTTAAAAAAATGCTTACAAGTATGTAAGGCTCGAAAAAGTTCCTAGCGTTCGAGGAAGGGGTCCTGTCAAATTGGTGCTCTGAAAGTCTCTGCCGCCACAACAATAATCACAACATAAGCAATATGCAATTCCAAAACAGAAACAAACAATCACGGAAGGGGATTGTGCTACCCTACCTTGGCAAGCTGCTGTGATGTCATAGTAATGATTACAATTTCAATACAGAAACACATATAATACAAGCGATGATAATAACAATAAGAAGCAGTGCAGGACCTTACAAGTATCTCAAGTTGCGTAAATTATCCACTGTTCCCACAATTTCCTTATCGATGAAGTTGTAGCTAAGGTCCCTTCATTGATGATCGAATGAAAGTAATGGGAATCAGCAAGTGTCGAGAAAGAACAAGAATCAAATAGGAAAGGAGTAAGTGTACTAAAATATGATGTACAGTTTTTGCAACCGCACATGAATTGACCTAGGTTGTACACGAGAAGTAGGGAGGATACCATGTAAAAGTGCACAGACTATACCAAAGGGTTGTGCATGAGCACATAATAATCATGGATGCAAATCGCAGCCCCTCTCTTGAAACCACGCATTGATCTTATGGTAATACATAGTATAAAACGGTCCACGTGCTGAGGGTGGCCGTGTTTTGAGGCGTCTTAAAGTTCATGCATGCATGGTAATACATGGTAGCATAGTACGTACAGATGTGTTAGCTTGGTCATGCCAGGGCTGTACATAGCCTGCGGAATGCTCCCACGCAATGTATTCGCCCGTAAATCCCTGAGGAGAAGGAGAGTAATTGACTTGTCAATTCCACCGTCATTGTTACACTCGGCCCATCAGTGTTACGAAAAAATCATTAATACCAGATAATAGAAATGTTCATAAAGACGAGTTAAGCAGCAAGCCAATATCGACTCACAGATGTACGAGGCTATTCATGCTGCCAATGCCATTGGGAATGATATCAAGTAGGTGGTTGAATCCTAAATTCCTGCACAGCACAGGGTGAAATCCATTTCTGAAGTATACTAAAACTGGTTATAAGCGTTCTATGAGTTTTATTAAACTACAAATGGCATTTACTGCCGGTCCTAGGTTAGATTAGGTTGTCCATAGTGGCAACATTAATTAAAATATGTACCCAGTTTAGTTAAGTGCAACAATACTGACAGATAGGTAAGGCTGTCCATGTTGCCAATAGAGTCAAGAATGGGCCCCAGAAAATAATTTTTTGAGAGGTCCCTGAAAGGCGTGGTTGTGGGAGATATAGAAGGGGGAGAAGAAGCGGATCAAAGGGACGGAAAGTTATGGAAGGGGGACAGGAAATGCACAGCCAAAGCACAACAACCTAGGCAACATGCCTCGAAAATTTCACAGGTAGGACAAGTTTGGAAGCTTGCAAATTCGTTTCTAAAGTGCATCGCCGTGAAAAGCTTACAGATAAGACAGGTTAGAAAGGCTGCTGATCTCTGCACGGAATGACCCCTTCAAGTGAAGTCCTGAAAGCCTTCTGAAGTTGTATTTCACAATGGAAATGGAGCGGAAGGAAAGTAAGAAGATGGTAACAGGTGCATAAACATTAAGAGCGAGCATTAGCACCAATGCATACTTCCACAAAAAGGGGCTAGTCTAGTGCGTTTCGCTTGTTTTATAAGGGTCGGGATGATTACTATTCTTAAACTTACAAATGTGTGAGGCCAATCAAATCTGTGATGTTAAGCGGGAGAAAACCATTCAAGGGAATGTAGTATAGATCCCTGTTGGGAAACGCAGGGATGATGGGATATACAGGGATGATGGGGCATGCACGGATGATGGGGCATGCACGGATGATGGGGCATGCACGGATGATGGGGCATGCACGGATGATGGGGCATGCACGGATGATGGGGCATGCACGGATGATGGGGCATGCACGGATGATGGGGCATGCACGGATGATGGGGCATGCACGGATGATGGGGCATGCACGGATGATGGGGCATGCACGGATGATGGGGCATGCACGGATGATGGGGCATGCACGGATGATGGGGCATGCACGGATGATGGGGCATGCACGGATGATGGGGCATGCACGGATGATGGGGCATGCACGGATGATGGGGCATGCACGGATGATGGGGCATGCACGGATGATGGGGCATGCACGGATGATGGGGCATGCACGGATGATGGGGCATGCACGGATGATGAGACATGCACGGATGATGAGACATGCACGGATGATGAGACATGCACGGATGATGAGACATGCACGGATGATGAGACATGCACGGATGATGAGACATGCACGGATGATGAGACATGCACGGATGATGAGACATGCACGGATGATGAGACATGCACGGATGATGAGACATGCACGGATGATGAGACATGCACGGATGATGAGACATGCACGGATGATGAGACATGCACGGATGATGAGACATTCTGTGATCGGTAGGACATGCAGGGATGACGGGTATTGCAGGGACGATGAGAAACGCAGTGATAGGTAGGACATGCAGGGATACATTGTACATGCAGCGATGATGAGAAATGCACCTCACATGCTTGTGACGATGTTATTGGCATTGCAGCGAATCACATTGTTGTTCAAAGTCCCGTTCGTGCTGCACTCCGCCCCTGATCCTGTTATCAGACGTCTGTTCTGAAGGAAGTTTCTACATGGGCTCACATGCTTGTGACCATGCCATCGGCATTGCAGCGAATCTGGTGCCCCACTTTCTGTTCCAGAGTTCCGTCGGTGCTGCACTCCGCTCCTGCTTCCCACCCACTGAAATTCCTGCCCCAATACGTATTCAGCTCTCGAAGAATTTGACCTGAAGGAAGGAGGAGAAAGGGAGGGAGGGATTGGCAAGGGAAGGATAGGGGGAGGACGCGAGGGTCAGGAGGGCATGCAGTGAATGCGCTATGCGAGTGCTGCACTCCGCTCCACGTTCCCAACCAGTGAAATCCCTGCTTCAGCCGAAAATTCAACCCCTGCAGGAATTCTCCCGGAGGTAGGTGGACCGGCGAGGGAGCATGGGGAGGGAAACAATGGGGAAGGAAGGATGGATGGAGGAAGGCTAGGTACGTGACGTGCAATGAAGTAATTTTGCGAGTGCTGCAAGATCTTGCGTCCCTCCTATCAGAATGTAACAACAGGCCTGGCAACGATCCGACTTTGAGGCGTCTCAGATTGAAACGACATGTCTTGTAATAGACCGAGGCGTCTCAGAATGAAAATGACATCGCTGGCAATGGACCGACCTTGAGGCGTCTCAGAATGGAACTTCATGTATGGTAATGAACCAACTTTGAGGCGTTTTAAAATGAGAACCACATGAAACCGACGCGACTCTGAATGAGACAACACTTCTGGTACCAAAGAGGCACGAGTTTTCCGAACAAATAGCCCAAAACGATGTGCTGATAAGCAGAAAAAGATGGCGGGAAAGCGGAAAAATCTAGCTAATATGATCGCCTTTACAAGCTATTTATAGCCCGAAAAGCTAGCATTAGCGGAATTCGGCGCACAGGACGACAGACCTTGGGAAGCGCTCAACGGTACACAACCAACTGGAGGAAACGCGAGACACGTCAGCGAGAACAGCGCGCCGAGCACGAGGATTGAGCGCTCCATATAGCCGGACGGAGACTATTTTTGAGGCGCCTCAAAGATCGGCTCGGATTTCCAGGTCAACTGCAGCCTATTCGTTCTCTTCGCCTGGCTTGAAACGTCTAAACTATTGCTACTACTATCGCTTTTGTGAAAATAGCAATATGACGAAGAATAGGTTGCTGAATATTTAGAGACAGAGTAAGCAGGCCGTGAAACGCATCGACATACGTGCAAAAGCTTTGTGCCAACCCATGCAGCCTGAAAAGAAAGATGGGTTTCCGTCCATGTTGGGAGGATGAGAGAGGAGAAAGACGCAAGGGGCAGGTGAGGGGACTGCGTTTCCCTGCTAATCAAGGCTGATAAGCGACACCAGCAGCCCCGGTAACAAATATTAAACGAAATTTGCGATTCTTCGTATTGGCCCTTCGTAAGGGTTTCTTTTTTGCGCGATGTCAAAACATGGTAACAAGAAGTGCGTTGAACAGTTCACCTTCCTTCCCGCATTCGCCTCGCCATGGCGACCAGGCAAATTGCCAGACATTGCGCGACAAATCGCCAGATATTGCGCGGTAAATCGCCAGCAAGGCACGGGAAGTTCTCGTTGCACCGCTGTCTGTCCGGGACTCGATTCGATTCCCTACTGGGGGCGGTGGTGATGGTGTTTTGCGAAGAGTGCAGACTGCGTTGACTAATTAGGCTTGGGTACAGTGAGAGCTGTCCCCGTTCCGTCTCTGACCCAGAATGAAGTTATGGTCTGCATTATAACTATTAATATTGTATTGCATCATTAATATTATTATCGAGATGCAGTTCATGTATGGTGTAAGGAAAACCTCTTTTTCCTTACTTCGCATCCCTGCTCAACGCGTACATCACAGTCAACAACCGTTACCACTCGCAATTCTCGCATCGACAATCCGCCCGCCACTTTCGCACGTCGCACCCCGACCTCACGGCTCGGCAGGTAACCCGCGCTCCGGGCCTCCGCTTCGACACATTTTCCCAACCTCAGTGCTAGGCCTGTCGCGCGACACCCACAGTCCATTAACCGTTACCACTATAGCTTCGCTTTATATCTTTCGCCCATTCCTTCGCTCATTGGACTTGTTGCTTCGATAGTGCAATCTTCGTTCGTTCATTCAATTGCACTCGTAACACTTTGTATTCAGAGCCTACGATCTCTTCTCGGGCCGCACCCACACCTTCGCTTCCTCACTATCTCAAATTTTTGGGGGGGTGGACGTCTCTCAGCGATACAGCACTGCCGCTCGTAGTGCCCGCTCGTAAGCACGCTCGGCCACGATAGAGGCTCTCGCTGAGCTCGCCGACACCCCCGCCATGGCCGAATTCACGCTCGCCACATTGACGCAGGAGCAGCTCGACCTCCTGGTACACCAACTCGAAGATTCGACGCTCGAAATTGCGACGCTCATAGCAGAGCGTGACGCCGCACGTCAGCAATCCACGGTGAACACTACAGCAGCACCACACGCACCAACAAATGCACCTGCGCAATCAGACGAGCCGATCGTCATCTCGTCCGGTACACCAACACCAAACGACAGCATGGGATAGCGCTCGGGCGCAGCCAGTGATAGCGCCGCCCAACCAATGCCTGGCATGGGAGTAAACAGAGGCGCGCCAAGCCCGCGGGAGCCTTGCGAAAACCGTCGGCATGTGGAATTTGCAGCGACAAGCGGCGAACAAACCTTCATGGCGCCAATGCCACTCAAGCCGCAACGCACACCCTGTTTTGACCCAAGCCAACGTGGAGGTCCGACGGTTCAATCGTGGATCTTCACGATGAACGTTTTTTTTTACGCAAACTACTTCGATTCGGACGCAACGAAGATTCGGTATGCCGTTTCGCTGCTAAGGGCCCCCCGAGCCACCGCCATCGTAATGAGTCATCGTGACGTCGCCACGCGCCTACGAGCCACCGTCGCAAGAGGGAGGGCCCACGTGGCCAGCTGTTACCTGGAGTTTGTTCTGTGAAACCGCCCAATACAGCACGTGGGATGCGTGGTGCGCAGGACTTCGGGCGCGCTTCGAGCCGATCGCGGCTTCTATTACGGCGCGTCAGAAACTGCGTACTTGGCGGCAGCTTGGGTCGGTTCAAGACTACACGAGTGGGTTTCTCGCATTATGCGAGCAAGTCGGCTACATGCACGAGGCGGAGCGGATAGACCATTACGTCGGAGGAGTGAAGCCGGACATCTCGCACGAAATCATGCTACGCGGGCTCTCGAACTTCAACGAGATTCTCGCGCTCGCCGAGAAAATCGACATTTTACGCCGTCCGAGACCGGGGTCCTACTATGGACATCGTCCTCGCGGACCGATCGAGCACGCCACTGTACACGCTGTTGCGACGAACGCAGCTGGAGCGCCGTTTAAGGGGTGCTGCTTTGCTTGTAACAGGCCACGCCATCGCAAGAGCAAATGCCCAGAAGAGCTAAGGCGCCGCGGAGCAGAGCAGGGAAAGGAGTCTCAGAGGCAGAGAAACGCAAGCAGTCAGTAGAGGTTGGGCCAACTGCTGACGAGACTGCCTGCTCACCCAACAACACCGACCCTCACCGAGTCACAGTACCGATTCATGCTATCGATCGGGCTCGAATGAACAAAGAGGGTACAGCGACGGATTCCCTAGTACTGATCCACGGGAAAATACAAGGAGCACCAGTGAAGATATTTATTGACGGAGGAGGAAACCACAGCTTAATTAATACCCCAACTGCACGGTAGCTGCAACTGACACTTAACCGTTGCTTACCGGAGATAGACGCACGCTAAGTCTGAGAAGAAACGAGAATGGTTGAACTATGACAGAGTTGGGTACAAGTATTAACCCTAATTGGGTTGTACCCCTTATGGGCTACCCCACTACAGCCTACACAAATGCATAAGGTATAATGTTCTGACACACCCCCATAGGCAAAGTGGGGGAGAACAAGGGGTCGCAAGATCACTCAAGCAAAGCAAAGCAAAGCAAGCTCAGGGTGGATCACATCACCAGACATTCCGAGCACAAGTTCAAGGCCACAAGGCCAGTTCACATGCAGGAGTACATGTATATATAAGGCTAGACAAGCAAGACCAGGTATATATATATGTAATGGTACAACCAAGGTTAAGAGGTGAGCAAGTGAGGCAAGACAGGGACAAGACCCAGCTGAGTGCAGAAGCGCTGATGATCACAAGGCGGAAGTGCCTTGGTGAAAACATCAGCAGTATTGGCCTCAGAGGCCACGTACGCAAGCCGCAACTGACCACGCTGCTGTAGCTCACGAGCAAGGAAGTAGCGGAGAGCAATGTGTTTTGTTCTGTGCTCCAAGCGCTGCTCTCGACACAAGGCCAGCATGGCCTTGTTGTCTACGTACAGCACTGGAGGAGAACGAGGCGGCTCTCCAAGGTCAGTCAGCAGGTTGGTGAGCCAGCGAAGCTCCTGTGCAGCCATGGCCCCGGCGTAGATCTCAGCCTCACAACTGGAGCCGAGAACAGAAGACGAGCGAGTAGCCCGCCACGAAACAGAGCCGGAACCAAGGCTGAAGGTGTAACCCTGTGAAGATCGCTGCGTAGCCTGGTCGTCAGCCCAAGAAGCGTCTGCGTGCCTAGTGAAGACCACTGGTCTGCGCCCTCCAAGCACTAGCCCCATGCTCGACGTACTGCACACGTAGCGCAACACCCTCTTTGCTGCAGCCATGTGCTCTAGCCGGTGTCTCCCAGGAGCAACATAGCGTGCGAGAATGCTAAGAGGGTATGCAAGGTCAGGTCGTGTGCAGGTCATCAGGTACATGAGGCAGCCAACAAGCTCTGGATACGGGCCACTCGACTCTACG